TTCATTTGTTATCCAATTCTTGATTTGTCATTTTATGATAATCCTTCGATTTCTCCTTCTTTCGCCTCCTGTTGCTTTTGCTATTTGTATGATTTCCTTGGCTCCATTTCCGATTGATGGATATCCTTTTAAGTTGTTGATAACTTCTAGTCAATGTTGATATCAGCAAGCATTTATTATTGGTTAATTCACCCGTTTCCATGCGAGTTTAATCCTTTTTATATGATGCCTAACATTGAATTGCTTATAAAATGCCAATAGTGTGTCATGCTTCCCATTCTACATTTATTATTCCAATTATTTGCAGAGATGTAAGCATGCCTGACATCATAATTGGCTTTGAATGTTTTTATGATTCCTTGATCCACTGCTTGTGTTAAAAGAAGTAGTGTTTGGTGGAAGGAACAAAACCTCAACATTTGGATGCAATGTTGTGAGGGCTTCAGGACTGTATCTTGGAGCATTATTGAGAACAATGAAAACTCAGGTTCAGATGTTCTAAGTAATGTTTGACATTTTGAATGAATAGATTTTCAAACTAATCATTTAAGAGGACCATCACAACATGGCTGATGCTGCGCAGCATACCATGTTTAGTTGAAAATTTCACATTAAACAAATTAAATGAAAAAAATTAAGATAATGCATTTACTAAAAATCGCTTTCCACAAGGGCTTGTTTCGTTTTATGTGATAATACTGCAGCTATATATTTGTATAATTTACACATCAGTCTGTATATTAAAAAGAAGAACTGCTATTTTTATTTAGATTTTCTCCAAAGGAATTAGAATATTATGTGTAGATTTGAACATATATTTTGGATACAGGTCTTCATTGTGTTCATTACAGAAAGAGCAATTAGAGATCCTACACTATTAAAATGCTAAATAAAAGAAACACTATATAAAGCTATTTATTCAATTTAAAAAATAAAAATAAAACTTGCATTTTTATATAAACACCCATAAAATCATTTAATACAATGCATGATTATGATAGTATCTTTTAAATTTCTCAATGACTGAAGTTACATTAAAGTTTTTTCCATATGGATGAAAACGGTGTTATGGCACCCATTTTTCATCTTTACATGCTACTAAAGATTATTAATATGAAAATGTTCCAAAAGCCTTCAATTAATAACACACCATTAAACTACTTATGAGTATATATTATGTCAGTTTTTATATGATACTAAAGATTATTAATATGAAAATGTTCTAACAGCCTCCAATTAATCACAGATCATTAAAACCCATTTCACATTGGTACACTGCTAACAAAACTTAAATATACTAAATAAATGCTTGAATCTGTACTAAGCATCATTATATATCAATAATTCATATTTATATTAATTTAAATGAATTATACTTTCAAATAATGCATAAATCATCTGACTATAATATACAATGTAGCCAAAATAAAGGAAAATTCCTTAAACTTCCCAATAAAAAAACTCTGAAGATTTTGATCCCATCACTATGCAAGTGAGGCAATTAGCAATTTTGAATAGTATTAAAAATCTAGTTAATTTTGTCGTTAATAAAAAATGGGAAGTTTCATACGCATCAAAGGGATTGGTTACAAAAATGACATATATCCCAAGATGGGTAACATTTTCTTCTTTGAAAAGTATCACAATTAATCATTTTTCTTTTGGAAACAAAATAAGAAAAACCACAAAAGAAGTGAGAAAAATGGACACATCTGAAATCAAAGAGTTTACATAGTTGGAAACATGCCTGCAATGAACTGGTACGAATTTAGTTTGCAATAAGATGCAGTAACAAAAACTTCAGACATGTCTCCTAAAGTTTTGCAACAATAGGAAGGAATGCGAGTCAGCGACCAGCCACTATCGGACTTTCTTAGTATCCTCGAAAGAAGCAAACAACATTGCCAAGTATTACAACATACTTTGAAATTGTCAGGCAGTTCCAAGATTAAAGGGCACAATGTGAAAATGGCAAAAATTACAGAAAAAGAGCACTCAAATCTTTAAATAGAACAGGAGGGACATAAGCATAAATAATTATCATATGTAGTGTATGTAATATTTGCTCTTTTTGGTCTAGAGATAACTTTAAAAAGTTCCTAAAATTCTGTTTAGTTAGACGGAACGTCGAGATGTTGGGAGTTGAGTTTGCGAGACTAGTACAGTCAAAAGTCGTTAATCCGGACTTGTCGGGACTTCGGCGATTCCGGATTATAGATCATCAGTTTAAATCTCGTAAGATGGCATGCACAAATTCTAAAATTAAAAATTTGAAACTGTAATTTATGAAATAAAGAAATATATCTAAAGGGATCAAAATTTACAAAAAAAGAAGCTTATTTTATTTGTTTACTATTAAACATTCCTTTCAAGTAAGGTGTTTCGTTTTATGTGATAATCATTTTCTTTAATTATATAAACGACTGATTTCTTGTTTCGTTACAAGTCCCGTATTGCTGTGCCGAGAAACCGACTACTTGTCAATCGAAATTTTTTTCGTTTTCACTAACCTTTCTGTCACCTTCTTCATGCTTTATCCTTCTTTACAGCAATTCCACTTTTTGTTTGACGGATCGAGACATACTTTCGTTTGTAGATCCTTTGGGACTCGAATCGGAAATTGACATAATCGAAAGTTCAAGTTTACTTTTATAAATTGCTTACAGTCTGCAAAAATAATAACCGCACCATTCGAAATTAAGGAACACGCAATCATAACAACTGAAATAGATAATTATATAATTTTAACTTGCACCGTCCGTTAAACATTAAACGCGCATGCGAAAACGTATTTTACACTTGCGTACACGCATATGCGCGTAAACGCCTATGCGCATGTGTCAACGCGGCGTATGCACAGAAATTTTTTACCTTTGAGGTCCGGATTATAGATCATTCCGGATTATGGGTGTCTGAATTAACGACTATTGACTGTACTTTTTTTTTAGATTTTAGACTATACGACTGAAATTTAATAATTCTACAGTTCCAGATGATTTTGGTCTTCAGTACAGCTAGTTACCTCAAAGAATTGACATTTGTTTATGCTCTAAAGTGAATTTCTTGAAAAGTTTCAATGTGCATTTCCATTTCCTAGTTTAGAAAAGAACTGAAGTAATTTCAATGAAGTTGCAGGATGCTTCATATAATACTTCCATGAAAGTAGGAATTATTCCATATTTATGATCAACAGCATTCTTATACTAATAATAAGAGAACAAAATACCTTGGAACATTAAATAAAATTTTGTATATCCATCCTTACTTTTCTGAAACATTTTTACTACATTTTGAATTTTATATTAACAGCATGTGATCTTACATAACAGACTTACTTTGTAATTCATGGTTCAGGTTCACAATTAAAGGAGTCATATTCCAGTCATGAGATATCAGCAATGAAAGAAACCGAGAAAATGCTACCTGAGGAGAACTAAAAAAGTACTTTTCTTTTAGCAAAGCAGAGCAGGATAAAACTTGCAAGAAAAATACATAAATAAAGGACTAAAATATAAGTTCACAAAAACACATGCACTAAACACGCAATAAAAAACTGAACTAAAGAATGCAAAATTACTGCAGAATTGAAATAGTATAATGTGGCCTAAAGCAATTAAGAATACAGTCAAAAGTTGTTAATCCGGACCCGTCGGGACTTCGGCGATTCCGGATTATAGATCATCAGTTTAAATTGCATAAGATAGCATGCAGAAATTCTAAAATTAAAAATATGAAACCGTAATTTATGAAATAAAGAACAATTATGATCTAAAGGGTATCAAAACTTACAAAAAAAGCTTAATATTTATTTGTTTACTTTATTAAACATTTCTTTCAATGTAAGTTGTTTAAGTTGCTTCGTTTTATGTGATAATACTTTCTCTTTAATTCTATAAACAGACATAATTTTTTGTTCAGTTACAAAGTTCCGCTGTTCCAAGTCCCGTTAATTGCTGTGCCGAGAATACCGTCTAACTTGTCAATCGAAATTTTTTCGTTTTCGCTAACCTCTCTGTCACATTCTTCATGTCTTTATCCATTTTTTGCAGCAATTTCACTTTTTGTTTGATGGACATCGAAACATACTTTCGTTTTGTACGATCCTTTGGGAGCTCCAGAATCGGAAATTCTATTTGACATAATCCAAAGTTCAAGTTTACTTTTATAGTATTGCTCTTACAGTCTGCAAAAAATAATAAGCCGCATCCAATTCGAAGATTAAGGAACAATGCAATCATCAACATTAACTGAAATAGATAATTAGATAATTTTAGCTTATACCGTCAGTTATACATAAAACGCGCATGCGAAAATGTAGTCTGCGCTTGCGCACATGCAAATGCGTAGTCGTAAGAGGTCTTACGCGCACGCGTAAACGCCTATGCGCATGTGTCAACGCGGAGCATGCGCAGAAAGTTTTTAGCTTTGAGGTCCGGATTATAGATCATTCCGAATTATGGGTGTCCGAATTTTTTGACCTTCTCTCTGAGAGTCTCAACTACATTATTTTATAAAATTTACTTTTACTAAAAGTGTACTTACACAGAGATCCAAAAATCAGAAGACATTTGAAAAACTTGTATTTCATTGAATTTTTAATAAACAGTATATAAAAGCACTAACATGCATGCTTAAAACAAACCCATTTTTTTTTCAACAAATTTCACCACGTATATTTTTAAATTACACCTGCCACCTTTGTACCCTATACATAACAAACTCATACTTAATATTGTAAGAAGACAATGATACAAAAATTGTACACAACTTGTGTTATTTCAGTAACTTTTACCCCCCCCCCCAGACCACAGACCACCCTTTTTATTTATAAATATTAATCAGGTTTGATCTGTGAAAAATAAAGAGTTTTAGGAATAAAATTTTTGATTTTGTTGTATCATACGAAAGCAAAGACTTGCTGAAAACTTACAACAATGATCTTCATAGATACATTTAACAGAAACGATTCGCACGATGCAAATTTTGTGTAATACTTAACATGACTTTATTGAGTAATCATATGCAATAAAGTAAACCTTCTCATGGCTTTTACCATGCTAAGATGATCATCTTTGAAAAGTGAACAGTATTTCTAGAAACATAAACAAACACAGGATGGAATATCACCACTTAGTGCTGACCACTTCCACAGAAGGTCAAAATCAACTGCAGCTATGGGTGATTGTTTAGCGAAGGTTCATTGTACAGCAGAGGCTTGCTTATCCAACGTTCTATATATCGGTAATGAGAATTGTAAGTTGTAAAAGTGGTCCAGGTTCTTTTCTTTGTTGTTGCTTCCAACTCTAACAGCAGCCAAGTGGTAAAGTTGCTGAACAGTGGTAATTCAATACAGGGTTTGAATGCTGGTGAATGGGCTCACTGCATGGGTATTTTCACGGTTTTCTCCATGTGTTTCTTAGAACGTCCTCCACAAATGCATCCCTCCTCTTGCCATAATTAAATAAACCAAATCAAACAAACCCAACTCTAACACATGGACAGCCTATCGACACTATGACTCACATGTCTGTTATTCAATGCAATGCAGTTTATCATTATATGCAGATCGATTTATCATCTGTTACAATTTATACATATGTGCCTGTATGTGTATGCCTAATTTGACAAAAACTGTTGTTGTGTTTAAAAGTTTAAATTTATGCAAGTACAGAAAAACAATGACAATGAAAAGAAAGAAGCCTGTTGTATCGATGAAAAAAAAATTTGAGGCAATCAAATAACTGGGCAAGGGAGAGACAATGCAGAAGGTAGTTAGCTGATAAATTTGGTGAAGGGTAACAACAGAAGAATGGAAAAGGAAATGAACAGAAATAGAAAAATGACATGCTAAGAAGAAAGAAAAACAATGAAAAAGTATGATCATGAAAAGGTGTATGAAGCTTTACATGTTTGGTTCACTCAGTTCAGCGACAAATGTACTTCAGGGCACATTTTATACCAAAATGAATCTCATTTTTGTAATAATTTCTATAAAATCCAACCAGATTTCACAGCAACTGTTAGTTGGCTTGACCAATAGAAGAAACACTACAGTATCTGTCAATTAAATGTTTAAGGTGGGAGAAAAATCATAATTTTGAAAATATGGAAACATTCAAAAATATTTTAGGAATTACAGAAAGGCCTAATGGATGACAGATTAACTGCGATAACTCGGGTCTTAATTGCAAATTGTTACTTAGTAAGAACCTTGCAACCAGAAATGAAATGGCAGCCTCTGGCTAAAAGCAAAGTAAGGAAAGACTGACAATTTTAGCATGCAGTAATGCTATAGCAACCTGAAAATAGACCTTGTAATGATTGGAAAGTCAAAAAAAATCTTACAGCCCTTAAAACCATTTCAAAAAACCATCTTCCTGAAGAATGCTGTAGAAGCACATGAATGAGCAGTGAATTTATCCAAGCTTGGTTCTTTAATGAATTCATTTCTACAGCAGAAATATTTTTGAACATTCAGGCAATGTTTCTGCACCCTCCAAATTTAAGCACCACAAGTCAACCTATGGATCAGGGCATTTTAGAAATGATAAAAAGGAATTATCACAGGAAGCTACTGTCTACAGCAATAAAGGAAACTGAAGATGGACAAGATATGATTGAAAAGTTGGAATGCATCAATGTAAAGAATGTTACTTATTGGGGTGTACGTGCCTGGGAGGACGTAAGGTATAACAACAATTGCCAAATCATAGAAGCTGATGAAAATATGAAAATAGAAAGCATAAATGAAATTGAAGAAACCATTCTACCATTAGTGCAGCATATTCCTGGATGTGAAAATGCATCTTTGTAAGAAATCACAAGGTGGATGAAGGATGATGATCAGTATGAAATAACTGATGAAGAAATTGTCACTCTTGTCAACTGCGATGAAAATGAAATTGAAGATCAAGATTAAGCACCAACTGTTCAGCCATGCAGAATTTCACATAACGATGGAGTTAAGGCTCTAGAAACTGCAATTAAATATATTGAATAAGCTACAGGAATACACATAATGAAGCTGCAATGATGGTGAGACTTAGCCACGAAGAAATGGCATTCGTCAAGAAAGCAAATCATGGTCAAAGATTTCTTTCAATCATCACAGGACTGAACTTTTGAAGTACTGTATGTAACTTCAGATAATTCCCGTTTTATTCTACATCTGATTACTAGGCTTGCAATGTGTAAAATTATAACATAGTTTGATATTCAACAGGCCTTTTTCTTTACACCTCCATATTATCCGACATTTTCACTTACTTGATGTTCTGCCTGTCCATTTATGTTGGATAAGCAAGACTCTACTGTAGCTAAGTAATCCAACTATAAAAATTCAGAATTTTTTATAGCATATAAAAATATTATCATACTTTTAAATCAGGAAATTTAGCTAATAAACTGCCCAGACAGAGTTAAATGAACTGATAAATTTTGCTCAATGAAGATGCAGACAAACATAAGCTCCTTTCATACTTTTAGAACTTTAGGTTGCTCTCACTTTCCAATAAATAATTGAAAAAAATTAATTAGGAAAATACAGAGAGATAAAACAGGTACTGTGTTTTAAACATTTTAATAATGTTATCTTAAGTTATATATTTGTTAGTAAATATTTTTAACTTTATTATCCATGGTATATTGAAATGATCAGATTTTGAAAGATATTACTGCAACTGGTAATGACACAAGATGACTTTGGAGATGAAAGTAATGTAGATGCAGATGACAGTGAAAATATATGAAAAAAAAAAATTGATTCACAGTTCAGAAGATGAATTATTAAAGTAGCGGTCTTCAATCAGTGGCTTGTGGGCCACGAGTAGCCTGCTGAAGGCATTTTAGTGGCCCCACATTTGAATTCGAAGAATTTTTAAAAATTTTGATTTCAAGAAAAATCGCCTTATCAGCTTTTTGTCGGGGGGAAAAAAAAAAAAAGTTTCTCTTAGTCTTGATATTTAAAACATTTTATTGACATGCCTGATATTATTTGAGATAAAATTTTCTAAAAATGACAAGTTTTTCAAAAATTTCACTTTATCATATCATATGTAATTTTAAAAATTAAAATTTGGCTACGCATAAAATCTCAATTCCTAAAAAGGGTAGATTCTTATCTTTGTTGTAAAAGTGATTTGGAAGCTGAATATGGTGATGCTGTATATAACGTGAAAGTATGTTGGTTGAGCCGAGGAAAGATGCTTTAGCGCCTGTTTTCTTTGAAGAGTTCAACAATTTATGAAATCTAAAGAGAAATCTATTCATGAGTTCAATGATGAAAAATGGTAGAGAGACTTTGCTTTTCTTGTCGATTTTACAGGTCATCTGAATTACCGCTTACTAGGAAAAGATCTACTTGTTCATAATCTTTATTACTTTGTTGCTTATTACTTTATTGCTTTTGAGATGAAATTAATCCTGTGGGAAAATCAGTTGCTAAATATGAATTCCACTCACTTTCCAAAATTGATGGAGAATGTGAAGAACTCTACAATATGGAATTCAAATAATTATGTACAATGCATTTCAAAGTTGAAAGAGGAATTCAAAAGCAGATTTTCCAATTTTCGTGAAAATGAAATGTTCATGAGAATGTCGCCATTTTCAGCAGACGTTGGAGGTGTTCTGCCCGAACTTCAATAAGAATTTATAGATTTACAGTGTGACTCTGCAGTAAGTTGCAAGTTTCTTGAAAATCCAACATTAATTGATTTTTATTCAAAGTACGGTGACCGAAGAAAAATATCCAGGAATTCGATAACATGCACTCTTCATGTTTTCTAACTTTGTCAGTACCTACATATGTCAACAACTTTTTAGTGAAATGAAAATCCTAAAATCAAAAACAAGAACATGGCTGACAGACAGACATTTGGAGGAAATTTTACAAATTGCAACAACACAGATTAAACTGGATATTGAAGCTTTACTTAAGCAAAAACAATGTCAAATTTCAGATTAAAACCAATTACCATCTTCCACCAGTAATGTAAGTTTTTTTTATTGTGAATGCATTTTGTAACATCGTTCTGTACAATCATCTTTATACTTTTTTTTTCATAGTTAAAAATGTTGCAAAAGATTAATTCGATTTCCATTTGACTTTTGGGAACCAATGTATATATATATACACAAATACGTAACACTATCTCTTCGCTTAGAATTACTTGTAGTCTTGCAAAACAAACCTCCCCTTTTCATACAAATTTTCTGAATACACTACTTTTTGACAGACATGTGGCCTGCGAATCTTTGTGAATTTATTGATGGGCGAGAAAGGTTGAAGACCCCTATGAAATATATTAAAGGAATAAATATATTTTTCATTAAAAAGCTTAAAGAATAATATGGAACAATTCTCCTTTACCAAGGGCCAGCTGTAAACCTTATAAACTTTATGTAAAAGTTATCAGGTGTAGCAGATATTAGTAAAATTTACATGAAGTCCTTTTAAATGCTTCATAATACTCAAAAACAACATATTGATAGTGTAAAATAAAGCATGAACAAGATGAGAAATAAGAGATCTTGTGGAGTTACAGGCATTTAAAGCACATATTTGTAAATGAAGTAGACACAGTTTGTAGTGTGATGAGCATAAAGTAATTCAAATTTATAAAACACTGCCTTGGGTTTAATCACTGAAATATTACAAAAATAAAATAAAATATATTTTCAAGTCTTCAACAAAATTATAAAGTTTCTCAGTTTATTACATAACTCATTACAATGAAATTAAACATATGATGAACACTTTGTACTTGAAAGAGTTAGGCCTTATGTTATATATTGTTCGATGTTTTCTCAAACCATACTTATGTTATGTAATGTCCTAAGTTTTCTCATCTTCTATCAGAAGAATCACTCAGACCAAAAGTTTACGCAGATATCAGTTATATGCAAGTAGGTTAAATACTGTGAGCCCTTAACTGCAACTCATGCTACTGCGTCAGCAGACGCAAAATGCTGACTTGGGGTTGAAGTAATCAATGTGAAAGCAAGATTATCAATGCGCTATTATGATCAGTGGCTTTGAAATCCTATTTATAATTTTTGAAGTAAATTATCCCAGTTACCTACTTACGTCCAAAAGACACTGACTTTTGGGTATTACACAGGCAGTTTATCCAATTACAAATTTATGTCACACATAGTGCAATATTTTTTTTTTGCAAATTTTCTTTAGTTTGAACTGTAAGTTGTTGGATCAATAGCTATTTATATAATTCTTCTATTGTTACTTGTACCACAACAAGCTTCATTTGGTTTCATTTAAAATACATGATTCAATAATTATGCTATCAAAATAAACCATTTGCTTGAATTTTGAATTTTGCTTAAATAAATTTCAGATTTAAATACTTATTCTCTTTCTCAGTCATTTTATGAATTTTTATTTTAAACTACTAGTCTAATAAAAATAATTACTTTCCAAGTTAAGAATTTAAATTGCTGAATATAAAAGTTTAAAATTCATATTATTAAAAAATTTTGGCAGACAGAACAGCTTCTTAAAGAGATTAAAGAGATTAAGTTTTTGGATACTTGTTAATTATCCAGTTTTTTACATCATTAAAAATAATGCAAGTGATTATGATTCCTATAAGTATTCAGCAAACGTAGAAGCTGTTCTAGATTCCACTACATAGATGAAATTTTATTTATTTTCCTTTTCCAGTTAACGTTCTCTTTCCTAAAAGAAGGTGAGGATAGTTTCTTTTTTTACTCCAATGTCAACTTTGATTTTAAAAGAATTAGCCCATACACAAACAATACAGCATGTGCAGTGTATATTACCATTTGTCTTAGAGTTCATAAGAACGTAGTGACAAACTACAAAGAATAATTGTTTGACGGCATTTTTGAAGCAAACGTCAAATGATACCCAGTGAAAATAATAATAATAATAAATTTTGTGAATCTGTATTTAAGTCACTATACACCATTTTTATTACAAATTACAAATATCAGATGTTATTCTATAACTAATTATTAGGAGACCCATAAACATTCGAGAACATACAATAACAAAATACAGATTGCACAAAATATATTCACATTTAATGCAAGAAATTATCCTTATAAATTATTTAATGGTTATATATTCGATGTAAGATTTGAAAATGAGCAAATTGAAATAGTAAATATATATGAATTCAGTTACAAATATATAATAGTAAAAATTACACAGTTCTCATTTAAGCACATAATGAAAGACAATAGTCTGATATTCAGTTTGTCTATTACAAATTTATATAAGTATCATTTGAGTTTAAAATGTAATTTCAATTACCATAACTTGCTAAAATGCATAAATATTAGAGAAATTTTGTAAATATTTTATGGAAAAGCAGAATATTTAAAAATAAATTTTCATTACATACCAATACAATCAAAATATTTTAATCAACAATAATTATGGAAAATTTACCATGGACATGTGTATGGCTCAGGATGGACATAAATGTAAGCCATCATCAGTTCAATAGCAATGTCATGTATATACCCATGCTTCATTTGTGCAGATGCCCATCTTTTTGCCAAACGGCAAGCAGTACCATACGTATTATGTTGCTGATGCAAGCTAAAAATGTACAATAAAATCATGACAACCACATCAATCTTACATTTTTTTATACTTTTCTATTAGCAGCGCTACCTCAAAAAGGCACCAAAAGATTTGTCTGGTAACAACTATTTAATCATGAAAAGTTTTCAAAACAACATTATGATAATTTTGCTTTAGACTGGCAGCTGCATTCGGTGATTTTTTGTTAATGCCTTTCCGAAGTGAAGCTGCTAATGGGAAAATACCCACAAGCAACAAAAAGCTAAAAAGTAATATTTGAAAATAAAATTTGCAGCCTAGACCTTCCAAAATATTAAGTTGGTATTTTATAAAACATTTCAAATAAAACCTTTTCAGTAACTTTCATAAAATATTGACTTTTTTTTTTTTTATTTGTATGTAGTCCTATAATATTTTATTTCAATTTTGAACTCTACAATGCATGAATTCTTATTTTCTACTAAAAGTAAGTAAAAGATGTGCAAGATAATACAAAAAGTTTTAAATGCAAGTTTTTTTTCAGTTAATTAAAAAAGAATTATTACGCACTATGATGTACTCGCAGAGTTGCCAACTCTCCCGATTTAAGCGGGAGACTCCCGCTTTTCGACCGCTCTCCCGCCAACCCGATTTACGATATATTTCTCCCGACTTTTTCTTATTCTTAAAATTTCTCACGACTTTTATGCAACTTGGCTTAATACTTTGTTATATGAATAAAAACAAAGTGCTTTTGTATGTCTGAAAGCAATTGAATTATTCTACATTATATCTGAAACAAAACCTTGCTAATCAGATAGCTTCTGCTTTGTGAGTGAGAGCATTATACGTATCCAGAAACGTCGTTCTCCAATGGGCTTCGAGCTCCACTGCATGTCAGCTGGCATATATTAGCCAATGAGGACTAAGTAAGTTGTTATTTGGACGTGCTTTAGTTATTTTTTTCATGTTGTCCAGAGTTGTGTGAGTACACGTGCCTTAGGGAAATAGTTTTAGAAATTATCATCTTTTGCTACGTCTGCGAGAAAGTGAAATCCAGAGTTGCGTGAGTACACGTGCCTTAGGGAAATAGTTTTAGAAATTATCATCTTTTGCTACGTCTGCGAGAAAGTGAAATACTCGTGTAGGTTTCAAAAATCGTACACAGTTGACTTTCATTCCATTATTTCCTCAAAGAAATGTAATAAATTTGCGATGTGTACCGCCCGTCGTTGCGATTTTTCGATTTCGTATGGTGGAAGGGCGGATGTTCTCAAACATGTACGTACGCAAAAACACAAGGATAACATGAGTTGTTTTAAAAAAAAAAAACGGAAAATTAAATTTTTCTTCGGAAACAAAGGACCAAAAAGTTATTAATGCAGAATGTCTGTTCTCTGCCTTTTTACTGGAGCACATCCTGCCACTGAATGCATCGGATCACGCTGCAGCTTTATTTAGAAAAATGTTTCCCGATAGTGAAATCGCTAAAAAATACTCAAGGTGCAAGAATCAAAACAGGATCAATTGTTAAAGAAATGGGTTTGAAAAATAAATCTTCAGTTATTGATAGCATTAAAACAGCTCCTTTCTGCCTCTCTACGGATGGAAGTAATAATACCGATTCAAAACTGTGTCCAATTGTTTCTTTTTTTGATCCAGAGTCTTCAGAAATTGAGTGCAGTTTACTTTATGTTCCTACTTTAGAAGGACATTTGACAGGCTTTAATATAGCACAGCTAATTATTAAAACTTAAAAAGAAAATGCAGGCCCTCTGGATAATTGCTTAGCACTTGGTGCCGATAATGCACCAGTATTGGTAGGCTTGGAAGACTGGTGTTGCAGGCATCTTAAGAAAAGGAAAATCAGATTATGAGGTGCACCTGTCACCTCTTAAATTTAGCAGCTGAAAAAGGGGCAGCTTCTTTACCCATAAATGTGGATGAACACATGGTTGATATTTATTATTATCTTGAAAGGAGTTCTAAAAGGAAGGAAAAATTGAAACAATCCATCCAAGTCTTCATTCAAGTTTTCTAATTGTAACAGCTGCATAACAGCAGTTTACAATTAGAAAACTTGGATGAAGTTATAAAATCAGCTAGGATTGACACCCAGTGGAGTTTAATTGGAAAAGTGAAAGGTGCTGATGGAACTGTAAAATATAGTGAACTGTCTAGAATTGTGTTACCATCTTGACAGTTCCCTATAGTAATGCAGAGTGCGAGAGGATTCTCAGTGTTACGAAAACGAGGACTAAATTTCGATCTAATATTAGTGATGACACATTCGAAAAACTTTTATTAGCGAAAACAGGCCTACGTGGTAATTGCTGTGAATAAAATTATGAAGTTTCTTTCTTAAAGAAAGCAAAATCTGCCACTGTTTATAACATTTGTACGAAAACTAAAGTGTCTTTTTTTTCCCCTTAAACGATGAAAGTAATAAAAATGTTTATGTGTAAGGTATTTTTTTGTTGCTTGCATTTAAGAATTAGTTACTATTTAAAGTTAATTCATTATTAAAAACTATATTTTTATCATTTAAAAAGTCTTTTTAACATTGTGAAAAATCTCCTGATTTCTTAAAAAAATCTCCTGATTTTTGAGTGTCATAGGTTGGCAAGTATGTACTCGATTACACCGTGCTATGTTTTATTAAATGAATGCCTATGAAACTGAACCTCAGTATATTTGATGCAGAAATTGAACAAGTATTTTTAATTATAAGATATAGATATTTATCTTATAATAAAAGTCATGGACAAGGGTCTATTATTAGATAAGCTATGGCTTAAATGCATTTAAAAGTTGAAAATTTAGGTCTGCAGCATATCAGAAGGAATTTTACCTTTCTCTTTCTTTATAACTTTTTTAGTTTAGATCAGGGTTTCTTAATCTGTGGGTCGCAGGACCTGCAGCAGGGGGTTGGCAAAAATTTTAGCAGTTTTGATATTTCTTTAACTTATTATAATAATTTTACAATTACCAAATATTTTCACAAAAATGTATCTGAAAATAGATAAAGATAAGACAATACAGACAAAGAAAAAACAAAAATGTTTTGACACATTCTTTTTATAATAAAAACGTTCATCTTCCTTGCTTTGCATGTGACGCTGTCATTTCGTCTGTTACTTATTTAAAATTTTCATTATTCTATGTCTTAAAATTAGAAATTAAAGTTAATGACTTGAACTGCAATAGTATATATTATAGTATAAGGAGGAAAATTGAGTTTCATTCATGCACGTGTCGGAATCACGCAATACTTATGGAGTCCCACAAAAGGTCGCGAAAAAATCTCAGTGATAAAAAGGGGTCGCGTCTCAAAAAAGTTTAAGAAATCCTGTTTAGATCATAGGTTATGCACAAGCGATGAATTTGCTGCACCACTGATATGAACACTCAATCAGTGCAACAAATTCGAACTCACATGAAACTTGCCTAAACTTGAGGTGCGCTAATGCAAAGGCACAGTAATGCATGCACTTTCTGTTGAACTCTATCCTTTTGCTTGAATTTTCTGATGACCATCATATTTTTAACGGCCACAGGAACTTTTATCTTGTCAAGTTCACGCTCATTTTTACATGTCTCACTGCTTTCGGCCTTGCTTATTGCTTACATGTTGTAAAGCCTACTTTATCGTTCAGGCTTGTTCAATTTTTAAAATTTATAATTATTATTATCTAATTGATTATGAAAAAGTATATGGGTCTAATCGAAGAAAAAGTTACTTGGCTGCTTTTAAAAGCAAGATATGCAAGTTCAAACAAGAATTATAGAAAATGAATAAGAATTAAAATATCTTGTAGTTCTGGTATCATAGCCTGGCATGTTTTGGAAGTCAATTTAGAAAAATGCACAATAGGGCAGATACAAAAAGGGATTATCCGTGTCAACAGTTAAATTTCACCTAAAAGCAAAAGTAATTGCTCAACAAACAGGCATTAAATCTTTATTAGAGTACTTTATTGGTGTTTCATCATCATGAAACCGAAAAAATTATCTATCAGGACTAAAACGATACTGGGAGAGAAGCTTCTTGGGGAAGGGGGAAGATAACTCTTTTGGATTACACATTTAGGAAAATTAAAGAACAACATTTGAACAGAAGGTAAATAATTAATACAGATTAAGTGCCCGTTACTTTTGACTGTCCTCCGAGCAGAATTATTCATTCAACTGGTGAAAAACCTATTTCTGTGTTAACAAGACTTCTTTTACTTGTGTTTTGGGTTCTGCCACCAATGGAGAGAAGTTAATCTCTTTTAATAACTTTCAAAAGAAAAATAGTTCTGAAAGGAAACTTCTTTAAAAAACAGTGAGAGGAATGAATGTGAAGCAGACTCCAGTCCTTCACAAATTTTGGACAAATGTGGAAAAGCTTCATTTCAGGAGGTTGCCTTGCGGGTTGATAAAGCATAAGTCTGAGCTGATATGATAGTAACAGCTTTCATTAAATTGGAAATCACAGAAACCGAAAACTGGCATTGAAAGAAATGACCCAAAACAGAGTGATGAATGTGACCTCGAAGTCATTTGTTAAGTTTATTAAATTCTGGGGGGGGGACTCTTTAAATCCCTAAAATAATAATAATAATAATAATAATAATTTTAAAAAAAATGTGAAAGGTTTCAGATTTTAAATTACGTCCAAAGGGACATTTTTTTTTAATGTTCTGTGTGTTAGCTTTATTTATTAAATATCATGTTCTTTGCACTTAAAGCATAAAATTCAGTTCAATAGCAATGTCACAAAATAATTTTAAATTGAGGATATCTTTAGAATTTCCGATACACACCCGCTGGAGTTAAAAAGGTCCCCCCCCCCCCGCGCCGCCGCCGTAGAGTGTTGCCATTGCTCGCTTTTAAATCGTTGAGTTTGTTAATCAAAAATTCGTTAAAGTTTTACAAAATATGAAATCGATAATAAAACAAATTCTAAACTTCATATTTGGTCTTCCACATGCCCATATTCATAGGATGATTACGTCATTCAAAATTTGATGGCTATATTTACTGTTGTTTTATCACAATGCAAGAAATAGACATACATTTATGCAGATTTTTCATTATTTTCTTCAAATATAATGCAAGAAAGTGAAACGGACATTTGTAGTGATTCAACGCAAAACGAATTTCATGTACAAAGCCCTTTTGGACTAAAAAATCAGCAATACGAACAATTTTGAAAATAAAACAGTTAATTTCATTTAAATTTTTTTCAAATATAAACTAAAGAAATAAACAAGTGCTGTAATGGCAATTTATCACTTACACATGATTAACAGAAAAGTACCCATGTTTTTCGCTAAGACTAGTGGATCCCTATATAAGCCAATTCCCATAACTTAGCTTTAGAAAAAGTTCCAAAAATTCTCAGCTTCTACATAGAAATGAATGGTAAATAAATATGTGCTACCTTTCATATTTTTTACACAATTAAAAATTAAAATATCCTTATAAATTAACAATAAAATTAATTTTATTTAACTTAGAATAAACAAATAATCCCAATAATTCAAATTATGGACATCTGAAAACTACATAATGCATGTCTACTGTATATCTATGAAATAAAATAAGTTCTGGAAGTTTACCCATGAAGAACACTGTTCAATTTGGGAAGAACTTCTGTTGACACTTCCAAGTCATGAGATTCTTTAGTTTCTTTTATTTTAAGAAGTCCATTTGGCATTCGAATCTGCTTCAATAAATATATCTCTTTGTGGCATGCTATCTCTAAACGAAAAACATAGCCCTCCTAAAACAAAAATAATTAAAACTTAGATAAAATCCTCTTATCTACCTTTTAAAAAGAGCCATATAAATAGAGTTGCAATATAAAAGAAGGACTTAGTTATTCCATATTTAACATATCAGCAGCTACGTTATCTTTGTTGTCATTACAATTAAAATCATTAAAAGATTAGACTGCTCATCAAAAGCTAAGTCACAAATATAATTATTCAGATTGTGACTTTTGTCATTCAGCAAATTTCTTTTCTTTTCTCATTACTGCCTTTATCTTACCAATTTCTAAACATATCTTGGTTCTTTCTGATTATTTGCATTCCTTCAAAAGTATTTATGAGGCAACATACTATGTTGTCAAAATGCATTTTTGTGGCAACCCAGATATGCATGTGTGCACGACCCTTTAACTTCAACAGCCATTTTTCTGATTAGTGTTTGTATGGCAGAAGGAGTCAAATGCACATGCATAATTCACATTAACTCTCAAGTTAAAATGATATGAAAACTTGGATATGTAAACTTGGAAATCAAACAGTATTTTTCAAGCTCAGTTTTTAGCAATAAAAATGGTCCTAATACAAATGGAATTTTACTAAAGAGTAGAGAATGCAAAAATTCACATTCCCTGATTATGCATTTCTTAAATGATTAAATTTAATGGAAATGTAAGGTAAAAAATTGCAAGCAAACTGTTAGGATACAAGATGATGATTTTCTGAAATTATTTGATTTTTTTAAAGTGAAATCTAGTCACTGTGAACAAGGGGAAAACAGCACAAAAAATTTCATAACGATTCTTGGAAAAGGTAACTGTTATATTATGGATGTCCCTTGTTCTTTTTCTTTTTCTCTTTCATGTAACTTTTAGTGTATCAGCATTCTGAAAATGTATCTTACCTTTCATGTTTAGCTTGACAACAATTAAGTAACTTTTTAGGAACAGGTGTGGGTAATCAGAAAGTACTATGTTTTATCAACTCTGTGTTTAAATATTGTTGATAATAATAATACAATAGAACAACAACAAAAAATTTCCTACACAGAGTAGATAATCACCATCTTATGTTACGACTGTCACCGATTGAATAAAATAAGAAGTTGATAATTATTTAGAAACTGTGAGCAATGCTTATGGTTGAGTGAAGGAACAGTAAAAGATTTCTATGCTTACTGTATTTTTATTAGCGGTTGGCCCAATGAGAACTCTTAAGCTCTAATGAGAAAAGTCAGAAATGGGCACATCAGATTTTCTTGTATGGCCTTTTAAATTATACACATTTTTTGCTGCATTTCGTTTAACCTTATTTCCTCAAATTTCATTACAGATATACTTCTCACTTAATCAATTCAGTTTTCAATTCGCTTCATACATAAAAACTCAACACATCTTCATTTAAAAAATAGCTAATACAAAAAAGCTAAAATACCAAATACAGTTAAAAACAATTTTTGTAATTAAAATTAGTTTTTACACCAAAACAAGCAATTCAGCTAACACACAAGAAAACAAAATTTTTGGTGCAAAAAAATTAGTAACTTTTAAATAAACTTTTTTAATAAAGTTAACTTTTGGTCCCACTGGGCAAAAAGACTCCAAGCTTGGTGCACCAACTGACTTAATTCACTATGCTATTAAGAGTTTCAAATGTAAACACCACATTAGACCTAGCCCAACTTGACTTTTAAATTGTTCATAATTCTACAACTCTTGCATCTAGATTAACTAAATTCATAAAACCCTTAACAGGAAGATAACAACATAATTCAACTACTTATAAAGCAAAATATGCACAATATACCAACACATAAGAATAAAAAAGAGCTTTCCGAGCCATGTATGTGGGTGGATGTCTCGAAAAAAATCCTTTCTCATTCCATTTTACAATCCATTTTTTGGAAAAAAGAGGCCTTTAGTATGTTTGTATGCACAGATGATATGGGAGAGAGAGAGAGAGAGAGAGAAAACATTCAAATTAATTCGAGAGCAGTCAAAGTAGGTATTTTCCTAGAAACATACCTGAAATTTTTCGTACTTATAATACAGTCAAAAGTCGTTAATCTGGACTCGTTGGGACTTCGGCGATTCCGGATTATCGATTTTTCCGGATTATACAGTTTAAATCTCGTAAGATGGCATGCAGAAATTCTAAAATTAAAAATATGAAACCATAATTTATGAAAAAAAGAACAATTATGATCTAAAGGGTATCAAAATTTACAAAAAAAAAGCTTAATATTTATTTGTTTACTTTATTAAACATTTCTTTCAATGTAAGTTGTTTAAGTTGCTTCGTTTTATGCTGATAATACTTTATCTCTTAATTCTATAACATGACATATAATTTCTTGTTCAGTTACAAAGTTCCGCTGTTCAAATCCCATAATTGCTGTGCCGAGAATGCCGACTAACTTGTCAATCGAAATTTTTTCGTTTTCACTAACCTCTCCATCACCTTCTTTATGTCTTTATCCATTTTTTGCAGCAATTCCACTTTTTGTTTGATGGACATCGAAACATACTTTCGTTTTGTAGATCCTTTGGGAGCTCCAGCATCAGAAATTCTATTTGACATAATCGAAAGTTCAAGTTTACTTTTATAAAATTGCTCTTACAGTCTGAAAAAAGTAATAAGCCATATCCAGTTCGAAGATTAAGGAACAGCACAATCATCAACATTAACTGAAATAGATAATTTTAGCTTATACCATCCGTTATACATTAAACGTGCACACGAAAACGTATTCTCCACTTGCGCACACACATATGCGCAGTCGTAAAGGTCTTACGCGCACGCGTAAACGCTTATGCGCATGTGTCAACGCGGCGCATGCGCAGAAAGTTTTTAGCTTTGAGGTCTGGATTATAGATCATTCCGGATTATGGGTGTCTGAATTAACAACTTTTGACTGTATTTCCTTTACTTTATACAAGGAAGTAAAATGCTTTAGCATCTTAATTTACAGTTGCAAGAAAAGAGGGGAGGAAAATCAAGGGTTAAAATAGCATACATCTGAGTAACAGCATGGCTAGATTAGAAGTGCTTTCAGTGATTTAAACACTATCATATTCTTAAGCTATAACTAAATGAGTGATGAAATATCACAAACAGAAAGACAGAATGATGAAATTTCAAGAATATATAAACTGATTACAACATATTCCATAACAAAAAGGAAAAATGAGGGGGAAAAGACACGAGTGATGCCATTTAGGAATGGGGAATACAATCAGAAATTATCTGTTTATAGATGAGTACAAAAAACAGATTAGAATTTGAGCGATTATGAAATGATTGAGAATCACTGAACTATAGTGTTGAACACATCCAGTTTATGCTACCTGAAATCAAATGCACTAAGGGGTTGAGTACGAGGATACAAAAAGTTTGAAGGTCACAATGCTAGAACAAGGTGAAAAAATTTATTGTCAAAGGTATAGTATAAAGTTAACTCTCAAATCATCACTTCATTAAAATTTTAATCTAAAAGCATTTTAAGGGCTTGGAAATTACTGATAAACTCATGTAGAAGAAGAAACGAATAAATTTCTAATAATTAAGCAATTTTCCATACTAAAATTAACAAATCAAATATGATCTCTTTTTTTTTTATTTCAAAATAGTCACATTTTTAATATGTTATTAAAAAAAACTTTCATGAAAGTTTTCTACATAAAAATATTACCTTGAAAATATCTACATGTGTTAGAAAAGGAACAGAAACTAGGGAGCACTGGGACTTGACTAACTCTGCAATTTTTATATAAAATGCAGCTTTGACCCTTTTAAGAGCATCTACATCACTAGGCCACTTGCCACTGCCTTCCAAATTTAAAATCACTGAAACAAAATGAATTTTATGAAATTACACAATTGAAAATTAAATATCTAATGTTACATATGGAAGTCTTCCTTACAAAAAAAAAAAAAAAGTATTTTAAGAAATGTTCTAATTTTAAGAAGAAATCTATAAAAATCATAAAAATATATTTTCCTTTGAAAGAAAGTCACTGACAACTAAAATCTGTTATAGAACAAGTATTAAACATAAATTTTTACATCTTATTTCTAATGCAAATACAATACAAAGTCCGAAATCCGGACGACCATTGTCCAGAATAATCTAAAATCCGGACCTCAAAAACACCAACAATGTTTTCTCGTAGGCATGCGCATTTGATTTCACCCTCAGCACTTAATAAAATATCTGGAGAGTCCCGATTCTTAATTTCACTTCAACACTAAATAAAATACCTTGTTATTGAAGTAACAATCATTTTAGTATAAATTTGCAGAATCAGTAATTTGGCTCCATTGCTGAGTATCTGCATGGCATACATCTCAAACTGTTGAACTGTAGCCAACCTGGCGAATCATTATTTATTATACTTTCCTTTCATCACTGCATGTATATCAAAACATGCCAAATTGAGTAATGACTTATGTAGCGATGCCTAAACAATTTATGTTAGTAATTGAATAATACAGAAGTGTGGTAATCTTTTATGTTGACATTATGCTTGGTGATGATTACAGATTTAAGTTAAATGCGCTAAAAATTGTTGATGGGGAAAAATTTACCAAAAATTTCTTTCCATATGCTAAAAATAGATTTTATTGATGATACTTATACGCCCAAAGATTACATTTAGGGCTATTTGAATTAAGAATAGCTGATTTGTTATTCGCATAAACCCAGAACCAGCGCCAAGGCTCGTAAGGTGGCACTAGGTCACAGAATTTAGGACCCACAGAGACTGCATCAGACGGTAAGATATCTACTCTTACAAATCAGAAACACACACAGAAAAAAATCTTTTGATTACAACCACAAAAGCCTGAAAAAATCTCACTGAAATCTAATTCACCAGCAAAAAAATTTTTTTTTTTTTTTTTTTTTTTTTGCCAGTTTTATTCTTTTAAAGATTATAAAATTTTAAAATCTTTATAATTTTTATTGCTTTTTACCCATATTGTCATTTTTTTAACCACTTACTCTGCATCTGCTATGCAATAATTTACATTTGTATTATATCATTTATTTTATTTATTTTACTTCAAACATTTAGGCAATATAGCGTAAAACATATTTGTTCTTTAAGAAAATGAATTCACATTTGATTTAATTTTAAATTCAAGCTTTTGTGCTTCTTGCAACTCAACAATTATTAATTTACATAATACTGAATTGAAATATATTTGTAAATAAATAATTTAAATTATATTAATGCACTAAATTGAAAAGTATTACAATCTACAACAGCAAAGGGATAAAATATTGTTAAATGAATCAAAAATCATATAATAATCAAATTTATCAATTAGTATTAATTATCACATATTTGATTTCAATAACAGTAAACTTCCATCTCTAACAAAAAATATATTTCTGAAGTCTAAATTTTTCTGAACTATGGGGGGGATGCCATAATAGCCAACATAGCAGTAATCAAACTCTTTTAATGGCTCAGACAAAGTAAGAAAGTTATAAGAATCATAAATTACTACATCTCCTCGATATCATTTATAGCCATATATTTCAAGTTTATTTAAATGTTAATTTACAACCTTCATTTCACTGCACAATTTTAATATTATCTTTTAATAATTAACTTTTAATAAATACATGAAAAGGTTAGCAACATTTAAAATCACTATAGAAAATGGAAATAAAATTAGTCCATGGAATAGAAACTGCAAATTCTGAAAATAGTTACAGTGAAAATTCATTGTAGCAACTACTATTTTAACTTTAAGTGAAGGTAATTAAAACAGTGTATGGAAACGTAATTTTTGAAATGAAAAATCCACTTTAAATAAGACAATTTTAAAAATCAATTAAATAAAAACTACTCAATGTGCATTCAATAAAATTACAATTTATCTACGTTATCAGATTATATTCAATAATTTTTTTTTTTTTTTTTTTTTTCAGAGGAGGTGTAGAACTCTGATTTCCGTTCACAGTTCTTGCCTCAGACTTATTACAGACATTTTAATATCCTCTCAATGAACTGTTGAATTCGGCAAAACAACATTTCACTTTTTACTACATGCCTCTTGTATAATTTTATCTGTATTTTGCTTTTAAGGAATATGTTAAATATAATATAATTTTTTTTATCCAAAAACATATTATATGATTAGATTTTCTAGTGAATATTCTTCATTGATTTGACTGTCATGATCATATTTGTTGATGACATGCATCCATTCTTTCAAATGATATCACAGTTTTTTTTTCATAGAAGACAGACTTGTGACTTCTGAACTAATTTTTGATACAGAGTTACTTCAAAACTTAAAGAGTAATCATATGCTCAAATTTGAAGACTAAAAATAAAAGTAAGAAAAAAGTGATACACTCTCTTCATGCACATAAGAACAAAAACTGACCTTTCAAAGCTGGAACATAAGGTGGAGCTTTAAGAGAATTTTCTTTCAGTTTCACGATATTATCAGAAATGAAACAGATCTTCTTTTCGATGGTATATTCTGCAGAGAGAGGTGGGAAAACCTAAAAGAAATATAAAATTATCAATAAGCTTAATATGAAGAATATTTAGTGATTAAGGAATTAAGACAAGCAATGATCTAAACATTGTTCTAAAATACTTTTGTATAATAGGCACTTTCACTGAAAATTCTTCTACACAATATTCCAGACTATGCTGAAATAAAGAGGTTCTTCACACATTTTTTAGACGATTTAGTTTTGCTGGGGGGACACACCTTTGCTTGGGGGAGGGAATTAAATGCAACTATATTTTTGAAAATATAAATTATCGTCTGCTACCTGGCAGTTTTGTTTTCATGCAAAATGTCGCTTTAACGAAGAAATGGATGGAATGCTATGCTTATGTTCTTTCTGAAGAAAATTATTTATATATAGTTATTAAAAAATGTTGTGAAAGCTATGGTTTTTCGACATTAAAGCTATAATAATGTTGTCAGCAATAAAGAAAAAACGTCAAAATTTAGCTGATATGAAATTCCAGTTATGTATCCAAGGAGAAAACTGAATGTTGCAAAATTAAAATATTTAATTTTAAAAGAAAATCTGCCAAGTCAAAGGACAATTGCAAAATCATTAAAATGCTCAGTGTCAACTGTAAACAAAACGATGAATGCTGATTTGAATCTTGAAAAGGCGGAAAAACATAATGTACATCGTCTTTTCCACTTAACAAGCAAACTTTTTGAGATACATATATTTTTTGCTACAAATTTTTTAACATTACAAAATAAACTTTTTAATGTTATAATATGGATTTATAAGGTGTTTTCTGTATGTTTCATAAAAAATTATATCTCATTTGTTTCTTGAAAATACACATGTATTTGTAATAACTATATTTGCATAAGCTTAGAGGCATGTACAGAGATAACATCAGAGCTTGGGGAACTGGACAGTTCTCTTTTGTATAGATCAAAAGTCTTCAACCACCATAAAACACCATTTAAAAAAAAGGGGGAGATCTACATGAGAAAAGGAAAATCTACATGATCTACATGAGAATAAATTCTCCTTATGTTTCATCACATTTACCGCAGTTGGAAGAAGAATTTAATTTCATAAAAATTAAGTTTTTGCATACTAATACTCTTGCAAACAATAGATAAAAGTGGTATTGCTAATATTAAAAGGCATTTTTCCCAAAGATGTTTCAGAGTTGCTACTGATACAAAATCAACTATCAAAGAATTCTGAAAGAATCACTTATTCTTCTTTGCTTGTGTTTTATTAACCAGGCAAGGGTAGTGATATAAGATCATAAATTTACCAGTAATAAGACCAGTCTCAAGTTTCTTCATCATTCCATTCTGATAGCCAGCACTTCATTGATTACACTGTTACTGGGAATGAAACTGGGTTTCATCATTTTATCCCCACAACTAAAAGAGCCACTATGGAGTGGAAACATAAAAATCACCAACAAAAAAAATATTATAATTACACTGCTGGTAAAGTTATACGAACCATATTCTAATATTCATGTGGTGTTATCTTGTTTGAGCACTTAGAGCATAGCTGTACCATTGTGCTAGGTGAGCAGGTTATTCTTTTAGCATACTACAGTACAAAGTCCGTAATCCAGACTCATCGAAACTTCGGCTATTCCGGATTAGGGTTTTTTCTGGATTATAGATCATCAATTTAAATCTGGTAAGATGGCATGCAGAAATTATACAATTAAAAATATGAAACCGTAATTTATGAAATAAAGAGCAATTATGATCTAAAGGGTATCAAAATTTACAAAAAAAAAAAAAAAAAAAAAAAGCTTAATATTTATTTGTTTACTTTATTAAACATTTCTTTCAATGTAAGTTGTTTAAGTTGCTTCATTTTTTGTGCTAATACTTTCTCTTTAATTCTATAAACAGACATAATTTCTTGTTCAGTTACAAAGTTCCACTGGAGGAAAGAATAATACAGATACATTATCTTTCCTTAAAACTTTAAGTAAAGTATGCGCCAAACAGTTGTCAACAATCAGGACTATTTTTGAGTCATCAGGTAAACCAACCGAATTCAAATATCACTGAGCCTCGGGTATAAAATGATTTTGAAACCAATCACTCATCAATGCTTTTGTCATCCATGCTTTTTTATTTGCGCGATATATAACAGGGACTTTGTACTGTGTTACTGCTGAACGTTATTGTGCTTCTTTGACAAGATCATGTGAAGCCATCCAGCACGAACCATCACCACCGAAAGAACAATGCCCTGGCAATGGCATTATGAAGTCACTACTAAAAAAGTTAAAGGAAAGAATGTTCCTGTACCTAGTTAATGCTGTATAAATTAGAAGTGAGAATGTTTCGCTAATTAAGAATCCCCCTCTTCCCAATATCAACACGAATAGTCTATTAATTAAGTGTATTTCTTTTATATTATTAAATTTAGGACATTTATTGAAGCTTTTGCTAATGAATTATTATCAGGGATTTATTACATAAATTCACTGCCTTTAAATAATTCACATCTTGTTGCAATATATGTACTAAAAAAATTTTTTTTTTTTTTTTTTTTTTTTTTTTTTGCAAAATTGCCTATATATATTATTTTTAATTCTGAGTTCCCAATAAGAACTCTACAGTTAAGATTTTTACTATACTATTATTTATGTTACAATACTACAGAAGTTTCGATAATCAGTGCAAAGTGGATATTGGTAATAAGGAAAAAGAACTTTATCTTTGAAAATAACTGCCCAAGTATTAGGAAGTTTCTCAGCTTTTATGTACAGTAAAAATTTTAAATGCATTTTTTTCCCAACATAAATTATTTAGTGGTAAGACTTGCGGCAAGTGCAAACTGTAAACCTGTTCCTATCAATTTTTGTTTCTGCTCTAATCCGCACTTTCTCTAAAAACTGAAGATTTGCTTGATAAATATTTTGGACAGTTAGGCAGTTGTGGAGGTAAAGCATCCTTTCGAAACTTTGGACGAAACAAATTTATCTTTATAGAAATTCCTTTTTTCTCATCAATGATTAACTCTGAATGTCTAATTAAAGACAATATTTTTCCCAAATTAAGAATGAAAGCAAATCAATACTGACTACCACTATAGATTCACACGGAAATTTTATAAATAATCTGTGCAAAATGAAAATGCATTTTTAACGAAAGGTCTTAGGATTCCAAGCAGAAATACATTTACAGAACTGAAAAATGTTATACAGCTCAATTCCAGGATATATATATACGTATTATCCTGATATTCTGAAAAGTTTGTGACAAGAAAAATTTATCAGTTTCTTCTTGCTTATTATTAAATAAACTATTAAAATTTAATTAAATGGTCAACATAAAATTAGTAAAGAAACAACCTTATATTGGGCATAGATTTAGACAAAAACTATCAATCGCATTTGATGGCAAACAGATCGTTCTTTATCAGAAGCAAAGAAATTTGCAAGTTAGCATTTTTCATTATAGATTTTAATAAATGCTTTTGCTTTGATGACTAACTACAATGCAATTTGTTAGCACATAATTAATTTCAGATTTTACTGAATTAAAAATATTATAGAAGTATAATAATATCAAACATAGAATAATGCCTATCTTTGGGATTATACAGAGATAACGCAAACAGTTTCTTAAAAAAGATCTTATATACCTTAGGATGTTTGGATGGATTGAAATTCTGCCGATGAATCGTACATAACCATTTCTTGCACATAAAATCTGATTTTGGAAATAAGTCACTTTTCAGGATTTGGGTAATTTTTTTGTGCAGTTAGGTATATAGCAAGTATAAATCATTCTTCAGCAGATTATCGGTAACCACCAAATAAAATACTTGAAAGTCCTTTATAAATATGATGCACTACATGAAATATCATGCTATAATTACAAGTAGGCAGTAGATTTGTTATGGCTCACTAGTTTCCCTGCTAGTGATGTCACAAGCAGCAGAAAGAAGGTCTTATTCTTTTGGCTGTTACGTGCAAATGCCGTGTGATGGTGTCATCCTCCTACATAACAATGCAGGCCCCTCCCATACTGCTTGCTAAATTCCTGAATTGTTGCAAAAGTTCAAATGCAAAGTCTGGAGAACACCCTCCCAATACAGCTCGGATTTAGCACCAAAAGACTGATTCCTTTTTCAAAATTGAAGGAACACTTATCTGAAAGAAGGTTCTCTTCAGACAGGGATGTGAAAACAACGGCCAAGAACTCGCTCAATGCGCAGGGATGTGATTTCTACCAATCCAGGTTAACACAAGCCAGTTCAGCATTCAGATAAATGCCTAAAAAGATTTTGTGAATAGGTAGAAAAGTGATCAGCAAGTATGCCTCTTAGTTCCCTTTTTTACTTTCTCTTGTAATTTTTTGGGCTGGAGGGATTCATCCTCATGTATATGTGTGTGTGTGTGTGTCAGTCTTGTAATCTATGCATTACCACCACTGGATTTTATTTTTACACAGACAACAACAGACACATGACAAAAAGTTAAAAATTTTGAAAACAATGTGTTAAAGAATATCATAAGTCTATTTTATAGATAACATTTATAGTATAAAAAAGTATTTGTTGAAAAATGTTATTAAAAACTTCATAAAAAATTACATTTTAAAAGATCAACTCAAAACTGTATTCAGCAATATAATATGAAAGTTAATACTCACGAATCAACAACATTAATTATTTATATCAGATTATAATCTCTACATATAATAAAGCAAAGAGTCTGTCTGTGTGTGTGTGTCTTTAGTTAGCGCTGCGCGTAAGCTAATAGACCCACGGCTATGAAATTTGGTACATAGGTGCATCTAGACAAGAGCCAGTGCACCTCTAAGCGATTTTTTCGAAATTTGAATTAGAATTTTTTTTATTTTATGTTTTGTGACGAAATCGCGTCATTTTGAGACATAATGGGCTATAGGAAAGCGAGATTTTACTCTACGCACTCCATTTTCACATCGTCATGAAATGTACGCACTTAGCTATTTTACGAACTTAAAATAAATTTTCAATAAATTGATTAAATACGAATTTATTTAACAAAGTGAGCTTAACACCTTTTCAACGGGATTTTTTCCAAAAAAGTTTATGTTTAAAAATGTACAGTTTTTTTTTTCTTTGATTTTTGGACACGTTAAACTTTCATCCTTGCAACTGCTTACACAAAAAGAATTTTGGAAAAATGATAATATTTTGTATTTTTAAAAAATTTTTTAAATGAAGCTTCTGAGTACACTTCTCACATCTTTACGAATGTGATTTTGGCAACAATTTTCCTTTCTTACTGTTGTTGATAGATTTTTGATGAAATCACATTATTTTGAATAGTTTCATTCTTTTAGAAATATGGGTTTGGCAACAATTTTTCATCGTATTTCATCGTATGTCACTGTTTTTAAGAGATTGGCATATTTCATTGCCATTTTTTTTGATATATAATACATTTTTATTAGTGTTTTTTATAAAGTTGTTCTGCAGAGTAAAATTCTGTGCGGAATTTTTTGTTTTTTGAGTTTCTTTCATGTTATTTTTTGCTTATTTCACTATTTGTAAGATATTGAAAAGTTTTGCATGATTTTTTTTTCAACGGAAAGTTTTTTTTATTAGGATAATTAATATTTGTATTAAGGGATATAGCTTATTTCATTGTAATTTTTGGTGCTACTTTGATAGATGGTTGCACGGATTTTGGTAATTTTTCTTTTGGCAAGTAATACGACTTATGGTAAACCCATTGCTGGATAAGTTATTTACGGTAACTGTCACATTCTTGCCACTAGGTGGCGGGCATCTCTTCCTTTTACTTTTGCTTTTAATTAAGTTCCGAGAACCAGTCGAGATTGGAACCTCAGAGGAGCGTAAAGACACAGAATTAAAATGTACTGTCTTAAAATAATTATTACCTACCTTGTAAATAGTGTGTATTAGTGTCTTATTTCAATAAATAATTAACAGACAAGATGGCTTGTTAGCAGTAATAGAAACTCTTACTGAAAACGTGATTATTAGAAGCCTGGCGTCGTGAACACTGAAGATGCAGCAGGTAAGGAATTTTACATTAATTTTATTGTAAATAGAAGAACCTGATGTAACAGTAACCGATACTTTGTTGTCATTTTATTTAAAAAATAAGGTGTTTTATTATGCATAAATTCCGTGTTTTAAATATTATTTATGGCTTTTAAATATTAAAAATCAATTAAATTTTGCATTTTTATTTGAAATAAAAATTTTGTTTATAATATTTTATATAATTTTACGTTGTCGATGATGTAATCAATGACGTCACCTTACTTAAAACGTAATTGGTTTTATTAATATCTATAAATTTAATCTAATGTTTTAAACATTATTTATGGCTCTTAAATATTAAAATACAATTTAATTTTGCATTTGTTTTAAAAATGATTTTATTATGAATGATTATTTAAATAGTTTTAATTCTATGTGTAATGTAATCAGCTCCCTTATTGGTTACTGAATATTTGTGCATTACCGCGCCATTTTAAAATTTTATTATTAATCTCTTTGAATTCCTCAGGTTTCATATGGAATGGATATGTCCGTTTCGAAGATGAATGTTGTTATTGGTAATTAACAAGAATTATTGGTATCGGAATAAAAAAATTGCCCTTTGAGACCTTATTTTGGCCAACCTGGCTTTCCTAATCAAAGATTTATTTATAAATTGTTACTAGCGTCAGAGGAAATTTATTTTAAATTTTTGGAGAAAACCTCACTAATTGCTTCTTTAATGAAGTGCGAGAGATGTGGATCACAGATGAAGATCGTTTTTTTCCCTGGTACTTATCAATATACGACAGGTAAAATACTTTAAAAAAATGTAAATAAGCAATATAATATAATACGAAAGTTATATATAAATAAATCAGCAATAGAATACGAAAGTTAATACTCATGAATCAACAACATTAATTATTTATATCAGATTATATTTTCCATATAAAATTACATTTTAAAGGATCAACTCAATACTGTATTCAGCAATATAATACGAAAGTTAATACTCATAAATCAACAACATTAAATATTTATATCAGATTATAATTTCCATATAAAATTACATTTTAAAGGATCAACTCAATACTGTATTCAGCAATATAATACGAAAGTTAATACTCAAGAATCAACAACATTAATTATTTAGATCAGATGCTATTTTATTGAAATTGAAATCGAAATCAATAATTAAAATGATGAAGAAAAGAAAAAGGGGAAAAAATTAATACTTTGCTCTCTTAATTCTTTTAATACTTAAAAATGACAAGAATAAGGCTTATATCAAGAACTTTAACATACTTCTGAAAATCGAAAAGCTGGTGATGTTCCTTGCATAGATGCAATTAACAGCGGTAATCCTTGTAAACTGCGAAGCTGTTTTGATAAATTGTTGAAAGACTGCATGAACTTCATGTGAGCTTCTTCACCGGTACCATATGGCTCAAATTCTGAGAATATATGTGCAGGCAAATGAAGGGCACAATCCACTTCAGTGCCAACTACAGCAACATCCTTCTCTTCAGCATCAATGTGCCTATTTAAAAAAAAAAAAAAAAAAGTAAGATCCAAGCACATAAACTTTATATTCAATTACTTAGCCAAAAACTTCAATTTCTATGTTGTGTTTATGCATAAAAATAAATAATAATAAAATGAAAAGCTTTCAGATTTTACATTATGCCCAAAGGGGCTTTTTTTAAATATTTTGTGTGCTAGCTTTATTTATTCAGTATCATGTTCTTTGCACTTAAATCATAAAATTCAATTCAACAGCAATATTGCAAATCTTTAGAATTTCCAATACACAGTCTTGTGCGCTGGACATAAAAATGTCCCCCCCCCCATACATTGCTCGCTTTAAAATTGTTGAATTTGTTAATAAAAATTCGTTAAAGTTGTACAAAACATGAAATCGATAATAAAACGAATTCCAAATTAGGGCTTCCAGATGCCCATAATCGGGTGGAGGACTACATTATTCAAATTTTCATGGCTCTACGTATTATCTCAGTGCAAGAAACATACACACTTTCATTCAGATTCTTCATTATTTAATTTTTTTAAATATAATACAGGCTGATAACATTTGGTGGCAACAATTTGAAAAGTGAAATGGACATTTAAAGTTTTTAACGCAAAATGCCAATACGAAATTAATCCTACTTCTGGGCTAAAAAATTCAAATCGTTTCATCTATGCAAAACTTTATATGCATACTTATAACTCTATATACAGATATACCTAATGTTTTTCTTTCCACATACAGACGTGGAAACTCCCTACTAGAACCTTTTTTAACTGAGGTTTCTGTTAATTGAGCTGGCTGTGAATTTAAAGAAATTATTTGGAAAATGTAGAAATATTAGAAAGGATGCTATGAAAACCAGTAATATTCGAATTCTTTTATCAGTGATTATCTTTTGATCTTTCTTATCAGTGATGGCTTATTAATACCCTTATTATAGTGCATTACATTAAAATATGTGGTTTATATGTATCAGGGAGTAACATTAACAGTCAAAGACCAACTGACAATGAATTCGTAGAGATGTTTGAAAGGACACAAAGATATTGCTCAAGAATGTTTCAGAAAGAAAAGAGGAAACCGAACTTTCAAAATTTGAACAAAAAAGTTCTTTTGTGCTATAGACCCAGAAAACTATAAAAACTGCAGTTATAATACTGAGACTGATAATAAAATGGAAACGGACAAACGCCCCCCCCCAAAAAAAAAGCTAAAGCCAGCAACTTACTAATGCTTCTGCTATAGATCTTTTGTTGATCAAAATCAGATATGATAAAAAGGGACTTAATTAATACAGATATAGATTATAATACATAATCACACAGCATAATGACATCTTATTTATAGTATTTTTTGTTTTTTGAAGAAAAATTACATTTCTAAAAAGGATAATAAACGAGCTGTATTTCCATAAAAAAAGACGACGAAAAGCTGTTCCAATTTTTAAAGCACATGCACCTGTATAAAATTCCGAGAAATACTTTTTCAAATATTAAGATTTTTCTTATATGTGAAAAGGAATGCATTTACATGTTATTTTAATGCTCACATCACTAAAACTATTATATAAAGTCCTTTTCATTTGAATGCACATACAATACTTTCAAGAATAGGATTAACTCGGAGTCTAACCATAAAAGGTCTTTTTCTCTATGAAAGAAACTCAATTTTGATGCAACTCGTACAAAACCCTGTTGACACGGTTGTCAGGAAGCCAGCTGCCATAATTTTGACAAGTTCGAATCCAAGAGAAGGCATGGATGTTTAATGAATTTACATCATAGAAACATTTAAAATACTAAGCTGAAAACCCTTTTGAAAGGTTGGTGGTAATGAAAGAGGTATAAGAGGTCTCCGTTTTTATCTCATTGGGAATTCTTCATCAAAATTTAGACAGAATTGGCCAAAACTGTGTTCTCGCCAATAATGTGATCAAGGTCGAAGCTAATAATAGATGAAACTCTTTCCTCTTTGTCACAATGAAATTTGTGGACCACATCTGGCTGTATGTTCAGGTCAGAACTTGAATGTCAAATCCAAATATTCAAAATACTGTCCCCCCTTTTTAAAATAAAAAAAATTCTATAATGACTGCACAGATTTGATTTTTAATACTGAAATTCAATATTTAATAAGTTGAATTACATCACATACCCAGAAAAACACACACATACATATATATGTGTGTCTGTGTATGTGTTGTTTCTGGGTATGTGATGTAATATATGGTATGATGATGTAATATATAAATATATAATGTATATTTCTGGGTATGTGATGTTATATACATATATAAAATCAAATATTTACCTTTTCAAAATATCCCTTATGATGCTGAAAAATACATTTCTTTTATCAGCTACTGTAATGGCAGGCCAATATACAGCTTCTCGAATGGTCCCATCTTGAAATCTGCGCATCTCTGAACGGCTGCCCCAAAAACTTTGAAACTCCTTTGCCTGAAAAATGATGTTAGAATTATGTTTAGACTTTAAATTTTAGGAAGAAAATATCAGTTACCAAAACTGAATCTAATTCAACAATAAAAAAAGTTTTGATTTTTAAGATTTGGATTTACTGGTTCATAGGAAAGCACACTTTGGATATCTGCCTACAGAAACAGTTGCCTTCATGGAGAAGGGAAAGGAAACTGGTCATATTCATATTAGATATATGAAAAATCACAAAAATACACACTCAGTCATTCACAATGATTTGAACTCAGGTTGCTTTACCAGTGTTCAGCTGTATTATCCACTCGTACTTTTCTCCCCTTCTTTTCTTTCATGTATATGGTAAAAAATATGCCAATGTAAGAATAAAGTTAGGCATGTGTATTGGAAAGGGCTCTTGAAGAGGAAGGTAATACATCAGTTTGTCCTTGAAATTCAGAGTTTTGTTAAAAAATCTACATTAATCTAAAGTTGTCCCCCCTTCAAATATTTCATGTTAATTTTGTTGTAGAATAACATCATAACATACAGTAAAGTAAAGTGCAAGTGATTTACTTTCCTTTCAAAAGTACTCCCTAAATGCATACCTTCCCTTAAGCTGATTGCCTTCACATGTTTGCTATGTTCAAATGAAGAAACAAATTATTATGAAAAAGAAATATTTTGAGCTTTTCCTTTTCTGTACGATAAACTTACATTTCTGCATTTAGGGACATTTTGTTTGTAGACAAGTAATTGGAAAAATGCTTTGGTTGTAAGGCAATACAGAATTTCCAAGATGTTTTCATTTATAGTGTCTTATTTCATACTATTTTATTTTCATTTTTAAAAAGATAGAAATTTTAAAATTTTAATTAGCAATAAGTGCCACCCAGATGGTATAGTGGTTATAGGAGCTGAATGCGATAAAAAAGGGTCCGGGTTCGAATTCCGGAGAAGGCATGGTTGTAACTGTTCGTCTTTTCACAGGAAGCAAAGGTGGCCCACCTATTAGGTGTCTCCATAATAAAGTGTCCACCACTTTTGGCCTTAGATATGGCTAAGTCTGCTGAAGGCCCACCATTCAGGGGTGGGGAGAATTAGCAATACGTGAACAAAATAAACTTTTTTTGTTGAACTAACTGGAGCCCACCATTATAGACCAATATTTCCTAAATAAAGTTCAATGAAAGGCTGTTAGTGATTTCATGAAAGCTACGGCCATTGAGGTATAAAGAGGGAAACTCACCACTTGAAAACCTGAATTGCAGTCAAGCTTCAGTTTCTAAGCAAAACTGATTAGATTTGATTTTTAATATTATAATTTCATCATAAAGAACTAATCTATAGTCAGTGAATTATTTATACTTCTTAAAATAAAATTAGACATTTTTTTTTTTTTTTTTTTTTTGTGTCTCGAAAAAGGGGAGAGGAAAAAGAGGAGCCATTTATGCAGGAAAGTAATATTTCCTTAAACAAAATACCTGAAAGCACTCTGCATCCCTACAATAAGCTAGTATCATGAAACTTTTATTAATGTTAGTTGAGGTTTAATTTAAAAACAAACACAAAAAATAAATTATTGTAATGTTAGTTTCATAATATATTAAACAATGTTTTGGAAAATATTATTTCCAGCCTAAAGATAACTGTTAGTTTGGTGATGAAGACATTTTTGCTGTTCTTAATGTCATTCTGAATGCTGAAAATATAGTAATAAGATATTAAAACATTCTATATTACATATCTTTCTTTCTTACAAATCTGACTTTCTATCACTCACATGCTTTTAATGCTAATATGCTTGCTTATTTTCAATAGGACAATTTCAAATTTCTTAATTTTAAAAGTTTCAATGTTGTTTCTGCAAATTTTTAACACACAAAATGATAATATTAGGATATTATCAAAAAAACAAAAGGCTGATTATTTTCTTGGCAGGGGCATTATGATTTTAATAAAATTATTATTTAAAAAGACAGAGGGAGAGATAGATGAATGCAATGATTGCATTACAACAAAATTTCATCATAACCAAAAATTTTATTTTTGATGCAGAGTTCAATGTACACAAGAAGCAGAACAGAAATGTTGCAATCAACGTCATTTATGGTGTCAGAAATACTTTTTAAAAGGTACAGACAAAATTATTTTTAAAAATAATTATCAATCAACTTTGTTGTGTTAACATACATAACATACAACTCCTGATAGTAATCTGCAGCTGATACAGTCGAAAGTCTTTAATCCGGACTCATCGGGACTTCGGCGATTCCGGATTATAGACCATCAGTTTAAATCTTGTAAGATGGCATGCACAAATTCTAAAATTAAAAATATGAAACCGTAATTTATGAAATAAAGAACAATTCTGATCTAAAGGGTATCAAAATTTACAAAAAAAAAAGCTTAATATTTATTTGTTTACATTATTAAACATTTATTTTAATGTAAGTTGTTTAAGTTGCTTCGTTTTTTATGTGATAATACATTCTTTTTAATTCTATAAACAGACATAATTTCTTGTTCAGTTACAAAGTTCCGCTGTTCAAGTCCTATAATTGCTGTGTCTACCAACTGATTTGTCAATCGAAATTTTTTCGTTTTCAATAACCTCTGTCACTTTCTTCGCTATCGGAAGCGAATTATAATGATGAGGAATTTGATTTAAATCATATCAAAGACGGAGTACATCGAGATGAAATACTACATTTAGAAAGGAATTATAAGCCAAATAAAATAAAAACATCTGCCCTGAAGATAAGGATAGTGCTGACGGATCAACTTCCAATTCATTGCGCGCAAAGATTAAGAAACAATGCAATCTGCAACATTAACTGAAATAGATAATTAGATAATTTTAGCTTAGCTTATACCGTCCGTTATACATTAAACGCGCACTCGTAAACGTATTTTGCCCACGCGCACAAGCATACTCGCAGCTGTAAAGGTCTTTGCGACACATGCGCAGAAAGTTTGTAGCTTTGGGGTCCGGATTATAGATCATTCCGGATTATGGGTGTCCGAATTAACGACTTTTGACTGTACCACTAAATGAAAACAAGCAAGGTGACAATTCCGGCAAGGTATTAATTATAACTTGAATTAGTTGAACAAAAATTTTTCCTTTTTATTATTTATAGAATTCCCCCCTCCCTAAAATATTTAACACCAAGTTTCTGTTTTTGCACATGACACTAAGTTAACAATGTACTAAATTTTAAAAACTGAATCACTCTAATTTTAGGTAGAAATTGAATCAGTCAGCACAATAAAAAGGACATTTGATGGATATATTTTACCCAAACGGGGAGGAAGAACTTTATGTATGGATAAAATTCATATATTATTTTCATTGCTACCCTTAATGAAAAATAAATAATTCTATAACTTACAGCTGGATCATCAGCACTTGGTCCTTTTACTAAGTTATTGAGTGGAACATCAGGGTTTAAAAGTAACCCAATAGTAACCTGACCAATATTAGGGCTTGGTGGAGGTTCGGAAACTTCCCACTGAAAAAGACAAATTATATAAATACAGAAAAGCAACTTGAACTATTATTATAATGTTAAGTAAACTAGTATAAATACAATAGAACTTTTTATTTAATTTTTTCTTTAAATTACATTTTTTTAAGGTTCTCTTTCTTTGCCATAAGTTTTCAAATCTACAGTGATGTATAATTTTGCATAATCTCTAAAAGAATGGGAGGACACACAAAAAATTATTATTATTATATTATGTTTATAATTCGATACACAAAGAGTCTACAAGGCTTTATAGCAAAATTTTTCAACTACTCAAAATGTAAAACCACAACTATTGGCAATGATTATATACATGTTGCTTTTTTTTTTTTTAATATTTCTTCCTTGTAAAAGGGAATTGAAATGTGAAATTTTCATCTGATTTTATGCAATTAATATCAAGTGCTGGCAGATTCAAAGTCTTAAATTGAGAAGCAATCAATGAGTACTCTTTTCACAGAGAAAAACCATCAGTTAACAAAGAAATTTTTAACTACTCTTAATGAGTTTTTTTTACTTGCCAGATTTCCCTTTTGTAATTAACTTTTTGTTTCTTAATGCAAATTTTCATCTGAAACAGTCCAAATACTTACAGCATTTAACATAGCCACAAAAAATATGACAAGGCATTCAAAGAACATTTTAACAGTTGACTCACATGAAGGCAGTTAGAACATCCATGAACATATTTAAGCAGGTATACAAAAAAAAAAAAAAAAAAAAAAAAAAAAAAAAAGAAGAAGAGCAGTGAGTCACTAACACTTTAAAATGCATTTTTTAGATTTCAGATTTTGAAAGCCCTGCTTACAATATATATTAAATTTTATATATATATATATATATATATATATATATAAAATTACACAACAATTCTTTTAAAAACAAAACACAAACAAGCCCAGTATTTTCGCACACTAAGCTGCAGAAAATTTATCATTAAAGAAATAAAGTATGAAATTTAGAACTAATATCTCACAAAGACCAGAAATTGAAATTCATAATTAATAAATTTTAAATAATCATACAAATGCAACAAAGAATTTAAAAATGTTAAAACTAAAACATTTCAAACAAGCAAAACCCCGCTTAAAAAAAAAAAAAAAAAAAAAAAAAAAAAAAAAAAAAAAAAAAAGAGCAAAACCAGAAGAGGAATTCAATCAACCTCAATGTCATTTCATCAGGGGAAGGAACTTTGAAAGTAATTGAAATCTCTCTTCTACAAAAGTCCTTGCTTTTCTGTATCCAGAATTAGCCGATGAACCATTTCAATGTATTTTAATTATAATAGTTCACCCAAAAATTCTGGCTCTTCCCCAAAGCAAGAAAAAACAAAGTAAATTCTAATTAGAATAATCTTAAATAAAGAGAATTCAATTCTACCCTTTTAAAAGAACTGAAAATGAAAGTGAAAAAACAAAATACTTCAGCGAAAAATTTTTAAATAAAAATTTTTACCTTTAAATTAAATAGATAATCCAAAGAATTAAGATGTGAGTAAATTCATAAAACAAAGTTGAAAAAACTTACTTAGAATGAAAAAAAAAATAATAATAATTGAGAACTTCCACCACTCTTATTAGACTCCAGTCTAAACACGAGATGCGAAACAGTAAGGTACGTACAGGTTTGCCATTTTGGCTTCATTGGAGAAACTAAAAAACCTTGGCTAGAAAATAATCGCTCAAAAGGCTAAAACCTTTACATAATATGTACAATATATAATATACATATTATGTAATTACATAATATGTAATTTTGGAACCATATACAGCTGGAGGACAAAATAATACAAACACCTGTGAAATAATGGAAAATCTTTATTAATAGGGAGCTGGACCACCCTTTGACTTAAGTACAGATTGAATGTGATGTGGGATAGATGCAAAAAGGTCATGGACAATATTTAAAGGAATATTAAGCCATTCCTCCTACAGAGTGGTCTCTAATTCCGAAAGTCCGAATGCAGGTGGAAATCGGAAACGAAGTTTGGACTCCAAATATGCCCATAAATGTTCAATAATATTCAAGTCCGGGGAATGAGGGGGCCAAGTGAGATGTTCAATTGCATCGTCATGCTCTTTGAACCATTCTTGAATACACCTAGCAGTGTGGATAGGGGCATTATTGTCTTGAAAAAGCAGTTACACCCCAGGGAATACAGTCTTGACAAAAGGATGGACATGATCCCCTAGAATGCTTAGATAGTGATTGGATATGATCTTCCTATGCAGAATAACAAGTGGCCCAAGACCGCGGCAAGATATCGCAGCCCATACCATAATGGCACCACCTCCATGCTTCACAATCGGCAAGAGGCAGTCAGGATGGAATGCTTCTTTGGGCGGTCTCCAGACACAAACGCTGAATAGGGTGAATGACGGTCGTCTGAAATAGGGTGAATGACGATTCATCTGACCATAATACCTATTGCCACTGCTGTGGGGCCAGCCTTTGTGATTTCTTTACCATTGGTGTCGTTTGAAAGCACTAGTTGCTGCCACCAAGGGTTAACAAATTGCCACTCTGCCATAAATGTTTCCTTTTGGCAGTTTTTGTTGAAACGGGGTCCTGGAGATGACTGTTCATTTTGGATGTTATCTCAGATAACGATTGCTTGTGCTTTCGGGCTACTATGCGCTTCAAGATCCGTCTATCCCTATCAGGCAGCTTTAACGTTTGGTCACTGTTGTGCTTTGAAGACATAGTCTTACCCTCTTTCGTATACGCTGTCATAACAGCTGATACCGTACTCCTTGCACACCCCACAAGGTTTGCTGTTTCCGTAACCAATGCTCCACTTAAACACGCTCCAACTATCATTCCTCTTTGGAACTCTGACAGGTCTGACATTTCAACTTCTCACAGACAGTTCGATTGAACATGCAACGCAGGTGACTGCTGTTGAGAGACTGATACCTTCCTCTCTTTATGCTCACTAGGTGGCAGACTTCTGTTGCAGGTGGCGCGGCTGTACTGCAGGTGTGAAATATGTCATACTTTTTCGCAGGTGTTAGCATTATTTTGTCCTCCATCTGTTTTTATACATATATATACTGTTTTAATACAACATACAAGTTGTTTTCCACAGTTTGATTCTATGCCTTAATTTTTGTATAAATACTAATTTTGTAAAAATTGTACATGCTATTTCCAAAATATCTGCATTTAAAACTAGACACTAATTTTCAAACTGGCATGCCCAAAAGATTCCACTTGGCAGTGAACTTATAATTTATGTCGACTTCGAATTTTTTTATCTCTTCAATGAATGACCACATGCTAAAAATCTCTGGTTATTATTTCTCCGTTATAAAATGTTTATAATATTTAGAAACTTAAAAAAAAAAAAAATAAATAAATAAATATTTAAACTGCATACTTCAAAATAATCATGACATCAGAAAAATATTTAGAGAACTTGGGGGGGGGGAAGAGAGATCTTTTATCATCATCATCATCTCTCTGCACATAAAATTTTAAGATGCGAAAGACTTAAAATCTCAACTTAAGATATGATCAAAGCTTGTCAGTAGAAGTAAAAAACAATAAACGTAGGTGAATAGTATATTTAAACACATCAGAATAAGCTATCATGAAGTTCAAAAAGAAAGAGAGTTTGAATTCACCAATTCTTTCTTTCATTATCTTTGAAATTTCAGCAAATTAACAATTATCAATATAACCTTTGTTAATGTTTATTTAAAATAAAAGAATCAACAATGAAAATATGTGTATCCCACAGTATTCATTTCCCTAAGACCATCTCTGCAAGTAACAATCATTTCTAAAATAATTAAAAACAATAACTCACAATCTGAAAATTCCAGATTACCAAGTTGGAAAAGAGGTAACCTAAAACCTTGTATACCAGATATGTTTGAAACTTTCAATGAATTCTACAAATAATTCAATGTCTTTTTTCTGACATTCAAAAATGGCAATAGATTTTTAGGACAATGTTTTTATGTCACATTCAAGTTTCCAATAGCAGATTTTGCTGTATTATGTACAATATGAGCATTGCAATTAGCTTTAACAACTTCATTTAATGTAAGAATGTAATATAAGGATATTTATAATAATATAAGGATATATTATTCCAAAAACAGAATTTATATTTGACAAGAATTAATTATTATTAATTCACGTTCATTCCAATTGCAAATTTTTCAAACATTGGAACATTCCATCTTCAGTTTCACTTCTTTTCTCAAAAAGGTCAATTGTACAATTCACTGCACTGAATTCTATATTAAAATATTGAATACATATAAAAATATTTTAATTTCTTAATTTTTTTTTTATTTAAAGCATCAGTTTGAAGACAAAAAATATAGAAATGGATCATGATTTTTCAATTCAATCAAACGTGTTTCTATTAAGCACATTTCTAATAATTGCAAGATTTTGTTCTACCACAAGATATTTTTGCAGCTACTTTGTAATTTTGTAAATTTTTTATTTCATTTTAAATTCCAGTTAAGTGAGTTATAGGAATGACTGTCACTATTACTAATATATTCGAACTATTTCTGAAGCAATTTTCTTCTTTAAAATTTGCTTTTACGATAAATTTACCAATAAAAGAACTGGATAATGCACAGCTTTTATTTTTATGACAATTCATTATTTATGCTGTCTTTTTGTTAAAACACACATATATCCAATTTTTAAAACTTTCCGATGAACATCATCTTTGTTTCTTGTGGATTAATAGTTGCTGCTAACCATTCATAATCTTCTTCCCAATATTTGTCTTACAAATATAATTGCTTGGTCATTTTTCTTGTCAGTTTCATAATTTATTCATGGGGTAATAACCACAGTCAATAAAATGAGATATGATATAAACAAAAAAGTATGTGTACAAAGATTTTAAGGTACAAAGATAATTTTATATATAATGAGGGACATTAAATAATTTATAAAAAATGGAACTAAGAGTGAAGGCAAAGTGTCTGTTGGGCAGTACTGCATCTTAAACTCCAATTGCCATGATGTTTTAGCGAAATGTGTTCTGGCTCTCTAAGATATCTGCCTCTATGTGCCTCTATGGATGCTAAACACTATGTGATTCTGAACCGTGGGTCCTGTGAAGCAGTAAGATGAGAGATGTAAGGTGCTGCTGTGTTAATGTGTTAGTTATTATATACGGGTTCTACTACTATTGTATTATTTCCCTGCAAGCTAAGATGGGTCCATAATGGGTCTTCTGATCAGTAAAAGTTCCTGAGTAAATTCTCACAAGAAATCTTGATGCTGAATAATGCTGCCAACGGTACGTGCAATATCCCTTGCAGCCAATCCGAGCGCTTTCAGACACGGCAGAGAAAACGCAACTAAGAAAAATACAGCAACCTTTTACTGGTTTTTTATGTCAGGAGAACTATGCATTGAGTGGAAATTGCAGCCAATTCTATTTGTCATCTCCTTATGCCAGCTGGTCAAATTACAATTACATACATCACTATTCAGCTGAAAACATTTTTAATTTTGAAATAAAACATATTTATCAGTTTTTTTAAAATTAAAAAGGAAAAGGCAAGGACTGGAAAACTGATTAAAGGGCTGTCCTCCCCCTCCCCCCTAAAAAAAAACAGCTGAATAAGTGCAACTCACTCACTCTCTGTGATGCATTCTAGACAATGTTCTCAGTGATGGGGCTTCGGTTCTTGGTGATGTTCAATGGGTTCGGTCATTTCTGACAATTGCATTAATTTTTAAGTACCCAGATGTGTGGAACGACATTTTTAATGAAAATTATTGAAGTTGAAAATTTTAACACAAAATGAAGTAATTAATCTTTGATAAGTGAGTGCATGTTTGAAACAATATTTTTTAAAATGATAATTTTCTACATGGGCATATAAGACCTAAGCATATCATCTGTGCAAAAATTTGCATCACAGCGGTAAAAAGTAAATTTTCTATGATATATTGAACTTTCTTTTTATTTTTCATTCAAAAATTGCTGAGTTAAATAACAAATAAGAATATGAATAAAACTGGGAGATGAGTATAACAAATACAGTATTTAAGTGAAGTTAAAAAGTTCAGATTTATCATAACATATCATGAAATGGAAGTATACCCTTTCATTATATAAACCACTATGGATGTTATGTAAATTTGACAACTGTTTCCTTTTACTTCTAACCTACATTTATCGTTTTAGTACAAACTATCTAACTTATAAAAGACAAATTAAATATGTGTAGGTGAAAATGGGGCATAATAAAAAATTTTCTCATTTAAGATATCTAAGTAAAATTCAATTGACATACTACCAGATGTAAACAAAACATCTAATTTCAAATTTAATCAATTACCATTTTTCCTTAAATAACATTCTTAAAAATTTCAATAGTGTTACAATTTTCCAAAAATTGTAAATCTGGCATTTTTTTTCAAATCAAGTATTAAACTGGTAAAAAACAAATTTGTTAAATTTCTCTGAAACTAAAGTGACATGAAAAGAACCTAAACATCGCAAAATGGAATGACGTTCAGATTTGGCATCATTATTTCTTTTAATTCTATGCCATCTTTGAAATCATAACCAAACTATTTTTAATATTTAAATATATCTCCGAAAATTTAACATAAAAAATTAGTTATTTTGGAAACATGCCTAGAAAAGTATTTAAGATGGTATGCAAATAATTTTATAGTTTATAATTCACAATTTTTTTCAATATTTATAAAAAATTAATCGGAAAACATGCATGAATTTTATTTGAATTAATTTTATGTTTTCATATATATATATTTAAAAAAAGAAAAGCAAAAAAAGTTTAACTAAAAAAGCGATGTTATCAACATATAAGCCAAACTGAGTTAAAATTTTAAAAAACTACTCAATTTTCGCAAACTTAAGTATAGAATCTAACTGTGAGAAAAAACTTTGATGAGTCATTTTTGAAAATGTCTGAAATTGCGTCAAAATACATAGTTAGAGCAAAGCTATATATAAATTTTATTTTATCCTATTTCAAGATGTGAAAAATGAAAGTTCAATTTTGTCACGCAACCAAACAAAGCAAGATACAGAATTGTCCCCATGCCTCTTTTTACTTCCTTGAATAAAGTAAAGGAAATATTATAACTGCAAAAAATTTTGGCTATCGGATTTCAACGGAAATATCCATATTGAAAATTCCTGAATTTGTTTTGACTACTTTTTTGCATGATGACTGGCAGAACAAATGATTCTATAGTCCAAAATGGATTGTAAAATGTTTTTGTGACATCTGTACATACGTACGTATGAAACATAACCTAAAAGCGATTAGCTATAAAACATTGAAATTTTGTATATGTGACTGCTATAACATCTAGTTGTGCATCTCTCTTTTTTATTGCAATTGGAAGTAACTGAAGTATATACATACAGCCGCTCCCTTACATCTTTTTATTTAATAAACAATCAATATTAGAACTGTTTCTGTTAATCTTTGCTATTATGTTAAGCCTTTCCATTTTACTGGAAGCTCTATTTAGAATGTCACAAGTACAAACTTCCCAAAGGTAACTGTTCCAAACTATTACTGTTCTATCAGTTATATTCGACTGACAATATAGTGTCTATAAACATAATTTTTGGTCAGCTGGCTTACATAACTTTAAAAACAATCCAATGCTTGCTGTTTTGTTAAAGGTAGGTCCCTAACTTTAATCTCTCTCTCTCTCTCTTTTTTCTTCCAATATAAAATTAATAACAGTTAATTTATTCATAAAAACAAAAGGTCGCCTATCGAGAATCAACTAGAGTTACAGCAGACGAAAATGCAGATGAGTGTCTTGTTATGTTATGCGTATCCATAATTGGTGCTAAATGATACTGCTTGGCGACAGTTTCCTTATCAATGGAATAATAATTAAGTACCTTCAATTTTTTATAGACTCTCAGTCTTAAAATTTCATAGAAGCAGTATGCATACTTCTTATCAAAAGCAGAATTATTATTCCTATGCACAACAGTTTAACATACTGCAATGAAGGGGGAAGAAATATTGATACAATTTGACATTCAGCATAACGATTCATATTTTGACAAAGCCTTCAAAGACAAATAAAAATGAAATAAGCTAAAATTTTATTTGACAAAAATGCAACAATAATGAAAACAACAATGAAGTCTTTGCTCTTCATATTTATTAAGTCTGCTACTGCTAATAATACTAATAAATAAATAAAATAAAAAATTATTGCACAAAAGATATAATTATGTATAATAAAAATATTCCCTACAATTCCATCACCTCATATCTGAGCTACTGACTGAGAAATCTGACAGCCAACAAAATTACAAATAAAATAGAGAATTAATTATCCTAGAATGAAAAGATACTTACAGGTGTATGAGCAGCTTTCAAAATATCTAACAATAAGATTCTGGAGCCTAACCCTTTTTTCAGAATTCTACATATTTTTTGCATAATGCATGAAATTTTGTCTTTTCCATAATCAATACTTTCTGAATCACATTTAAGTTTTTCACTGAATTTCTTGAACTTTTTAGCTCCTTTGAAACTGAAATATAAAATTAAATTTAGATTTAAAAATAAAAAACGAGATCAAGAAGAAATGCAGAAACTCACTAGGTGTTACATAGAAAATTCTATAACTAAGATATACTATGTTGCCATTAATGACCAGAGACCTACAGAAAATATTTAGCATAACTGGAATTGGTATGATATGGATATGATGTAGGTCTGCTATTATCTGCTATGACAGCCTGTAGCCTTTGAGGGAAACTTTCTACTAAGTTAGGACAAATATTTTCTTTCACTCTTGCAATGTGATGAACATATCTGTTACAGTTTGGTATGGCTCTCAGCAGGCACGCTTACTTATCCCTGAGATGCTTGATCACATCGAGATTAAGGTTCGGACCATTCAGCCAAGTTCATACATTTTTTTTTCAAATAGTTATGGCTTTCCCTTTAAAATAAATGAATAGTCATTTTGAAATTATAACAGCCAGTTCCAAGTTGTTGACATAGGGTTTAGGCATAAAAGTACGGAACTAAGACTAAACGAGAAAATCATATTTAATTCTTAAATATCACGGTGGACAAAATTCACTTTGGTAAGAAATGCTCAGCTGGAAACTAAGTGTATACATGTTTGTCAGAATACAACCACATGCAATGTGCAATGTTTTTTTATTGTTCTACAGCCCACAGGTTACATGTTTTGTACCAGTAATTGGCATTAATTGTTTAATTTAGTTACCATTTGCTTGTGGACTTCAGCTCACCTATGGTGTTAACATATGTAAACACATCTCAATAAATGGTAAGCTAATTAGCAACACTTCCAGATCCTAAATGAAACTATGTGGCCTTCTAATAATGTCAATTTGATTTTAACATACATCAGAGCTTAATCATTTTTATCTCTAATTTTCCAGCTTCTCTAATTGGAGTTGGAATTTTATAACACCCTCATATTTCCATTTCATGACTATTCCATGTGATATCTGAAACTTATCAGAAATCTCCAACCAGCATGGAATGACCAAATTGGACACCCATAATCATGTCTCTTTCGATAGATTCAGTCTCTTGCATGTCTATTTATAGAATATTAATATAAATTAGTCATTAATGAGTTATTCTTACTCTTCAGGAAGTATCCAGTCATTAATAACAATACTATGAAAGTAATACATGCTCCAGAAACATCTTTTATTCATAATACATATGCTGCCAGTATTTATACAGATTATAAGTTAAATACATTATATATAATAAAATATACACTTCTTTGGTTATATATGAATTAGATTATTGAAAAATTACAAAATAACACATTTTTTAAATATTTTTATTTACAATTTACAATTTTATTTAACAGTTTAATAACAAAGCTAAATGATGTAATTGATTATATTCAGGATAAAAGGCTAAAATATTGTTCCAAACAAATTTTGATAATCACACACACCATGCTCTTTGTTAATAACTTACAAACTGACAGTAAAATTTCATGTATCAGTAAAATTGTACACCACACTTTTTATATACCTTCTGGCTACTGAAACAGACCAAAAATACTATTCCACATTTTATTTAAAACTAAATTGAAATTAAAGACTGTGGACAAATAAATGAAATTTACTATTTATTGCATAGTATATAGAAGCCACTCATGGTTCATTTTAAATATAAGGTATATTTAGCAAAAGAGTAAACAATAGTAAATGAGGTTATCTATATTATATAATGTACTATACAAAATATTTGCCATCAATATAAGCTAGTGGCTAGCATTTTTATTGTGTGTTAATTCTCTTATTTGTGCTGGGATTGACTGAATAGCCATTGTAATATAATCAAGAGTGATAGTTATTCCTATTATTACTCCTCTTCCCAATTAATCAGATAACAGACAACATCCTTTTGTTACAGTACACAAGAACAAATTAAAGCAATTATACAAACATTAATATTTAAATAATTAAAAACATTAAAAATATTGTAACTTAAGAATTTTTTTTCCAAGTTGTTAAAATTATCAAAAGTTCTCTAACACTGCAATAATGGGAGATAATCGAATTCGTTTTTAAAGCTAGACCAACAGACAAGCATCTCACAAGTATCACAACATTGTACTAAGAGAGGTGACAGACAAATTTGTCACTTATTCCTAAATAGTGAAGGTGTACATAAAGACAGTTATGTTCAATCACCATATGAAAAGCAGCAACACACAGATGTCTAGGTAGATCAAGAAGTCAGCAGATGGTTCTTTGCTAAGGTTTTTCTTTTTCTCAAGTTAAAAGAATGAGAGTTTCTAATCTGTAAGCTTTGTGGCATTATATTTGAGTTTCACAAATAGATTTGATTTTAATTTGCACATCTTCTAGTGCCTGATTTTGACATGGGCTCCCCCATTCCAGAGAAAATGCAGATTCGATTGGCAGGCAGTTTAGTATAAGGTATGTTGCTTGCCTGCCTATCCAGCTTGTCACTTTGGGAACAGGCATTGCCTTCACATATAAGACTAAAATCTCAAGACATACTTGGTTGGAAAGTTAAGATTTTGAGACTATTAGTTATGGATCCGTGACTCTTTAGCCTCTTAGAAAGTGACTGTTTTTTTAAAATGCTTTAAAAGGCCATTTTTGTATTCATTGCTAGGTCCAAGTAACTGGAATTTTATTTTATAATATTTTTATTTTAACACCCTCATAAGTGGTGAGGTAAAATAAACTTAAATTGAATGACTGTTTATTATGGTTATCTGTTCTGTTTTCAGTAAAAAGTTAAGCTTAGAGTAAAAATTCATACAGTTAGCTAGCTTTCACGTAACATCTGAAGGATAAGAGTTGAACTAAATAATAATTAGATTAGCCATTTACAGGTGCTACAATTTATCATCAAAGCAACTAATTGCTTCATAAGAGGTCTGAGAGATAGTGCAGTATTTCATTGCCAACAGCTTCATTCCTTGGTACATCACGATGGGATAGAATCAGGTTAAGAATAACCAATTTAGTTTTCTTCAATAATTTCCTCAGTATGTACCAGCAAAGTACACTTGATGCAGAAACAAGAGCTGATAACAGTTATACACAATCATAATAGCTGCTCGAAAATCGCAGAAAATAATTGTACGATCAAATAAAGGTGGTTGATTATTTAAACATTATAGAGTGATACTGACTGCTCCAACATCACTATCAAGAGCAACCTTGGCTGTTCTTAAGGGAATATAATGGAAACAATGTAACTAACAGATACCAATTCCTGCAATTCTCTTCATCTAGTTTCAAGCCATTTGTATAAATGTGTAACCCATTTTGCTGGAGAGAAATAAAAGTTAATTGTGCCAGCAGCAAACAAAATTATGTACAGTCCTGTGACTTGGACACAAACTGAGTTAATGAATAAATGGTCAATTAAAAACGGATTCACAAAAGAAAAAAATATGGAATGAAGATTCAATGTCATGCTATTAATTGAAGAGCTTGCATGAAATTTTCTTTCCCTAGTCCCCTCACTTAACATCAAGCGCAACTGAATTGTATAGAAACAGAATGGATTTAATACAAGTTTTTCTACAGTGTTCTTTTCTTCCCAGAAAAAACAACATCTAATTTCTTTTCCTTCTCTGACACATAGTTTACAGTATGATTCTGCATTTTTACCACCTCATCTACAATAACAGAACGAGTTTTCTTTTGTTTAAACTACAGTCACTTATGGAACTGATTAAATAAAATTATTATTATATATCACACTCTTTTTCTTTTCTTCCTTTAAAAAAAAATCTATAGAACAAGAAATCAAATCTTTACAGAATGATACAATCACATACAATATAAAAGATAACTTACTGAAGAAGATACTCAAATTTTTTACTGAAGGTAATTTTGTGCATGAAAAGTAGACTAAAACTGTCAGAAGTTTCTTTATCCAATATCTGCAGACCCAGTTTTGCTTCATGTTGCACCTGTTAAACATGAATAAAGATTTAAAATGTCCAATACGATTTGCTAACACAAATTATAATTAACCCTCTGAGCGGCTAAGGGTTTTTGGATCTGTCATGAAGACCTGTATTTAAAGAGCCTTTAATAGCTAAATATGTATGTTTACTTATTTTAGTCTCGATTTTCATAAACTTACATTCAGCAAGATGGTATTTATATTATTCATAAAAGTAAGAAAGCAAAATATCTTAAATTATAAGCTAATATATAACAAGTTACAAAAATCTCATGACCGGATAAGCCGGTCATGGCGCTTTGAGGGTTAAATGCAATCAAGAGGGGAAAAAAAAAAAAAAAAAAAAAGTCTTGCAACTGAAAATTGCATACCACAGTCTAATTTAACAAGCAAACATTCATCATTAAAATCATTGAAGAATGAAGACTACAATGCCCTGAAAACAGCTAAAACATTAAGATAATGCAAAAGTTATTTGTATTACACTGTATTGAAGCTTTTCTGTATGAAATGAATTATGTTCTTGCTAAACAGAAATATAGGTGAATCAGCAACATGGTTTACATTTCAATACAATATGATAGGTAGGGATTCACTCAAAGAGAACCAATTTGGTAAGTTAGAATTAATTTCACAATTAAACTGCAGAAGTTGTATGCATACAATACTGTATTGAAGCTTTCCTGTACAAGCAGCTAGGTGCTGGAAAGAAATCAAATTGGCGAGTATAAAATTGAAATAGACAAACAAAATTAATATATTAATTTACCCTCACTCAGAATTACTGCCTATAATTTCTAGCCATCAAGAGTTGTAATTAAATTTTACATAGCATGGAAGGAAAATATGCTATTTTATCAAAAGGAACTGATTTTTGCAAGCAGCATTAAAAATCATAGATCAAATTAAATTGTACAGGAAGGTACACAGAAATGAGGGAGTAGGCAACAAGGCATTTATGAAGATGCAAGGTAGACTTGATAAAACTGGAGAAGCTATATTTGTAATATGATTGCATTAAAATAAACAACAATCAAATTCTAAAAACTCTATTTTGTGGGAATAGAATCTCCTGTGCTTAATACCAAACATCAAATTATTGCATAAAAAGCATTTTCACATACATCTCTCTCACTTTCTTTTTATGCGGAGGAAAATATGCATGCATAAAATCAAGGAATTCTAACATGCAGAGAGCTTAGAAAAATTGCCACATTATTTATCTGAATTCAAAATAAGATTTTTTTTTTCACTCACAATTTACAGATTTGGCTTAATTTCATTTTTACCTACAGTTTTGATTCTTGAATTAAATTCTTATAAAAAAATTATTTTAAAAAAACTGGTAAAATTTCATTTTACTATAGCAACTTGGCACAGGAATCAATATAATATGTAATGACAGAAATTTCATTTTTAAATTTTTTATTTACCAGCATTATAGCAATAGTCGTTCAGTACCTAATACTGGGAATGAAAAGTTCAATTTATTAATTAAAAATAAAATTAAATATATCATTAAAAACTGATTTGCATCACTTAGTAATTTAATACATGTTATAGTTGATTCATTAATTTATGCATATATGTAAAAAAGTGTAGCCTATGAGATAATTCCACATAAACAATCAACAAATCACAAAAATAACAATTACGACAGTAGTGTCTGGGGGTTTAGTTGAATTAGGAAGTCTTTTCTAAATTCTTATATTAGTTTTAATTTAGATTAGACTGTCTAATAATTATGTACCTCCTTTATTAAAAAACAGGCCTACTTCAACTTCCAAATCTCCAGAAAACTCCGCTTGAGTCAGTTCTGTACTACTTAGTAACATTTTACAGCATTTTTCATTATCTGCCTTACCCCCTACCCAAATTGCCTATAATTCATAATGTTTTTGCTAAGTTCCACAACTGCCTTCTCTAAGAGTGCCCTAACTTCATTATATTTATTCAGCTTTTTTGAATTTATTTACTTTTTGTTAACAATTTTTTTACACTAAGCATTAAAATTTTTTTCAGTCATTGAATAATAATAATAATAATAAATTTTCTTTTCTTTTCTTCCCCCCCTTTTTTGATACTAAGCACTATAATTTTTTTTTCATTTGTTGAAAAGCACTATACAGTACAAAGTCCGTAATCCGGACTCGCCAGGACTTCGGCGATTCTGGATTGGGGGTTTTTTCAGATTACAGATCATCAATTTAAATCTGGTAAGATGGCATGCAGAAATTATACAATTAAAAATATGAAACCGTAATTTATGAAATAAAGAGCAATTATGATCTAAAGGATATCAAAATTTACAAAAAAAGCTTAATATTTATTTGTTTACTTTATTAAACATTTCTTTCAAAGTAAGTTGTTTAAGTTGCTTCGTTTTTTGTACTAATACTTTCTCTTTAATTCTCTCTTCTATAAACAGACATAATTTCTAGTTGAAGTGCAAAGTTCCACTGTTCAAATACTGTAATTGCTGTGTCGAGAATACCGACTAACTTGTCAATCAAAATTTTTTCGTTTTCAATAACAATTAACATTTTGTTTTCGTTCTCTGTCTTCACCATCGGAAGTGCGCATGTGTAAACACTTTACGTGCATACGTAGCGGATGCGTGCATCAAACGCGTAAGTTTGTGGTTTTGAAGTCCAGATTATAGATCATTCCGGATAATGGACGTCTGGATTACGGACTTTGTATTGTAATTGTTTTTCATTAGTTGAACTGATTGGAACTAATATATCACTTGAACTTAATTTTTTGGTGGTTAACTATTGGAGCTTTTATGATTTATGATCCAAGTAATTCGATGTTTTTTCGTTTTACAAATTATTCACTTTTACTACACCATATTTAATGTTACAATAGAAGTATTTTCTAATTATTTTTATTATTAATAATCAGTTTTAAATTTGTAGTTTATCTAATTTCATTACTTAGTACATTTTAGGCATTTGCTTAGTACATTTGACAACAGTATTTCGCTACTGCACATTTCAAGAATACTGGAGGGCGGAAAGGAGGAGGCATTTCTGTATCTAGTTCTATATCTAGTCAATTGGCCCAGTAGAGTGGGCTCTACTGGGCCAATTGACGAAATTCAAATTGCGTTTTTCATATCTCGAAAGCGCAACTTAGGTACATATTAGACTTATATGTAGCTTTGTTCCAATATAGATATTTTGACACAAAATTGAACATGCCATTTTTTCCCCATATTCTCAAACTATGACTCATTATTCTACGACTCAAATTATGCCTAAATATTAAATTTTGTAAAATTGTGCAAAATTTATGGAGAAATTCAAAAATTTATCTTGGCATATATTTTTCACATTGCACCAAGAATAATTCACTTGGTGAACTTCTTAATTTATGGCAACCTATTTTCCTTTCCCTTTTTCTTAAATGTGAATCTTAAAATTTATAAATCAGTAACAACATTTTGCCAATCATTAACCTGAATGCAGAAAATTCCTACAAATATGATTTTGTAATAATTAATAATCATTTATAAGTTGGTCAATTTGCAGGAGAATGAAAATAATGCATTACAAATAAGAAACTTAACTTTAGCCATTTTAAGTTTACCTTTATCATTTTATACATATGTGTAAAAAAAAAAAAAGGGGGAAAGAACATAAAAGAAATACAAGCAAAACTTTTTATCAGCCTCATAATTTTTATATTTTACTTTGGCAGGAAAACACATAATACTGAATGCACTTTTTAGTTTGCCAATGTAGTGCAACAATCTTCAAGAAAAATGTCAAATAGTAATAATGATAAAGGGAGTGCAAATTTACAATGATTCATGACATATGGATATGAATTACCATTTTATAAGTTTCTTCAGTTACAGCATAACATATATTCAGGAAACCAGATATTTCCACAAAGACTACATGATAAGCCTTTTTAAATTCTTCCAAGGATAAATCACTCTTAGTTTCTTCACACAGACTAATACCAAATTCAACCAAATTTTCTTTTTCTGTAAAACAAAAGGAAAATATAAAGCTAAAAAGAAAAGTAACTGTCAGAGATGAAATTAAAAATTTTGAAATTATATCGACATGATTTTTCCCTTCACACGGCAAAACCCAAAAAGAAAAAAAAATATTGGGTCATTCGGGAAAGTTCTGTGGTTTTTTAAATTGAAGCAAATTTTCTGTTAATTGTTTTATTACTGCTGATATGGAGCGATCTTGATTGAAGCAAATGTGTAAATATGGTTTTTTCTGCTCATATTGCATAATTCTAGCATGCGTTGTGGCATCATTTTTGCTCCAGAGGAAGTTTAAAAATAGAGAACCCAAAGTTCATTTTCACCATATTATGTTCTTTTACTTTAAAAAAGAAAAAAATGCTAGTCAGACTACTTGTAAAATTCGTGCTGCATATGGACAAAGTGCTGTTTCTGATTACACAGTAGTAGTTTGTGAAGAAAGTGTGAAAATTTCAGCCTTGAAAATTATGCCTGTTCTGGACGACCAGTAAATCTTTTTTTTAGAATTTTTTAAGGGTGGAGTACGCTTTACACATGCACATTTGATATTTTTTAACAATGAAACATGAGGAAAGTTCTGATTCTTAATTTCACTTAGGCACTAAATAAATCATTTATTGGCATAAATTTGTATGATCAATAATTTAACTTTGTAGCTGTATTTTTGCTGAGTATAAAGCTTGGCTTGCGCCTGGCATACATCTCACATTGAAACATTCTGCATTGAAAAATCATAGATTTTAACTTATATTCTTGTTGTCAACCTGGCAAATCATTTTTCTTCTTTCATCACCACATGACTATCAATACATAGCAGCTTTGAGAAATGACTCATGCAGTGATGTCTAAGCAATTTAAAAAAAGAAAAATATTAGTATTGAATACCAAACGGCACGATAACCTTTTATGTCGCCATTACACTTGGCGATGACAGACATCACAGACTTTAGCCAACTGTGCTAACAGAAATTTCTTTTTATATACAAAAACTAAGACTTTGTAAATGCTATTCATAGGCTAAAAGATTGCATTTAGAGCTGCTTGAATTAAGAATAATTTATTTTCTGTTCCAATAAGACTTAAATATATATGGAAATTTATTTATTCGGGACTCCCATAAGCCTTTAAGCATATGCAGAAAATAGACATAAGTATAATAAATTAAGAATAATTTATTTTCTGTTCCAATAAGACTTAAATATATATGGAAATTTATTTATTCGGGACTCCCATAAGCCTTTAAGCATATGCAGAAAATAGACATAAGTATAATAAATAACTAAACCAATGTAAAGCACGAAATTTTATTAACACCACATCTCTGGTCACCATGCTCCTGATACACTGTCAGTAGTGTACAAGGGATGCTAACTAAACTTTATGACCACAGCCACGAATTTGTACGTTTTCAAATATCACAAACAAATGACAAATTTTCTAAAAGTGATAATAAATGATGATGATATGATAGAAATTTTTCAATGCAATGACGTTGCCCTAATCATCAATCAACTAACAAATGGCAAAATCTATAGTTTGGTTCTAAATCCAGATAATACTATTACTGATAGTGATGAAAGAGGTTGTGGAGAACAAAATAATTTTGATTACAATTTAGTGGGAATTCTCGACATGGTAGTTAGAAGACTTGAATAATAGACTTTTTACAACTGAACAAGAAATTAATGTCTATCTATAAAATTAAACTGAGTATATTAGCACAAAAATGAATCAACTTAAACAGAACAACATTGAAAACATTAAAAGAAAAATCTAATAAAGAAAAAAAATAAATGAGCTTGCTTTCCCCCCAAAATTTTGGTTCTCTTGAGGTTATAAATGATTCATTATTTATTCCATATTCTTAATTTAATAATTTCTATATGTCATCTTACTAATTTAAATTGATTACCTAATATCTGGAATCGCTGAAGTCCAAACAAGTCTGTATTTTGGACTTCGTACTGTATCGTAAATTACTTCTATCAAATCAGGAAACGAAGGTGGAAAAATAGTGTTTCCAAATGGTAAGTTTAAATGCAGAAATCAAAGCAAAATGTCTGTAACTGACCTGTGTTCCACATGACAATTCTCAGCCCCACATTTTGTTAAATGTCAGGTAAAGACTTAATGAGTATGGCTGGGATGTTTTATATCATGCTCCACCATATTCACCAACCAGACTTAATCCCTCATATTTTCATCTCTCTAGGTCACTTCAGAATTCGCTGAACAGCCTGGAGTTTACTTCTTTGGAGACTGTTAAACATCACCTAGGTAACTTCCTTGCTAATAAACTGAATGAATTTTTTAAGAAAGGAATTTTCCAGCTGCCAGAGACATGGTATGGAGTCAAAGAAAAAAATACTGCTCATCTGATTCAATGACATTTTCTTACATTTTTGCACAGCTCCATTTGTATTCATCATCGAAAAACCACAGAACTTTCCCAATGACCCTATGCTTTAAAAATAGGATTTTTTTTTTTTAATTTAAAATTCAGTAAGATTGACATAATATAAACAGCAGTTTCAATTCAAGATTTACATACATTAAACACAATGTATTTTATAATTATAACACAATATTTATATCCATTCACTTTATCATAAAAAAGATCAAAGCAAAAATTTTGAAGTTCTGCTTGCCCAAAAATGTAATTGAAAAAAGTGAAATCTTAAAATTTATAAATCAGTAGCAACATTCTGCCAATCATTAACCTGAATGCAGAAAATTTCCTACAAATATGATTTTGTAATAATTAATAATCATTTATAAGTTGGTCAATTTGCAGGAGAATGAAAATAATGCATTACAAATAAGAAACTGAACTTTAACCATTTTAAGTTTACCTTTATCATTTTATACATGTGTGTAAAAAAAGGGGGGGGAGGAACCTGGGGGGAGGAACATAAAAGAAATACAAGCAAAACTTTTTATCAGGCTCATAATTTTTATATTTTACTTATGGCAGGAAAAGACATAATACTGAATGCACTTTTTAGTTTGCCAATGTAGTATAACAATCTTCAAGAAAAATGTAAAAATAATAATAATGATAAAGGAAGTGCAAATTTACAATGATTCATGATATATGAATATGAATTACCATTTTATAAGTTTCTTCAGTTACAGCATAACATATATTCAGGAAACCAGATATTTCCACGGAAACTACATGATAAGCCTTTTTAAATTCTTCCAAGGACAAGTCTCAAATAAGCATAAATTTTGGAAATAATATATTCTCAAAAAGTACTTACGCAATGCAAGAAGGGAACATCTAAATATCTGATAAGCATTCATTGCAGAATTAATTTTTTGCTTCTTTAATAAATAGGACACAAACATAGTAAGAATGAAACCATTCAATCGACCATAACCCTATAAATGAGAATGTCCATCATTAAAGTTTAAAAACTTCCGTAAAATGAATACAGGACAAAGAATACAGTGAAAACTTGATTATCAGTCACTCTTTTAATTCCATGTTTGTATTATTCATCAAGCACTATGGCAGTTTAATGAACATAATGAATCCAAGTAAATAAACAAAAATAAGCACAAAAATTTTTAATTTTAAAAAAGCCACATTGTACAGTCCAATATGATTGCTCTGAGACCAAATTAAGAATATAATGCTAAAATGGCATTTTTAAAAATACAGAATTATCCTGTCAAATATTCAAATAAACTACACAGAAAATTTTCTTTATAAATATTACCACACAAGTTTGGTAATCAAGGCGTATGCATTCTGAGTATTTTACCAGGCAGTCTTTAAAAGTTTAATTATCAAAAAATTAATTTTTTTTCTTAAATTAGATTGGAAATTAAAACAATCTAGAAAAATAAAAAAATATTTATTTATCAGGGTATTTTTTTTTTTTAAATTTTTTTTTTTTTTTTTAATAAGGTTATTTGTTATTTACCAGAATAGAAACTGTTTTGTATTTATTTCCAATATTATATTTTCTCTGAACACCTGGCGGAAGGGGAAAAGACAGTTTCATATTTTTCATTCTAATGTTAACTGGCAAAATTTACATTGTAATTTTTGTCTCAAAAGATGAATTATATATAGCATGCTTTTACAATGCAAAATCAAACCTTTTCTGGAATCACACACTGATTTTTTTTTCTATAGATTCATTCTACCCATAAAAAGAAGCATTAACACTAGCTTTTGCACTACTCATACTAGCAGTTTTTACAGCTTTAAAATCTGGCAAGCTGGATTTATGGTGAAGGAAATGGCACCAAAAATAATTTCATGCGCTAAAGCTTACAGTTTACGCCAACCTTCAGCACTTTTTTAACTTTCTAAAACATATATGTATATGCTATGCAACTTTAATGATGCTACCTGTTAATTATATTTTGCTTTATTTAAGTTTAACAGAAGACGTGAAATTTTAATGAATCTTACTATTAAATCTGTTAAAAAAAAAACAAAATTTTCTTCTAGAAACATGTACTTGGGGAACTTCTTGTAAAAGAAACACATTAGTGGGGGGGGGAGTATTGCTAAAGAATAGTCAGTAAAGTTTACATGCAAAATTGTCTACCTGTGATAGTGAACTAGAAAATTAAGCATCAGTAATAAAATGCTCAAAGGCTTCATACTGTTTATTACTCTGCTAACAGAATTTAAATGGGATAATCAGAGAATGTGCATACCTCAAAATTTAATGAGGTTTAGTTTCACACACAGGTAGGCACAATTTGAGAGAATTTCTCATTTTGAGATTTTCTGAAGTAATACATATGAGTTTTTGATTCAGTTGTATTACTTCAGTGCCACATCTTAGTCCATAAACTGCTTCTTGTAAATGATATAATAAGTATACTTATCACAATAGTTTTTAATAAAAATATTCATAAGACTCATGTGCACATTTTTACAACTTCAGCAAACAACATACTAAGGCCTCACATAATACATGAATGTATAATTAGAATAAAACTTTGAGTCAACCTGAAATATCAAGAGTGACATCATCACAACTGCTAGGTTTTGGTTTGGTTTGATTTGGTTTATTTGACTATGGTAAAGCTCTCAGAGGCTACCTGCCTTAAACAAGGGATACTCACGTGAAGGACTTTCTATGAGAAACTGGTTTATGTACATGTTACACATGAGGAAAACCACAAAAATGCCCATGCAACCAGCTCATTGATGGAATTCGAACCTCGGACTGAACTACCAGATTTCACTGCTCAGCTTCTGGTGGTCCTCACAAACGCTAGAGTTAATTTAATATATCGATCGTGACTTAAGCACAGTCAGAAGCTTCAACTTTTCACTTTTATTTACTCAAGCAACTCAAACTCAATATTTTCAGCAGCAATTTTTGTCACACCTGTAATAGATTTTTGCCACATCTGGAAAATTCACCTTTAAACTTGTAAACATATGGTTAAGCATAATGAAGTCTAAACTTGCAGAATGTTAAACAATATTCCCTTTTCAGTAACAGAAATAAAAAAAAAAAAAATTATACTGAAATAAACCCTAGGCAAATGTTGATTAAAACTTTATTAAAATGGAAAAATTTTGTCAAGGAATATATATTTGGGAAATAACTGGAAATAAACTATGTTTTTTTTTAAAAATGCCTTTGAATATTCTCAGGTAAGTCATTTCAGGTCTCAAGTAAGTCATTTTGTTGTGGATTACTGCATGCACAGCAGTGATAATTACCAACAGAACAAGAAATAATACTGTGTATAATTTTCTTTATTGAAGTTACATAGTTTTAGTAACGCAATACGGAAATTCGGTACTTCTTTTTTATAACAGCTCCCGAGACTGAATCATTAGTCAACCAAGATCTCGCCAAAATCTGGCTGAATGTTCTCATACCACACTAAAGATGGTATATTAGCACCGGCCGCATGTTATTATACCACACCACGTAATTGTATGTTAGTCCTATATTTCATTTTTGCTCTCGCCATGTGTTCTTATATTATTCATTTTTGATGGAGTTTTTGAATTTGCATTATTTATTTAAAAATATAATCACTGCCCCCCTTTTGTGAATGTGACATTAAGAATCTTTAATTTACCGAGTGATGAGGTGGATGCCATATCATTTTTCCAAAAAAGAAGTCTTTTTTTGACAAACGAGTATGCGAAAATGGGCACAACAAGAAACTTTATGTTAATAATGAAACCATTTGGACATGTAATGTTAAAAACTGTAAAAAGAAGAAGGGTCTCCATGTTGGATATTGGTTCAGTAGTTCCAGAATATCATTTGTTACTGCTATTAGATACAAATTCAGAAATCTCACTTCCAATATAACCAGTGATTGTCGTGTCCATGATAATGAAGCCTACTAAGGTGTACAGAAATAATCCACAGCATCATATCTGAGCAGCTGCAAATTTAATCCTCTCTACTATTTTCAGCATTGCTAAAGCTGCCTGGAATCCAGCTATCATCTTCTCAGCTGTATTTTTGGATGCCCTAATCTTCTCAATATGCGCAATGACTGTGTTAAGGAAGCGCCTAATTTCCTCCTCAGGGCAACCACGATACGAACTTGCATGTGATTCCCTACAAAACAGGCAGGTAGGCTTATCTTCTTCTTTTAGTATACACTGATTACTACGGTGATTATCTCCACATTTACAGCACTTCTCTGAATTGGTACGTAAGTGTTGGGAATGTCCAAACTGCTGACATCGAAAACATTGAAGCGGGCGCTTCCTGGGAGAGAACTTATCCACTTTGATGTTCACGCTGAATATATTATCAAGCTGGTGAATAGCTTATCCTGTGGCATTTTTATTCAGATCTATTATGAAAAATGGTAGTTTTTCAAAGTTGTTTGCTTTACTTTTCTTTATCTGCTTGACTTTAAGCATGGGAAACTTACGTCTTTACAGCTTCCTCAGTCACTGTATTAGGCAGGCTCTTCAGTACCATGCGCATCAGCTTTTCACTCGCTAACTGAAAGGAGTGATGTGGTATTTCATTCTTTTGCAGGGCAGCAGTAGCTCTTCTGTAATCAGAAACACTTTTTATATTAACGTAAATGGATCTGAACTTCATATCAGCTTCGAATTCACCTTCAGAATTTTCTATCAGCAGCTCATGCACTTTCAACCAATCAATTGCCTGTTGCTGGAATACTATGGGCAGGGGCACCTCCTCCGTTTTGCTGGCTCCCTCTACTTCTTGCTTCTCGTCAGGATTAAGAGCTTCAAACCTGTTTTCTTTTGAAACTTCCATCAGCTCATCTTTTCGGGTAGGTTTTGCCGTCTTCTTCGGCAAAATCCATTTGCCTTCCGTATTATCAGCACTTTTCCTTTCGTTTTCCTCCTGTTCCTTCCTTTCCTTTAGCTGTTCATCAACAATTTCCAAAGCTTGCTTTAACATCAATTGTTCTAAAGGGCCCTTCACCTGTTCTGCCACTCTTACACATCCGTGCTTCTTAACCTGCTCAATCAGGTTTACAATATTTTCATTATCCTCCAGAAAAGGCGATCTTTCTTCACTTTGGTTTTCTTTGACACGCTGTGTAAATCCAAAGGCTTCAAATCCGTTTTGGTCTGCTTCTTCTTATTCCTTTTTTCCTTAGGTGATCGTAAGAAATCTTTTTTTCTTAGGTGGAAAGTCCTATTTGTTTGATGTGAGCTAACTGAATTCCTTTCGCTGAGCTCATTATCGTCCGTCTAATCTCCCTCTTCGGGTAAGACATTTCATCTTACCCGAAGGTTACTGATCTATCGAAGGTAAAATCACCGACCGCCTATGGGACTGGGTCAGTATCAGAAAATTTCAAGAGTAACCACTGCACTACCTACTAGCTCGGAGTCAATGCTCAGAAAAGAATCAGAATCCAAAATTTTAAAATATGTCAACAGCACACGGTGTTCCCAGGTGGTCACGCTCCCAAGTACTTGCTGTGCCTGATGCTGCTTGACTTCGGCCCAAGGCGTTTGACTTCCGGAGTACCTTTGCAACTTAATGCAATTACCTCCACAACTTCGATAAGGAAACTGAGTTGGATAAGAAAAAGCATTGGCTAAAGGAAAAATGAACAAACCGTTAAGGGTTTACTATGGAAGAAATGAATAAGGAGTCCATATAAGGGACGAGTAATTCTCTCTGCTTTCAACTTGTAATTCAAGATTGAAAGAGAGAGAGGTGTTGATTGAGGCGAATTCCGAACGCTTTTGTTAAATGGAATCGGAAAGGTTGAAAGAGAACAGCCGGGAAACATGGTGTTCCAGGGCTTGGGAAAGGTATTATTAGGTAATACGGACAGCCGCAGTGATGGCTAATCCTGGGGATGAGCAGGGGTGGAAGAGTCTTGCGACTAAAACTTGAATCCAGGGGTGGAGGAGCGAAAGGTGGAGGGGGAGATAGTCTATTCAATGAAGGCGAAATTGTTCTCCGACCGCCCGTGGCGAGTTGAATAATAGGAGCATTTTTTCGAAAGGAAAGAGAACCGCAAGGAAAGTTAACTGTGAAAAAGACGGAAAAAAAAAGAAAAAGACGGAGAAATTATTAGAAGAGGATTTAAAGGGACAGAGATAGAGCAAAGGAAGGAATTAAAAGGAATTAAAGGAAGGGAAGCTTGACTTCGGTGATCGAACGAGAACCGGTACTTTCAGCATGGTATGGCCGCTGACATAATAATTTTTTTTTTCCCTCAATGGCAGATTGTGAACAATTACAAATGTAACCCAGTCCATTGATCTATACAAGGCCGGATGTGGTGGTCTTTTTATTATGGAGGCACCTAATAGGTGGGCCACCATCACCTTTCCTGTGAAGGGGATTTAATAAAAGAATTGACATCCTCCAAAGTGAAAAGTTGTTTAAGAGCTCTTCATTAGAAAAAAATGAAATAATTTCGAAATACTTATGTAGCACTTCTTTCACTATGAAACTCGAGTATCTCACCATTTATATTAGAAATAGGAACAATTTATAAACCATTCAAAAGATAACCATATTGTCATTGAATCGCCAAAATAGCTTCTAGAATCTAATTCACACTCAAAATGGCAGTCCATAAAAAAAAAAAAAAAAAAAAAAAACATACTTAAAATGAATTAAATTAAGGAAATCGGAAAAAAACTAAATAAACTTTTAAACAAAAAATCGTTAAACCTAAAACCAAAAAAAAAACCAAAAAAACAAAAAAATACAAAAAACAAAAAAAAAAACCCAAAAAAAACAAAAAATTTCAACTAAACAAAAAAGTATAATAACTAAAGGAATAGAAAATCAAAATTCAAAAAAAAAAAACAAAAAAAAAAAAACAAATAAAAAATAAAAGACAATAACAAAAATATAATAAAAAAAACTCAAAAAGCCCTAAAAAACCTAAACAACAAAAAAAAAATTTAAAAAAAAACAAGAAACCGTTAAAAAAAAAAAAAAAAACTCCAACAAAAAAAAAAAAAATGAAAGAAACAAAAAAAAAAAAACTAAAAAAAAACTACATACAAAAACACAAGAAAAACAAAAAAAAAAAAAAAAAAAAAAAAATTTGCCTTTGCCAGCAAGTGTAAAAAAAAAAAAAAAAAAAAAAGAAAATAAACGTTTCGCTGCGCCTTTTATGTATAACGCGGTATAACTAAAATTTTAAAAAATCCTAATTATCTACTATCAAAGAAAAAGAAAAAAAAAAAAAAAAAAAAAAAAAAAAAAAAAAAAAAAAAAAAAAAAAAAAAAAAAAAAAAAAAAAAAAAAAAAAAAAAAAAAAAAAAAAGAAAAAAAAAAAAAAAAAAATAAAAAAAAAGAAAAAAAAAAAAAAAAAAAAAAAAAAAACAAAAAAAAAAAAAAAAAAAAAAAAAAAAAAAAAAAAAAAAAAAAAAAAAAAAAAAAAAAACAAAAAAAAAAAAAAAAAAAAAAAAAACAAAAAAAAAAAAAAAAAAAAACAAAAACAAAAAAAAAAAAAAAAAAAAAAAAAAAAAAAAAAAAAAAAATAAAAAAAAAAAAAAAAAAAAAAAAAAAAATAAAAAAAAAAAAAAAAAAAAAAAAAAAAAAAAAAAAAAAAAAAAAAAAAAAAAAAAAAAAAAAAAAAAAAAAAAAAAAAAAAAAAAAAAAAAAAAAAAAAAAAAAAAAATAAAAAAAAAAAAAAAAAAACAAAAAAAATTCGTTGAAACAACAAAAAAAAAAAAAAAAACAAAAAAAAAAGGAAAAAAATTAAGAACAAAAAAAACAAAAAATAAAAAAAAAAAAAAAAAAAAACACTCCAAAAGCCAAAAAAATAAAAAAAATTTTTCCAAAAACAAAAAAAAAAAAAAATTCAACAAAAAAAAAAAAAAAAAAAAAAAAAAAAAAAAAAAAAAAAAAAAAAAAAAAAAAAAAAAAAAAAAAAAAAAAAAAAAAAAAAAAATAAAAAAAAAAAAAAAAAAAAAAAAAAAAACAAAAAAAAAAAAAAAAAAAAAAAAAAAAAAAAAAAAAATTGTCATTAAGGACTTTCTGTCAATTTTGGCCGAAATTAAGGACTTTTAAGGACAAAAAATCGATTCCAAAAAACCTAAGGACTTTTAAGGACTCTTAAGGACCATACGAACCCTGATTATTGTTGTCATCATATATCAGGTTGTTAATTTTTACATTTGTGCTTCGTGAACTTAGCAAAATTATAATTGAGATCTTGGTGCATATCTAAAATTGCCAAATATGGTTTGGGGCTGCTATAACAAAGAAGTGCCAGAATTTCAAAAAAGATTGCACGGTTAAAATGTTTCTTGAATGTTGGTTGTAGAGCCATGCTTCCACCTTAAGAAATTTATCAAGTAAAGCATATATTAGGAATAAGAAATACTGATATTGATGAGATTCATATGATCAATATTGATCATGTGATAAGATATGCTATGCATAAATTTTTACAGTTACAAGATCATATACACGACATTTAAATTTTTATATGGGTTCCATGTAAAAAGATATCAAGGAAAATGTTCCATTGCCAACTTAGTCAAAAACGTATATCTTCATATAATAAGAATAATCAAATATAGCCATTATAAAAAATTTTAAAGTATTGCTAAGCATATTTTTTAAAAATACACATTTCAAAAAGAAATCTTGCTCTCAAAAAGAAAGCTTGCTCTTTGCTTTAAAAAAAAAAAAAAAACTCCAGAAAAACGTAATTTAGAAAACACTTTCCAAAATTTGAAATGCTAAAATTCAAAAATAATAAATAGAAATGCTAAAATTCAAAATTTTGATATGAACCAGTCATAGCATGTTAGAAACTTATACAGTCAAAAGTCGTTAATTCAGACACCCACAATCCGGACGAAAAAATTTCGATTGACAAGTTAGTCAGTATTCTCGGACACAGCAATTAAACGGGACTTGAACAGCGGAACTTGGTAATTGAACCCAAAAGTATGTCTGTTTTTATCAGAATTAAGAGAAGTATTATCACATAAAACGAAGCAACTAAACAACTGACATGGAAAGAATATTCTATAAAGTAAAACAATAATTTTTTTTTTTTTTTTTTTTTTTTTTTTGTAAATTTTGATACACTTTAGATCATAATTGTTCTTTCCCGACGAGTCCGGATTAACGACTTTTGACTGTATCACTCACAGTCTAAAATAAAACTGCTGCAAAAAATGTTAAGAAATCCAAGTAAAAGGACCTTTTATAAAATTAACTCATGGTATAATAAACAATGAACTTTTATAAAATTAAAGATAGGTAAAAGATCTTCTGCATCAAGTTCTCCTTATGCAAAACATGTTAACACCCTTTAAAGAGGCTTTTCTTTGAGGTGGTGCCCCCCTTTTTTCTCACACAAAAGGCAGGAGGGTACAACTGATGAAAGATAGCTCAATACATAGAGTATTTTCCTTTTTTTTATCTTTTGTGGACATAATCATCAACCTGTACTTTACCATCACAAAAAAATGGGAAAAAAAAAAAAAAAAAATTGATACATACCATAGTCAAACCTCTCTGTCTGCACCAAAGTTTTAGCAAAATAAGTCCATCTTTAACATTTTGATTCGTAATTTCCTCTTTAAGATACTTATTTAACTTTGGTAAGAGCACGTCTGCTAGAATTATAGCATTGTAATATGGTGTAGGTATACTGTGATCTAAAAAATGGACATTAAATTAATAATAACATTTTTGGTTATGCTATAAATTAAAATGTAATTACTGTAACAACTCAGAATGACACACTTAAATTATACATAATTACATTACTTTTACATAATCAAAGAAATAAAACTTGATTTTATATAAAAGATATAGAGAAAATTAATATATTATTAAATTATAATATAATATTAATATAGTTTTAAATTAATATACATTAACTTATGAATTTTCTTCCGTACAGCACCTTTATGATATAAAAAGTTTCTCTTAAATTTTAACTGTTAGGGGTTGGGGGGAATATGGTATTTTCTAATTATTTTCACTACTGCCGAAAAGTATTCATGAGACAAAGTAGTATGTTACCAAAATAGTTATGTGGCAACTAATGGTGTTGCCAAAAGTATTTATTTAGCAACCTAGGTGTGCATGTGGCATAGGTCTGTTTTGACCAGGTTGCAATGTGGAAATATGGAATTTGTACAGGGTTGAGTTTGTGCAGTTTTCTATAATTTTTGAAGTCAAAACAGATCTCAGTGTACATGGAAAGAATACTTTGAAAAAAAAAAAAAAAAAAAGATTTTTTTAAAAGATAAGTATTTTACTCTCGAGGCAATCCCCCCCAAAAAAAAAAAGGTCTCCTATATTTTTAGATTACAAAGACCATTTACTTTCTATAATTGATATATCACTTAAGATTGAAGAATGCTTTATTTTCAACAAAATCGCCCATTTCGGTCGATACGTTTTGTAGGCCGCTGTGGCAGTTTTACAATGCCCATGTCATACCAGCTTGCCCCCATGCCCTTCAGGAAGCGTTGAACCTCAGCTTTCATCATGATTCATCTTCATCTTGAAATTCACGGGAAGAATCAACCCGTTGCCGTTTGTGGTCTTCTGTCAGCCTATCCGGCACCCATCTCGCACACAAGTTTCGATATTGCAACTTTTCCGTTAAATTCCTGTGGATGGTGCTTCTGGAAACCTCAGTAACCAAAATGGAGAGAGCATACAGAGTGATCCTCCGATCTTTACACATGAGTTTCTCAACTTTCGCGATAGCCTCGTTGGCAATTAACGGCCTCCCGCTCCTTTCTTCGTCCTGAATTTCAGTACAACCGGCTGTAAACTCTCTGCACCATTTGCGAACGTTTTGGACATACACGCATGACTGTCCATACACGTCCGTCAATAGTGTGAATTTCAACGGTTTTTTTTTTTTCTTTTTTTTTTTTTTTTTTTTTTTTGTTTTTTTTTTTTTTTTTTTTTTTTTTTTTTTTTTTTTTTTTTTCTTTTTTTTTTTTTTTTTTTTCTTTTTCTTTTTTTTAACGCCTTTTGCGTTCAAAATCAAATCAATAACTGCACGCCTTTCGCACTTGGCGGTAACGTTTTCCGGCAGCTCCATTTCGAATGGCTGCCAAGCCAAGACTGAACATCCGAGTGAAGCACCTGCGTGCTTATGTGGTAGCGGAGAAGGCACCACTCACAACAGTGTTGCCAACAATCGTATTAAAATCAGTGTGGTTTGACCATAGCTGTGAAAGTTCATATAATCTTTTACAATTACTTATCATGTGAAATTTACAATTACAAGAGTGGCTTTTACGTGAGCAAACTTCACGTTCATTAATCATTTTCCATACAAACAGAACATTGATATCATTTATAAAATCACAGATGTTTTCATTTTTTCTTAAAGGATCAATGTTTAAACATTGAGACAATAAAAAATACATGTAAATCATGAAAATCATTATTTGCAACAGTTTCATTAACGGTATCTAGATAAAACCATATTCTATCACGCAAGCAAACATTATGCTTGGCGAGCTTGTGGCAAATGGAACATCAATATCACTTTTTGAATAAGTCATAATTTTAAAAAGCAAAAGCATCAATAACATGTCTGTCAAACAGTGACTTGAGTATTTAATGTATATATTTTAATGACTATTATTTTTGAACGTTTAATTTATAATACTTAGAGAAAGAAGGTAAAAAACAAAGTCAAAATTATGATGTTAATATATTAGTGATTAACCACATATCTATTTCATTTTATTATAATTGCTTAGTTATGAATATAACAGATGGCCATAATTAAACCGACAGTGCTCACAATGTTTTGTAGAGCAATCTATTTGCGAGAATGATGCCACATTTTGTAGGAAGATTAACAGACGGGACGAAGATCCGTGAAAAAAAAAAGTTCCAAAATCTCCGCTATGGGAATATTTGAGGCGTGTAATGCAATAGAGTGTTAACAAATCAAATTAATACAAAATAAAATTACCTTTCTTTGGATCTTCTTATGGAATATGGATATGCTTCAGTATGTATGAAAATCTTATGAAAATTATCACTCTATCCGTACAGCGCGCCGTGTCAGAGTTACTGTAACCAACCCATGATAGCGATTGACTTTATCCTCTCACCTTCCTGCCAGCAATGGAGGTGAGAGGCTTGGTCGTGAACTCTTATGGGGAGACTAGGCCACGCTTTTTACCTGAATGGACTGTGAAACCCAAACTGCCGATTTGGGATGAACAATCACCACTGCAGTCACAGCAATTCCCTTACATTCACCAAGAGTAACTGTTTGTTGTGGGTTCACATCGTAATTTATCGCAGGTCCATTCTTCAATGAGAACTTTACCCCCCGACAGGACAAAACCTGTTCTGTTACGGAAGAAATCTCGCCACATGTTGAACACTTTGTTATTCGGCCCTTCACATAGAACAATGCCAGGGGAAATCATTTTCATGCAATCCCACGTTGCTGTACGGGTTGCACAGATGCTACGACAGAAATTCAACTGCATTGGCCACCTCGTCGCTGATCTTCCATGCGACTTCGGCTATGGGGTTACTTAAGTCCAAGGTCTATTAAGGAGTGGTCCATGACCTGGCACGTTGAAGGATAACATATCACGGACTGTACAGGAGATTCCTGCAGACATGTTACTTCTGCTGTTTGCATACTGTGCACAGAATGCAATATGTGGTCCACAACGACGGACAGCCACATTGAACCTCATTTGAATGCAAAAATAAAAGGAAATTTCGTATTGATTTGCATTTGTTAACACTCTATTTTCTATTACATAGTGCCAAATATTCCCCTAGCGGTGACTTTTGGAACTATTTTTTTTTCCGCGGAATCCTTCGTCCCCCGTCTTCTTTAATCTTCCTACAAAATGTGACGTCATTCTCGCAAATAGATCGCGCTGCAGAACACTGTGAGTACTGTCTGTTTAATTATGGCCACCTGTTATAACCAATATTCCTACTTTAATATGAAATTGTGAGCAAATCAAATCATAATTTTTCTAGCTATGTTGTATTACTTTCATGTACTTATGTCGGGAACAATGTACATGGTGACAGAAATGCATTTCAATTATACTTATGACATATTAATACTATTTGAAAATGTTATTACAAAGTATAGATAAAATAACTTTTTAAATTGTCCCCTTTGCTATATCAAAGAGAAATGCACTTTTATAATATGGAAGATGAATGAAAGATGTTACATGCCTTGTACTGGCAACAATTTTTTATTTTATTTGTGAAAGACAAAACTGCTAAGTGAAAACAGTAACATAAACAACTTTCTATTTTTCAAAAGTTAAAAAAATACATAAAATTCATTTTATTTTAACAGCATATTACTACGATCCCCTTACTTGGTTTTAACTGCATATATGAATTTTCATATTAATGTTCTCAAGGTAACAATTAAAAATCTGTTTTAATTGTTACTTTGAGTTTTTTCCCTCTTTACATTAAGCAATTCAAATTTTCAATAATTTTATTATTTGAAATACATACCCACCTTCTTCAATACCTAACATCCAGGATGATCTAACGTTATTCCTTACAGGAATAAATCTGTTAAGTTTGAAGGCTTGTTCACTAGGATATGCAGTGAGATTTACAGTGAACTGTGATATAGCTGCAAAACAGATGCACATTTTATAAATAAATAATATACATAAGTGGTATAAAACAGAGGATATGATTCAAATCATAAATATTCATAATTTATATAATCCTGGAATTATTAAATCATTAAAAATAAATTTAATTCTTTATAACATGTTTATGAAACTTTCCATACTATAATGAGCTAATGATGTTAATCATATTTAAGACACAGTTACTTACTACACAAGTTTGTTATCACCTAATATTTTTAAATGCCATTTATAATTTACACTAAATTATATTTTATACTAATTATAAGAAAACATAACATTTCAGCTACAATTATTTATACCATCTGACAAAGTCATATTGTACCTTAAACTGGAAGCACACTCGACATGGATTTGGAAAGGCCAGAGTTCGAATCTCGCCGAGGGCAATGAATATTTTGCCACCCAGATGGTATAGTGGTTAGGGGAGCCAAATGCAATACTAAAGGGCCTGGGTTCAAATCCCGGAGAAAGCATCATTGTAACTGTCTGTCCCTTCATTGGATGCAAAGGTGCCCCAAATATTAGATGCCTCAGCTAAAGTGACTATCGCTAACGACCTTAGTAGTGGTCAATGTCTATGACGACGTGTGCCTGCCACTGGGGAAGGTCATACTTATGTACAGATTTATTTAATCTTGGACTGAATTTAACTGAAAGTTGTAAAAAAATCTAGCAGCATATTAATCAGCTACATGCTTATTAAGCACATCAATGCACATTAAGCATTCATATTCATATATCATACTATCTTACCTCTAGTGCAATTACATCCTATTCAAGAGCTAATTAATCATGCTCTTAAAGAAAAAAAAAATTATATTGTAATTAATCCTCATCTCTTCTCAAAAAATACTGCACAATCTCAACAAGTATCATAATATAAATAACAAAGTCCAAGATGACTTTGCTATTTCTCCTGATGACCATTAAAATTGTTACATCATGAAGAAGTGCAGTTCGCAAAATTATCTTTACTTCACATTGTAACAGAAGAAGGAAATGTTTAAAATTTCAGGTAATTTTAAAGTGCAGAACACACAGAAATGAGTATTCTGAGCATCCACTTCTAGCAAAATTTACAAGTGTTACACAGTTAGGTGTGAAGCTGAACAGATACTGGATGGTAGTTGGGGATACCGCAGTTCAGGCATCTTCAGTTCAAGTCCAAAACAATAATCTTAGGTTGGTGAAGAATTAAAACTAAATTCTATCAATTTCAAGAATGTTCAAACATAAGTCCCTCTTCTTCAGGAGCACAGAACTTTTGAAAAGTTGGGAAAAGTGACAACAGTTTTATATAGAAAACAACAAGTATGGAGGTTATATGTTTTATGTGGAAAGCAGAGCAAATATGAACATACACCACCTATCAAGAAAAATATTAACGGAAGGTGAAAAAGATATCAGAATTTTGAGAATATTGGGAAAAAGCAGACCGAAATTAAAATCATTAACTATAGAAGATAAAATTTTTGTGAATGAAATCAACTTTATAAACTACAGAAGGCCTTTATGAATAATTTTTGCAAGTAAAAATCAAAATTGTGATCAAGTCCTCAGTTGTAATTAGCTACCAAAAATTCATTCTTTTCTCCTTATCAAACATACGATTTGTATTCCTTAATGTGAAATTTTAATGTTTTTTGGTTTAGCCGATGCATAAACTACACTGACGTGCTTGCTATGCCATAAATACCTCAAGAATTCAAAACAGAGATAAGATCCTTAGGAATCAAACAAATTTTACTGATACATAAGAAAAAGTTTTCAAAGCTGAATTTTGGGATCATTGCATTAAGAGAAATTACAAAGTGATCAACATAAAAGGAAATGGTGACATCTATAATAGTGACCAATGCATCATCTATATACCAATATGTCATCAACATATCTTCTATGATAATATAATCATCTATAATAATTAAAAAAGGAAATGGCAACATCTATATATCACACACATAAACACATCATTTTTTAAAATGATAAAAACATGCTGCAGGGGATCTGTACTTAATCATGGGAAAACTCATTATCAAGTTTTTGGATTGAAAACATTACCTTCTTCACATAAGTTGGTGGGACTTACCAAAAAAAAAAAATCTCCCTTCAAAATTTCTCTTTTTTCAAATCAGACAAAAGAAAAAAAAAAAAAAGTGTCTAATGATTTCTACGGATATGTAACAACACTCTCAGCAGGCCACAATTAAATTTGCTGATCTTGTGCCTTATTACTGTGTTCTTGTTTTCAATTTAAGTCTCATTATCAAAAAGTTTTTTAAATGAGTATTTATTTTGTTCTTTATTTATTGAAATATATAACTAACCTAAAATATTCGTTATGTTTAGAAAAAATTCATCATGATTAAAATCATGACAAAAGTCTGCTTTCCTGCTGAAACCATACTTTCATCAACACATATATTCATTCTTCTAGAGATCACAATTTGACGTGAATTGCACTGTAGCGAGAAGAATGTAAAAAAAATTGTCATAAAATATGTGTAGCTGTCTAACAAAAGTTTTACTCTATTAATAAATTACTGCAATTAATGCTTCATAAAAACTGAATTGATGAAAAATGAAGGTTACAGTTCTTACCTTTAGGAATAATTCTTAAAACTGGTGATAAATAGGAATCATTCTGTAAGCTGAATTTCATTTCACTGACTAAATCAGATTCCAACAAAGAATGGGCGATACAAGCTAAATAAAATGCTCTTTTACGATGATAACGATGATTCAAAAAGTCCAGACTCTGCCAACAAGCCTATAAAATTAGCACAACTTTAGTGGTTATGAATCAGGACTTTTTAATATACTTATTTAAAACTTCAGTTTACCTAAGAATGCAGTTTAGATTATTGCAAATTAATTTTTTGTAATTTATGAGAAATATATGGGGAATATATATATATTCCAAATATGAGAAAAACAAAGAGAAGATTCCCAGTGAATTAGAGAAATTAAAATTTTTCACCTTATGTGCAATAAAATCTCAGTGAACTAAATTTCATGATGATGACAATGAATTATATCAAACAAATTTTATTCACATAATAAATTGAGAGCAAGAAGTCACGAATTAAAACTAAATCACTAATATTTACTTTATCATCTTAATATATGTCACATATATTGCAGTACAATAATATAAGCCTAAATAAAGCTACATAGTTAAAATTACATTCACTAATAATGCTGTGACTGATTTGTACAAACTACAAATTAGCAGCCAAATTCTAATAATAAAATATAGTACAAAATCTGAAATTTGGACATTCCATAATTGGAATGATTTATTATCCAGACATCCCTTAAAATAGAGGTCTTCAACCGATGGCCCACTAAAGGCATTTTAGAGGCCCCACATTTGAATTTGAAGAAAAATTGAAGAACTTTAAGAACTTTTGATTTGAAGAAAAATTGCCTTATTAGCTTTTTGGTACCAAAAAAAAAAAAACTTTTTCTCTTATTGTTGATATTTAAAACATTTTATTATTGACATGACTTGCATTATTTGAGATAAAATTTTCTGAAAATGATGAATTTTTCAAAAATTTCACATAATTTTAAAAATAAAAAAATTTGACTTTGCATAAAATCTCAATTCCATAAAAAGGGTAGATTCTTATGTCTAACAGGTTTGCAAAAAATGTCAATCTTTTGTCAATACTTCACCAAAGGTGATCTTGAGCGTGCACTACTAAAGAGGGAAGGGGTGATAAATTAACAGAAGTCTGTTTCGCCTACCTATTCTACATTCTAAAATTCAGAAGCATTTATGGTCGTTGAATGAGTACACAATGGCAAGCCGTATTAACAAGAAAGAAAAGTTCGATTTTTTTTCAAACAAAAGTGGTCAGATCTTTATTTTTTTGTCGTACATAAGGGTGAGGCAGTTTGCCTTATCTGCAAGGACTGTGTAGTTTTGATGAAGGAATACAAAAAGAAGAGACATTATGATACTAAGCACAGTGAGAAATATTTTGCATTGGAAGGTCATTTTCGAAGTGATAAGGTGAGCAAATTAAAATCAAACTAAATTTTGGCTGATCTTTAGAATATGGTAACTGGTAGTTTGGCGACATTTTGGAGGCGATAAAGGTTACTACCTGGGACTTTGGTAATAACGTGAGCAGTACTCAGTTCCGATTACGCATTATTTTGTGTGAGGGAAATGAGAGATCATGGGATATGTCATGTGATATTAATGGACGAATTACGGTTCTTTAATCGGAAAAGGGGGGAAATCGGGAAAAAATCTGGAAATTTTGTATTTGGCTTTATTCTGTGTTGTGTGAAACAGTGTTTGTTAATTTTTGGATCCCATGGCCCTAACTAAAGTGAATTCGAATGGGTATTTAGTGGGATTGAAAGGGGTAGTAATAAGTTTTTTTTAAGGTTGTGCGAGAAGTAAAGATGTTTTTATAAGTTATTTATTTTACCTGGTAACCTTGCTGTGAACTATAAGTATGTTTTTAAAGATCCTGAAACAGAAATAAGAAAAGTTTATCGGACACGTAATCAAGATTCTGAAGAAGATTAGGTAAGTTAGTATTTTTAATTATTTGAGGATATTATTTTTATGCATTGTTCTAAATGTAAGGTGGAAGTAAAGGTAATTTGGTATTATTGGGAAAATTGTTATTAGCAATGATTTAGTTTAAAGTAATTAGGATTGTAAGGCTAATTTTTATTAATTTAATGTATGTGCTCATTTATATTTTAAGTAGTGTTTTTGAATTTAATTATATTTTAATTAAATGATAGTTATTTTGTGAATTTTATGTTTGTAGGAATTTGGTATACGTTTTAGTTGAAGTAAACGTGCATGGAAATAATTAAAATATTTGACACTAAGTATTTGTAATGTTTGCGGTATGAATTCGTTGGTGACGTGTATAATATAATAGATGATTTAGAGGTAAAAGTTTTTGGATATTTTATTTATTTTATATGTGGAAATGTTCATATTTGGAAAGGGTAAATACTTTTTCGCGATCAGGTAATTTCATATATGTTCTTTTTACCGGGTTTAAAGATTGAGAAAATTGTCATGTATTTTCGTGAAATTTTTCTAATTTATGAGAAAAAAGCAGTGTACATGGATATAGTGAAGAGTGTGCGCAATGCCATTTTTGTGCAATTCTGGGATTTTTTTTTTAAGTAAAAATAAGTCGACGTGTACATGGTTTTAGTGATATTTTAATTAAATGATAGTTATTTTGTGAATTTTATGTTTGTAGGAATTTGGTATACGTTTTAAGTTGAAGTAAACGTGCATGGAAATAATTTAAATATTTGATACTAAGTATTTGTAATGCTTGCGGTATGAATTCGTTGGTGACGTGTATAATGTAATAGATGATTTAGAGGTAAAAGTTTTTGGATATTTTATTTATTTTATATGTGGAAATGTTCATATTTGGAAAGGGTAAATACTTTTTCGCGATCAGGTAATTTCATATATGTTCTTTTTACCGGGTTTAAAGATTCAGAAAATTGTCATGTATTTTCGTGAAATTTTTCTAATTTATGAGAAAAAAGCAGTGTACATGGATATAGTGAAGAGTGTGCGCAATGCCATTTTTGTGCAATTCTGGGATGTTTTTTTAAGTAAAAATAAGTTGCGTGTACATGGTTTATGTGTATGTGTTATTTTGAAAAACGCGTAAGGAGTATGGTATTGTGCACTTTTTCCCAATTTTGCAGTGAAATTTTGTCATGATTAAGCAGTTTTGTTAGATAAAATTTCTAGCATAAGTGTAATTCGGCTAGTAGTAGATTGTTGGAAGAAGTGTTCAGTAGATAAAAAGAAAGAAACATGTCTTTACTTCGTGAAGACAAAATGGCGGCAGGAAAAAAAAAATAGAGGGTTGCTGTAGGAGAGTTGGTCGCCAAATTTTCACCAAAAAATCGCCAAGTTACCATAATCTAAAGATCAAACTAAATTTTCATCAACCTTTCTTCACCACATCAAATAAAGAATCTGAAAACAATACGTGTTAGTTACATGATAGCAGAAAAAATTGCTAAGCATGGAAAACCCTTCGCTGATGGAGAATTTGTAAAAGAACGTCTTCAGAATGCAGTTGATATGTCGCTATTGCAGGCTCAAGTGAAAAGTTTAAAAAATGCCCTTCGAACATAATTTTATTTTATTTATTAGTTATTTCTATGTCAGTACATTTAGTTTGCTCCTACAATGTAGGAATGTTTGCGATAATATTCTGACAAACTATATAATCTCAGTAGGAAAATAAAAACTTGGACAACAATGAATATTAGCTTGTTTGGTGTGACAATAGTGAATCGCATAGAGGATCTCGTAACAGATACATTCTGTAAATTAAAATCCAAATGCAAAAAATTTGAGTTTTATTCTGTAGTGATGGATGAATCAACAGTTGCAATGGATACTGCACAAGTAGCCATTTTTATTCGTGGCGTTGATGTAGACTTCACAACTGTAGAGGAATTAGCCAGTGTCATTGCACTTAAAGGTACAACACGAGGAACAAATTTGTATTTGAGTCTGACACAAACTTTGGATAAATGTGAGTTAGACTTCAGTAATGTATGTGCTATAACCAAGGATGGAGCTAAATAGAAGTAACAGCTAAATAGGAATTGGAGAGAAAATAGGAGTAACAACATTACTCAAATCTGATGTGAAGGCAAGTGGAAATACTATGATGACTTTCCACTGCATCATCCACCAAGAAAATTTGTGCAAAAGTCCTTCTCAAACTTTGAACATGTGATGAACGTTGTTGTGAAAGGAATTAATTTCATTCAGTCTGAAAAGGGCTTAATCACAGGCAATTTCAACAGTTCTTGAGTGATCTGGAAGCTGAATATGGTGACATGTATTATGCGGAAGTACGTTTGCTCAGCCGAGGAAAGATGCTTCAGAGCCTGTTGTCTTTGAAGAGCGAAGTTCAACAATTCATGGAATCTAAAGAAAAATCTATTCGTGAATTCAGTGATGAGAAATGGTTGAGAGATTTTGCATTTCTTGTCAATATTACAGGTCATCTCAATGACTTGAACTACCACTTACTGGAAAAGATCTACTTGTTCATAATCTTTATTACTTTGTGAAAGCTTTTGAGACAAAGATAACCCCGTGGGAAAGTCAGTTGTTAAATAAGATTCCACTCACTTTCCAAAACTGATGGAGTGTGTGAAGAACTCTACAACTTAGAATTCAAATAATTATGTACAATGCATTTCAAATTTGAAAGAGGAAAACAGATTTACCGATTTTTGTGAAAATGAAATTTTTATTAGAATGATCTCCTTGCCATTTTCAGTACACAGTGGACATTTCCACCTGAATTTCGATTAGAATTTACAGATTTACAGTGTGACTCTGCAGTAAAATGTAAGTTTCTTGAAAATCCTACATTAATTAATTTTTATTCGAAGTACTTGACCGAAGACAAGTATCCAGGAATTTGTAAATTACAAGACAGAAATTAGCCTAAAAAAGAGAAAGTTTAGTGCAGTATGAATGATTTCAGTTATTAAAACTCTGATACAGAAAAGAAACTGAATACATTAATACGTGTTTTCCCCCCCCCATTTCTATAATGTACCATTATATGTGGAAAATTATACTAAAAAAACATTTACATCATCTACATTCAAACCAGGAAATAAAACAATCTTCCCAAAAAGTATCTGTTGCACATTAAGAACTGCAGGGTAAAATGACAAAAAGATTAATCAGTAAAATTACCTTTAAATGTTGATAAATGGAATGGTGTAGTATTCTAAGCTACAGCAAGCAACAGCAAACTGTGTATTATTTTGTTACACAGTTTTTATGATGATATACTAGATTAAATTTTGTAATTTAATTTTTCAACTCAAATTTGTGTTTGAATCTTTCTATATTAATGCATCATTTTGCTATTTTTAATTACTGATATGATACTGATATTCAATTTCAGAATCTATCTAAATTCATAGATGTGGAAGTAGATCTCATAATAAGTAGCCCCCAAAAAAGGGTTATTACACGCATACAAAAGAAATTATCTAAATGATAGAGAAAACAAAAATATTTAAATTAAAAATATAAGAGTGCTAAATATGAATAAAATATAGTTATAACAACATAAATATAAAACAAATTCACAAAACTCAGTGGATTAAACCCATTTTTTTCTACTGGTTTTCTTCCTCTCTGTAGAAGAATCTTCTTGACCCCAGTTATGACAGTCCCTTCAGGTTTATTATATTAACAAATAAACCAATTTGATATTTTTATCTTATAATATATCTTATAAATCACTAAGTACAAATTTCAGGCAGCATTAAAAAAAGGGGGGAGGCCAGGCAGAAAATATATTAGAAATAACAAAAACGTTATAGAAAAAGTAAAATTTAACAAAATTACATTCTCATTTATTTCTTGTACACAATTTACCATTTGTATTTATTTCTAGCATATAATATCTGAAGGTTATATATCCACAACTGCTGTTAATACAAGATCAAAATGGTTTTTCACTTCCTAGCACTGGTATTAAATAAAATCTGCTAGGTACAAAAGATGATTTTCAGCTATATGTAATATTTATATTTTAAAAAAGACATTTATCCCAAAATGGAATATGTGAAAATGGTCGCAAAATACACCATACATCAAGAATGAAAGTATTGAAGAAATAGTTAACGCTGGAGGAAGAATAAAGGCATTAACGTTGGATATTAGTTCTATGGTTTCTGGTTATCATTTCTAACTATACAGTGGTTAATTTAATTCAAGATAGAACTTCTGTCCATTAAATGGTATAAAGATCTATTACAAACATGGAAAAAAAAAAAAAAAAAAAAGAGGCGGAAACTTAACAGCTATGTTTCTCATACAAGGTGTTAAGTAAATTTGGTTTGTAATTGGCAATCGATCATAGTTGCTGCACTTTTCCCCCCCTCCAAACAGCTGCAATAAGATAAACTTACCATCAGGTTTTTTTTTTTTTTTTTTTTTTTTTAAATTACATGTTATTATTAGCATTATCTTACATTTTTTTTTTCTCAGAAGATAGTAAAATACTGAATCTGAGATGTCATTTATTTATTTTACTTGAACTTTGAAAAACAGAAGGATTGAAAATATTATATCAAAATATAGCTTACTTTTGGTATTTCTACAGCCACATCCACAAGAGATTCTGCCGAACACATTGTTTCTAAAACAAAGCTTCCAATCTCTTGTACAGTTTCTGGTGCAATAAGTTTAAAGACACCCTTTGTACTTTCAGGCTTCTGAAGAATAGGTATCTGAATAGAGTCATTTAAAGTAAAATCCTTAATCTATGAGGGAAAAAAAAATGATTCATTTATTTTAATAATTTACAGGAAAACACAAATATAATTCTTTTTCTAAAAAATATACAGAAAAAAGAATTTCCTTAAAAATTTTAAGTGGTTTCTTAACGTATATTTCTTGAAACATGCAATGCTTTAGAACTGTTGACATTTCTGAAATTCTGCAGCTTATTATTAGGTTAATGGAATATGGCAAAATTCACATGGGTTATCTGCATGAGGGGACACAAAGGATTTTCTAATGAAAACCAGCTTGTATTTATGTAACACATACAGAAAACTACGAGAACCAACAGCACAACAAGCCCGTTTGCCTGGCATTGAACCTGGGTCAACTCTCAGTATTCCATAATCTTAGCCAGTTGACTACTAACAGGGCCTACAGCTCATGCAAATAATGAATTTTCTTAATTCTAATCTTTATTTCACAATTTTACTATAATCAGTTAATAAAATTGCAAATATGCACTTGAATCAGATTAATTCTTGCAATGCAATTTTAAAAAATGCAGCAATATAAATGCAAATACACAATGAAACTGATAACATCTCACAAGGACAGTCAGAAATTTTACAGTGCCAGCATGGAAATTCTTAATACAGTCAAAAGTCGTTAATTCGGACACCCATAATCCGGACCTCAAAGCTACAAACTTTCTTCGCATGCGTCGCGTTCACGCATGCGCACAGGCGTTTACGAGAGCGCGTAAGACCCTTACGGCTGCGAATATGTTTGTGCGCATGCGTGTTTAATGTGTAACGGAGTATACGATAAGCTAAAGTTATCTAATTCAGTTAATGTTGCAGATTGCATTGTTCCTTAATCTTCGAATTGGATCCGGCTTATTATTTTTTGCAGACTGTTAGAGAAATTTTATAAAAGTAAGCTTGAACTTTCGATTATGTCAAATAGAATTTCTGATATATATTTATTAATATGTAAAGGATCTACAAAGGGAAAGTATGTTTCAAAGTCCATTAAACAAAAAGTGGAATTGCTGCAAAAAATGGATAAAGGCATATCCTTTGTTTACCTAAACTTTAACATTTGTTTATTTAAACTTTGTTTATTTTTACGCAATGAATTGGAAGTTGATCTGTCAGCATTATCCTTATCTTCAGGGCAGATGTTTTTATTTTATTTGGCTTATAATTCCTTACTAAGTGTAGTATTTCATCTCGATGTACTCCGTCTTTGATATGATTTAAATCAAGTTCCTCGTCATTATAATTCGCTCCAGATAGTGAAGAAAGTGACCCAGAGGTTATTGAAAACGAAAACATTTCGATTGACAAATTAGTCGGTATTCTCAACACAGCAATTATAGGACTTGAACAGCGGAACTTTGTAACTAAACAAGAAATTATGTCTGTTTAATAGAATTAAAGAAAAAGTATTATCACATGAAACGAAGTAAACAAATAAATATTAAGCTTTTTCTTTTTGTAAATTTTGATACCCTTTAGATCATAATTGTTCTTTATTTCATAAATTACGGTTTCATATTTTTAATTTTGTAATTTCTGCATGCCATCTTACCAGATTTAAACTGATGATCTATAATCCGGAAAAATCGATAATCCGGAATCGCCGAAGTCCCGAGGTGTCCGGATTAACGACTTTTGACTGTAATGTATAGATAAAAATTTTTGATATTTTAATTTGAAATTATAACAATAACAACAGTTATGAAAAAGATCTTAGAATTTTAAGAATGCAAAATGTTTTGATTTCCTTAACTAAAATATTTTAATTAAATTCACATTTATTTACAAAATCTGTGTAAGATAATGTTTTTAAGGCTAACAAAAAATTATCATACATTCTTCATTTATTATAAACATTAAATAACTGGATATTTATAATAAATAAAGAATAACAATAAATGAAGAATTTTATTTTAAAATAGCAGGTAATAAAATATGAAATTTATTATGCTGGTTTTAAAAAGGTATAAAAACAAATCATATATTAAAAGAACACAAAAAGTCCATCACACTGCAAAACACATGTATCTTTACAATCAGAAAATTTTTTAGATGCGTTTCCTTCCCTTTTATTATATTTCTAAGTTCACTTGCTTTAATGAACAAATCAATATTTCTATTAGTCTGCACATCACCTGTTACAGTATGCACATCTCCAACAAAATCCCTTTGGAGAAGAATTTCTTTTTGCTTTATGCAATCAATTTATTTCTTAATGAGTTTTTGCTTCATCTTCAAATCTTATGATTTACTTAACAAATTTTCCTGTTAAAAAAATTAATTTAATTTTAAAATTTAGATTTTTTTAAACAATTAAATTTTTTCAATTAATTTTTCAAATTATCTAAACATTCAGAATTTTTAACATTGGCATTTAGCATTGAATTTCCACAATAGGTAGTACTTCCATATTTAAGAGGATTTATATTCTTAAGAGTTCTCATCATAATTAAAACTTCTCACAGAACACAGTTACAGTGTATTATGGTAGTAGAATGTGAGCAAATAATAAAAAATCTGATGCAGACACCACATAACTTTCTGGTACAGCCTATTAAATTATATGCATTTTTTGCTGCATTTCTCATTTAAACTTATTTCTTCGAATTTCATTAGAGATATACAGTGGCTGACAAAAGTGTTTGTATGCTTAATGAGACTCAGTGAAATATTGCTTTAGTCATTAATAAAAATAATATTTTAGAATGAAAATTTTTTAATAATATCTATAAATTTCTCTTAGCAAAACTACATTAATTATTTCATGAATATATTAAAAGTTTTTTGGGGAAAAATCAATATTAAATAAGTAACAGAAAAATATTAAATAAGTAACAGAAAAGTTACCTCACAAAAGTCTTCGTAAGCTTTAAAGAAATCTGCACATATTAGTAAATATTGTAGTATTTTTGTCGGTTAGTATTTTGTAGAATATCCTGCAGTATTTATGACAGCTTTCGAATGTCTGGGCATAGAGTTCATGAGTGTTTTTCTAATATCTGTCTCAATGTTCCTCCATTATTGCTGTTTTTAGTTTGGTTTTTGTTTTAATGTTCTGTCTTCATACTCTAACCTTTAATTCTCTCCAGATGTGTTTTGTTGGGTTTACATTTAGCGATTGAGGTGATGTTTTCAGAACTTGTGGACAATTATAGACAAGCAAAAGGCAAACGTTGAGGGCCATCAGCTTAGGATCATTATCCTGATAAAAAAAAAAAGTTGTTTCCAAACCCCAAATTTTAGGCAGATAATTTTAAATTATGTTTTAAAATATTTAAATAAAGATCAATGGCTCATTGTGTTATCAGCAAATACTACATTATTTAATCCTGATGCTGACATGCATCTGTACACAAGAACACCTCCATCGCCATGCTTCTGTTCCAACCAAGGTCTTAGGATTAAGTTCTTCATTTTTTTCCCTCCATAGAATTATATGACCATAGAAACCAAAAATGTTAAATTTGCTTTCATCTGCAAATAGAACATGAATAAAATATGCTTCGGGCTTATTTACCATTGATTGATTGATTGACTTCAAAAAAATTTTCTTCGAGCAGAGCAGCCGTGTAATCCAAATGATCCAAGTACTCCTCGAACAGTTTTAAGTGAAACTGAAGTAGAAAACTTTTTAGTAAATTCTGTAGAAATCTTTACAACACTCATATGTGGGTTTTTCACAGATTTTCTAACTATAAATCTCAGATCATGTTGAGTCACATTAAGTCCTCTTTGCCAGATAGTCTCTTCTTACTTCTTTGGATTTGATTTTCTTCTTTAAAGTATTTTATTACATACTGCACCGTAGAAAAGGATCAATTTACTAATTTGGTGATATACTGAATCGAATTTCCATCTTTACGATAAAAAATGATTAATTTTGGAATGCTGTTCATCGTTCCTTTATGACTATGAGAAATTTTTAAACATTAAATAAAATACAACGAAGTAAGTAAGCCAAACAAATTTTTAAACGTCACCAAAATGCAAAAAATAAAAAAAAAGTGGTAAACGATAATTTTATTTATGAAAATGCTTCGGTGTACGATCACTTTTGTGGTGTGTTTTATCTATGCCTCCTTACTTTTAATTTTTGAAAAAGAAAGCAAAAAATGCACAATTTACCAACATAAATATAAGAATAAAAACAACTGAGCTCAACGAGCAGAGTTACAGAGTGGGTATATATATCTATTTACATACTTTTTGGTGCAGCTGATTGCAACCAAAACGGGAGGTGCACAACTACATATTACAGCAGTTCTACATATAAAATTTCAACATTCTGAGGCCTACTTATTTTTGAGTTATGCGAGATACATACATATACATATGTACGTACAGACATCATGAAAAAAATCTCTTCCGAATGCATTTTGAAATCCGTTTTGGAAGAAATAGTCCTTTATTCTGTCCTTATGTACAGATGTTACACAAAAGCATCGTTAATTTGCATTCAATATCAATCAAAATGGATATTTTTGTTGAAATATGATACCTGACAATTTTCACGATTATAATACTTCGTACAAGGAAGTAAAAAGTACAAAATCAAACTCCTTATTATTAGTAAGCTAATAAAAGAAAATTTTCATACTCGCATTTAAAATATTTTTACCCACATATACGATAAATAGACTGAGGTTACAAGGTGAACAAAGAATTATATATGAATCTTTTGATACAATAATTCAATGCTGCATTTATGCAGGAAAAAATATATTCCATCAAAAATGTGTAAGATTCTCCCTAGTGTATTTCTCAGTTACTGTAGAAAGTGACGAATCTTAAGAACAAGTTAGCGAATAATCGCTTACGTTCGTGTGACAAGAAGCAACAAGAAGGAAGGGTAACTAACCCTTTATTATTACAATAAGATTTAACAAAACTCCCGTCTTGGAGTGTACACTTACAACTCCCTACCAGAATGAGTTTTTAGTATCGCATTGCATGTAAATGAGGTAGAAAGAGTAGTTATGGAAAGCTCAGCTTATTTCAGTGGAAGAGCCTAGGAGTCCTTGATGGCGCATGTTTGCCTCCATGATACTTCGTTATTAAGCCATTGTATGTGCCAATATGCTCGGCCATATTGTATGTGCCTGTTGATAACCGGCGACTAATTTAATTAAGGACCAACTACGTTAGGTAATCGTGTCTAGCTTTGTCTTAGCTAGTTTAGATTAGTCTTATCTTGATTTAAAAGACCAAGTAGAGGCTTTTCTGTAAGCCTGAGAAGGGACCAGCTGTTATCCTTATTTTATTTATTTATTTATTTATTTATTTGTTGAGTGAATAAAAGGGTATTTTAAACATTTCTCTGGACTTTGTCATGAAATACTTTAACTCAGAAATAAATTGCTACACAGTTCAATAAGTTCCTCTATGTTCAGCAAAGATGAAGTGGTGAGGAACATTATAACTTATCTATTAAATTAATAATTAATCCTAAATAATAACTAAAATTAATGATAAAATTTGAAATATTTATGCAATTCTGAAATTATTTTTTTTTCATTTTTTATAAAAATATTTTTATAATTATATACCTAACATTTTATTAATTATATACCTATATTATTAATTATATACCGAAAGTTTACTAATTATATACCTATAAAGTTTTTAACTAAAAAGATTTACCTACAATTGTTCTATCTGTGTTTGTTTTATATTGTTCATCATTCATATTTTTCAATTGTATTCTCAATTTTGTAAAACTGCTGGTAGTTTTTCTGATTAGCTTTTCTCAATTTAAGAACTACTCATCAAGCGTGGAATCGCCTATCGCAATGGACATGATCTGTGCAGTTTTTACGGAAAATATTTTACTGTCGACAGGAAATGACTTTCTATATAAGCACTTGTACTGCTTTGGCTTAGTTGCTGATGATGCCTGTCCTCTTTGTCTGTCAATTAAAACCATGGACTTTTTTCATTTGACAACTTGCACTGCACTTGATTTTATGACTTTTAATTTATGACATTTTATGACAACTTTATCAAGGCTAAATTTTATTGGGTTGCCAGAAGTCCTGTGGCAGATATGGCTACAAACTGACATAGGGGGAAAATCAATTTAAGAACATTTTTTTTTTTTAGAATTTGCAGTTTCTGCATTTGATTCATGTTACCATATCATTGCTTAATTCAGTATCATTTTCATCGTCAGTTTTCGTAGTTCTTTTAATACTTCCTATAACATCCAGTCAAGTTTTACACATGTTGTCTCAATATTCCCGTACATTGATACAGTCTAAAAATGAATCCTGATAATTTCTATCGGTGAGGTCTGAAACATTAGCTATAGCTTGTAATTTCTTTGAGGCTTCTTTTATGTAGATGACACATTTTCAAAAACTGTTTTTAATCGTATTTTAAGAGATTGACCCAATGCCTTGATTATAATATGGATGGCTTCGAACAGATATCGACTTAGTTATCGCATCTGAAACACATGCATTCTTACAAGCTTCAATTCTGTTTATCATTTTCTATAATGGCATTTGAAAGCTTTCATAATACCCAGGTCTAAAGGCTAAATGTTAGAAGTTGTATTTTCAGGAAGAAATATTTTTTTTCAGAAAACAGTTACAGATGTGCTGCATAGTTGTCTACATAGTAATTACTTTCTTCCTTCTTCAGTTCTCTATCCAATTTCAAAAGAAAATCAATAAAAATACTGTTTATCATCCATGAGTTCTTGTTACTGTGGTAAGGTAAATTCTGGATTTCTTTCAGATATCAAGGTTTTTTGCTTTTGTCAATAACTAGTGCTGTCTTCTTAATTGTTAGATACACAGTGCACATTAATAATAGAATAACTCATTTCTCCTATTTCTGAAACCAACTGCTCTTTCACTTTTAAACATTAATATGTATTCTGTTAATGGTTTGTAATACATTCCAAGTTAATTACTTAAAGATTAAAAATTGAATTACAATAATCAATGATACTTTGGGGAATATTAAATAGTTAGCCTAGATGACTGATTACTGTTTTTTTTTTTTTTTATTTTACAAATAAGGCATTTATTAAAAAGTACAAAGGTTTAGAAGATTTGTGGTAAAATCCAGTACACGGTACAGTTTTGGCACAATTTTGAAAACTGTTGCCAACACCAAAATGACCCGTTTAATACTCATCATAATGCCGCCAAATCCTGTGTGTACCATATACAGTAAAAAGGCGATTCTGGATTAGGGGTTTTTCCGGATTATAGATCATCAATTTAAATCTGGTAAGATGGCGTGCAGAAATTATAAAATTAAAAATATGAAACCGTAATTTATGAAATAAAGAGCAATTAAGATATCTAAAGGATATAAAAAAAAGCAAGCTTAATATTTATTTGTTCACTTTATTAAATATTTCTTTCAATGCGCACATGCGTAAAACATACATTACGCATAGTCAAAATTAGAAAATTGCAACCAGAAAACTATTTGATGTGTATTCGTGATATTTATAATGACGAGGAATTTGATTTAAATCATATCAAAGATGGAGTACATTGAGATGAAATACTACATTTAGTAAGGAATTATAAGCCGAATAAAATAAAATAAAAAACATCTGCCCTGAAGAGGAGGATAGTGCTGACAGATCAAACTTCCAGTTCATTGCGCGCCGCAACGCTCTCCCTTGCAGAGCAGCGTGAAATTGATAAACAGATTTCGGAATGGTTAGAGAAACAAAGGATATGTATGTCTTTATCCATTTTTTCCAGCAATTTCCACTTTTTGTTTGATGGACATCGAAACATGCTTTCGTTCTGTAGATTCTTTAGCAGCTCCAGAATCATAAACTCTTTTTGACATAATCGAAAGTTCAAGCTTACTTTTTATAAAATTGCTCTAACAGTCTGCAAGAAATACTAAGCCGGATCCAATTAAAAGATAAAAGAACAACGCAATCTGCCACATTAACTGAAATAGATAATTAGATCATTAGCTAATACCGTCCATTATACATTAAACGCACATACGTAAACGTATTATGCGCATGTGTAAATGCATATGTGCATGCGTAAAGGCATTATGCGCTTATGCATGTGCAGAAAGTTTGTAGCTTTGAGGTCCAGATTAAAGACTTTGTAATGTACTAGGATTAAACTGATTTTGTTTTATACGAGAATGGGAAATTATTTTCTTTCATTCAACATACACTGCGAGTCTCTATTCTCAAGGTTACTGGAAACCAAAGTTGCTGGTAACTTGCTTTGCCTTTCTAAAAGACAATCTAATTGATGCTGCAAAAATTGACTCTATGCCAGTTGCCTGAATGACACTCATGCAACACATGATTCGCCAAGAAAGTGATCGCTTCAACATTGGCACAAAATTTGCTTTTTTGGGGATCGCAATATGAAATTCCCTGACTTTTCCAGATTTTCACTAAAATACTTAAATTCCCTAACATTTTTGGTTAATTTTCGAATTCCATGACTTTTCCTGGTTTTTCAGGTAGTACGGCAACCCTGCTCCGCTACCTGCCAAGATCTGCACTGAAATTTTTAGTTAACATATGCTCACATATTTGTTAACAAGGAAATGATGGCACTTTAAACAGAGAGGTACAAAATACTTTTATTTAATCTAACTCTTAACCACTCCTTCTCCCGTTTTTTTTTTAAATCTAATCCTGAGTTTCTTTAATATTATTTTTGTTCTAAAATCTTAAGTCTCCATTTTTTATGAAATGTAAAAGAATGAAATTTTCCCCTTAAAAGCTGTTGGCATACCTCTGAAAGTTTTGCACTATAATTTGAGAACCATTGTTTTAGAAGTTTTTCAAATCTCACCAAGCCTAATCCTTTAATACCCAACTCTTAATCTAAGTAATCAGTGTAAGTTATTTTAAACTAACATACTGCAATTTAACCCCCCCCAAAAAAAATCTGCTGCAACTCAAAATTGTAGAATGTACTGCAAATGGTTTCCATAAAATTTCTCATTTCACAATTCAAACTGTGTTTAAGATATATAGAACATTTTTAACTGGTAATAGGTAAACCAAATTGCAATTAACAGAAAATAAGGAATAGAAAATAAAAACAAAACTAAGTTTCAGGCAAAGATTCAATGGTTAAGACATGCTAAAGGCAAGTAAATCAAAAAGTTAAGCAAATGTTTTAAGTAACATATTTTAGATAAAAATTATTTAATGCATAAAACAAACTTGAGAATTAAAAATTCAGTGAAAGTTAAGAGTAAAAGAATATAATGAGCATGAACTCTTACGAACTTCACACTGCTGTCTTTCAGGAATTTTATACAAAAACTCTTTAAATTCTTCTAGCCATTTTAAGAACATATCTTTCTCTGTGGATTTTTCTTTCAACTCTTTCAGAAGCTCATCTACCTAATACAATAAAAAAAAAATGCTTAACATTACTATAAAAATATATTTTAAAACAAAAATTTAACAACATATAATTAAAACTTAATGAAAAAAAAAATCATTTATAAACATATTGGTTGATATCAAAAATTCAGTAACTGACTGATTGGTACAAATGTTTAGATTTTAAATTAAATTATTTCCCGAACATCTTACTCATCTTGACTAGAAACACCTCATATTTATAATGTATACTATCTCAAAATGCATGGTTAAAATATCACAGATTATAAAAAAAAAACATACATATATTCAAACTAGACAAGTTTACAGAACAAGCATCTCCAAAATATCGATTTTTAATACAGATTTAAAATTCTCATTTAGTTTATTCATTTATGCAAGCTTTTAAAATTTAATTACATACTATTTATTTCAGATTGTTTCTGAAAAACTTTGCTATATTTTGCAAAATACATTTTACTCAGCTTTTATTCACTTTGTGTACTGTAATGTATAGTGACAAAATTTTTTGCATGTCATCAATATATTTACAAATTTTCATAAAACAGTTTAAAATTACAATATAAATTCTCTCTCTCATATACATGAAACACATATTAATATGCTAAATTATACAACTAAAAAAAATGAAATTTTTTGAAATGGGAAATATTTTTCATTGTTTGAGCAATAAGATCTAAATTTTTAAATCCTAAAACATATTATTTAGTTTAGTTTTAAAGAGCCTAAGCTAGCAAATTGTATTCAAATAATAGCGTAAAAAGAAAAATGACACAAAATTTCATATTTTATACATAATCAATAGGAAAGAAAAGTCATTTACACAGAATGAGTACTGTTAGTTACATTCTCAAAATAAACATTATACCTAATCTGTCTTTTATTATAAATATATTAATATCTCAATTGACACATTTAAACTTTTACACACAAGAGACACAATATACAACAAATTGTTCAACACAGTTTTATGAGAGACCTCATATGATAACTGTAATCAGCCACTATACATTTAATCTATTCAACAAATCCATTTTCTCACCTGTCAGCAAAATCACAACAAAAATCATCTCAAATTATAGCAAAAAATCCACAGACACAAATATACTCTCACACAAATATATAAGAATGCTTAAGTATTATCGCTACCACCTTAATATGAATTACGAAAGTTTCAGAATTTGCCAGACTCTAGCAATCACGTACATGATGATTCTTCAGATAAGTACGGGCATGACAATTCTTCAATTTTAAAAAATCAATATAATCTTTTTAGTGTAGTCCGAATCAAAAGAATTATTGCACATTTCTCTGTTGGTCACATATTATGTGGTTGTGAATAAGACTAAATATTCAGTGTACAATAATGAAATATGTCTGGTAGACAGTCAGTGTGCAGTGTCGAGTGTGTATAACTCTCTGATCTTTTTTTATCACCTAATGCCCATGCCAGCATATTTGCTACTATATATTAAATGCCACGTTTTTATACCAGGAACCTCATTAAATGTAATTTTTATGTCATAAATTTAGAGATTGAACCTTTCTCATGTATTATTAGCAAATTCTAGGCATAGATAGCAGTACCAGCTTAAAAGAAAAAATTATAAGAAGCATGGATGTAGCAAACAATGCAAGCACATTTTCAGACGTAAGTTGTTTTATTACTTTACAAACATTTTATTAATAAAACAGTTAATAATTACTATTTATATAAAGTATAAAAGTGATACTCAGTATAAATACTTTACAAATTATCGTTTTTAATGCTAAAAGTATTGTTAAATCATGGTAGCACTCTGCTCCCATGGCATCGGTGTTATCCTAGCAGTTCTCTGAAGAAAATTGTTTACATTGAAAAAGTTCATGATCTAATCTTTGTATTTTACAGATAATATATCCGTAATACATTTAGGATTGATTTATTATTTAATTTAATATTTTCAATTAAAAAAATATTTTAAATAGATAGATAGTTTTTTCTTAAAAAGTCTCTAGGAAAATTCATTTTGAGATTTCAGTGAAAATAAATAATCCTCTATTAAATCTCAAGTTCTTTTTGTATATTGTACTTTATTTTGATGAATTTAAAAAAATAATTTAATAAAATTTTCAAATTTGAATTTTTTTTTAGCATGCACATTCAGGTCCCTTTTTCCACAGAGAAGGGAAAGAAATGTGTTAAAAACTAGAAGATGCTATAGCATATCTGAATGATTTGGAAAGTGATTTATCCGATATATCTGATGCTGAAAATGCCTACACGACGTCTGATACCTTCCATAAAGAAGCTCAGATGATGAAGACCAAGATCATAATGAAGATGTAGAATGACCAAAAGCATCACATCAAATACTGAAGAAAAGAATATCTAACGTAAGAGCTATAAAATTTTTAATTCTCTGAGCAAAAAAGAACCTAATCTTATGCCTTCATCAAATGATAACTTTCCTTATCCTACAGAACCTCCTGCTCTTGCATATTTTCAGATTGTCATATCAACAAATATGATAAAATTATTAGTTGAACAAATCTGTATAGTGCTCAACTAACAGGAACTTCTCTTATGGTGACGGGAAATGAAATAGAGCAAGTAATAGGAATGATTATCAGAATGGGATTAGTCCGTATACCTCATATTAGAGGATATTGAGAAAAAGGAATAAAGTATGAATCAATTGCAGACGTAATGTCTAGAAACAGATTTGAAAAAAATCTAAAGATTTTTGCATATTGTGGATAATTTACAAATTATCCACAATTTAGTGTTAGAAGTGACGAATGCTGGAAAGTGCAACCATGGTTGTCTAGACTTACAGAAAACATGCTATTCGTTCCAGGTGAGACCAAGCAGTTTACTGATGAAATAATAATTCCATTTCGTGGGACAATCCATATCAAACAATATATGCCTAAAAAACCTGACAGCAAACGGGGTTTAAAAATATGGGCAATCGGGCATTTGTTACGATTTTGATGTTTACACTAGAAAATTTGAAGGTTACTATTGAGATCAAACTGCTTACGCATTAGGTCTAGGAGCAGGTGCAGTTATGCAGCACTCTAAATAAACCAACATAAACTACTATCTTTGCGGATAACTGTTTCTTTGGAATCCCATTAGTATGTGAATTATCCAAGAAAAATATAGGATTTGTTGGGACTTTGAGAGAAAACAGGCTAATGAAAAGTAAATTAAAGAACAAGAAGGAATTGAAAAAAGAAGGCAGAGGATCCATTGATTATTCTGTAGCATTTTTAAAGAATGCAGGTATCATAGCTGTAAATATATTGTTATGAAATGTACAGGTGCATTGAGATGGCTTCCCCGCAAAGCAGTTTTAGGGTTGCCACATTTGGAGAGAAATCGCCCATTTGGCGATATACCATGGACGAATGGAGAACCTTCTGGAATGAATTCTTACCGGTTTAGCCCAAAATATTCTCGAACACAAGCCAAAAGCTATATAAATCCTGCTGGTCCACAGTCAGTGAGTGTGTGTCTCTCATCGAGTGTGTGTGCCTCGTCTAGCGAGCTGATAGTCAGTCATTGAGCGTGTGTCTCGAAGTCTAGCGCCGAGGTGGTCGTCGAGTGCATCTAGAGAGTCTTTTGGTGCATCGTCGAGTTTTGTCTTAGACTGTGGTGAGTCCAGAGCTATACTCTTGTGTATTGCGAGTGCATTGCGTGGAAAGTCTCGAGAGTAAGTGGAGTTCCGAGAACAACTAAGCAGAGTTGCGAACTGTACTCAAGTGCTTTGCCGTGAAGCCGTCTCCACCATGATAGCCTGATAACCTGGAGGCCATGTCACTGATCATGTCAGCGTGTTTATGGTAGATCTTCGACAACTGTAGAACATGACTTTGGAGCTGTCCTGATCAGTATTGGCTAAATAAAGTGTGTTATTCGATACTTCAAGTGTCGTTGTTTTTCACTCCAAATCTACACGAACCCTGTACGAACATGAAGGAAGAAAATAACGTAACAACTGGTGTCAGAATAATAATAATAATAAAAAAACATAACAGCAGGTGTCAGAAGTGGGATTTGCGAGTGATTGACAGTGGCCCGACTGCAGAGGAAAGCCATGGCAGAATAAAGAACTTTGATGGACTTTTACCGAGATAAAGCGAATAAAAGCTGAGAAAAGCCGGATGTGTGAGAAAAGCCGGCATGATGAGAAAAGGATAAAAAGGCTATAAAGAGATAAAAAGCTGGATATATAAAGAATGCCAGCTGAGATCAATGCCGACTGAAAGAGATGAAAGTGGACTGGAAGAAGAAAGCTGGAAAGAATAAATGGGCCAATAAAAGGTGAAGAGCTGGTGGAGTAGAAAAACTGGAGCCGGTGAAAATAGTGGCATCTGGAGATCCAAGATGAAGAATGAAAGATAGGTAACGAACTGCCTGAGAAAGATCCAGAAATGTCGATGAATATCTAACGGAATAAAGAAAAGACGAAAACATGAAGAAATAAGATGGGAAGGAAGATTTGATTCTCACGTGCCTGAAGTAGAGATCGAAGAAAGTAAAATGTGACGTCAAGTTCCTAGAACTGATATTGAAGTTATGAAAATGCACTCAGAAGTTCTCACCATCTAAGTGCTTGTGATGCAGAGATGGGAAGCTGATGTACGCAGCAGTGTGCCCGTACTGCGAGAAATTCAACTCACCTCAAATTATGTGTGCGTCTCATAGTGCTGATTGGTGCGGACAAGACTTATTCAAACCTGGATCTTGTGTTGTGAAGAATCGGTTCTGTTCATGACTCTGATGCAAAATTTGGAGCTAGTTCTCAGGAAACGGAGGAAAATAAGTATATACCAGCTGCTAAAAATACCGAGGTGAACTGTATGCATGCTGCGAATGAATTACAGAGTGGTGAACCAACTGTTTCAGGTCTTTCTGTGAATGACAAGTCTAAAAGGGTTGAATCTTCGCCTGCAGGACGATCCGGTCCAGAATTGTGTCCTTGCCTTGATATTCGAGCAGATTAGTGCAGGCCCGAACGTGTTTATCCTTATCTGCTTGAGTCGGCTCATGCACGACCCAGCGTCAAGTTTCTGCAATGCATAGCGCGACTAATGGACATGGCCACTAACGTCTAACTCCTTAGGAAACTCTCGAGTGGTTGCATACCGATCTTCCATAAATTCTCGCAGGCAGGCCTCATCAACATCAGTAGGCCGGCCAGAGTGCTCTGCTTCTTGAATGTCATAGCCCTTGTTTATGAACTTTTGGTATAAACCTTCACAGTGTCATATGATACAATATTAGAACCTAAAGCTGTACACATGATTTGGTCACATTCTGTAGCTGACTTTTTACAACAGAACTGGAAGTAAATGACGGTTTTAATCTGGTAGCGTGAAAGTTCCATTTCAGACACCTTGTACTTAATGATAAAGATATATTTTTACAAATTTCACAATAGAGTGCTCTGAAGCAAGTCTCTTTCTTTCAAATGATAAAAAGTGTTTCATAAAATATGATTAAACATGCCAACACAAACTGTCTGCACAGACAATATTTGTGGTGGCGGGAAACTTTCGTTAAAACCCGAAACTTTCCTTTCATAAGGAAACTAAACATATGGAACTGTTGCAAATCTCCTAAACCAAAATTTTCATCAATAGAATAATAATCATTACTCAATATTTTAGACATTTTTAAAATTTTCCACTTAACATAGCTTTCCTGATATTTCATTATGCGGACAATTTTTCGTAATTTACAGAGTTTTTTCCTACTTTTAGAAACATTCTAGTATACATTTTGTAGCATAATTTAAAACACAGAAAATTAAAAATTATATTTTAAGTATCAATATTATAGCTTTCAGATTATATTTTACGAATTTTTCAAACTGAATCTCCTTTCTCTAAATTAACAGGTAAAAACTTCTAAAATTATGTTTTATTTAAACCTATACACAAATAACATTTTAAGCAATAAAAGAAACTGACATTTTAATTAACACTTTGACATACCCGATATTATTTTATAATTTTTTTAACTAAAAACTCTAGAAATTGAATATTATGATCCTAGAGGCAAATAATATATCACCTAAAAAAATCTACTCTTGCCCATTGTTCTGTGAGTGGTGGTCGCACTGTGAAACCACCGCGCGTCTAGGACTTTCAAACTTACCTAGGTAGTAGGAAAAAAAATTTACCTTTCTCCATGCGCGTTTCCAATAATGATGAAATTACGAATTTTAAAAAATGTATGTAGGAATCCATAATATATATTTGTTCCATTATTTTACAAAGTAAATCGTCAGAAAAAATTAAAAATAATATATTTTGTATTTTTTCATAGCAGTGAAAATAAGTACCAACATAATAAGGACATTTGGCTAAATAGATTAAAAAAACTTAAAACTATTTAAAAAAAAAAAAAAAAAAAAAAAGAGAAGAAGAAGAAGAAGAAGACTCTGTATTATTATTATTTTTTTTTTTCAAAGAACAAACATTTTTTGTGACACTGTTCAAAGCATGATTTGTCTTTTTGGTACATGCACAGACCCACATTGCACCTTTCGCACATGTATCTTCTTCTACGAGGTTTCTTCCTTGTGCTACAAAATGTACACTGCCTGGATCTAAATGTCACTGGTATATGTCCAGCGTTATTTAGTATCTTTTCATCTGGCTGAAGAAATTTGTGGGTGTTTTATGTGATGGGGGGCTTGGTCTTTTGGGTTTGGTACGGATTATTCGTTTCCCATTCATACTTATTTTATTCGTATTTTGTCCCAAAATATTCAAAATCATTTTTTAATTTAAATATTTTAATTTAATTTAAATAAACTTTGCGCGATTTCTATTTTTATTATAGAAGTATATTTACTTGATTTAAACCACAGGAAATCATTATAAAATCACAATACTAGCTTGGGGGCAAGCGTGTTGAGATCAGCGAAAGTCTCTGGAAAGAAAGACCTTTTTACTGGGCAGGTGCATGTATTGTTTAGTAAAAAATCTTGTGGTTTCAAAACTCCTATCTGATCCGGGAAAAATAACATTCCTATTTGAGAAGCAAGCCAAACATTGTGAAGAGCAGTGGTTTCAAGGCGTGACCACCGAGCCTCTAGAGCATTGTGACACAATGCTCTAGTGGTGCAGTGGCCGCACCCTGAAGCCACAAAGCAAATTCCATACATATAGAGGGTTGTTTTTATATGAGTAATATAATTATTGCTGTTTTTTATTATTTATGATAGAAATCATGATGTGCGATGAATAACTTTTGAAATTTAAAGTTGTTTATATTAACAAAAGGAAGTTACTTTGTCTTATTGAAAATGAATTCTAAAAGGCATCCGTTTTGAAATACTAAGACCTAAAACATGTATGATTCTGCAGTCATTTTGTGTTATTTAGAGGTAAAAGATCAGTAATCAATTGATTTTCACTTAAAAATTTCGGAAGGAAGAGGAGAAAAAATTTGAAAATTGGTGGTTTCAAGGCACGACCACCGCGCGTCAGAGGGTTAAACTGCTACAGCAATTTTCTGAATACATAAATTTTAAACTCACTTGCATTTTAAAAAGATTTGAATGGAAGGTATCTTCCGCTTCTCTCAACTTATTTAATTCTTCAGCAGTGGGAACATCTAAGTGAAATTCTTTCTTTCTCTTGTTTGAAGGAATTACATTACTACGAAATTTCCTCTTTCCCTGTACTTTTTTCCAACCAGAATCCTCTGAATCAGGCACAGCCATACTAATCTGAAAACAAACAAAACCAATATAAGTTTGATATGTTTTAAGACAAATTTTTAAATTAAACAAAGAGCCCATAAAGAAAATTTGTAGGTAATTTGAACTTTTCATTCAAATGAAATGTATGTTTCTATGGTACTTACAGAAAATTCAGTCGCCAATTTTTTTTAAATGAAACAAAGGCATCAAGAGCTAATTTGTAGCCGATAATGATAAACAAGTGATTCAATTTTAGCCAATCATGCTAAAACATGCCACACATATGGTTTATCTGGTATGTGTAAATGCTTATCACTACAAAGATGCCTCGAAAAAGAAAAAGACTGCCATTCAAAAAATTCCCTGCCACTCTGCAAATCAACAGATGGCGCCACAAGCAAGGTGCATTTTCACTTCTCACCCGAGAACTTCACACTTCGTGCATTAAGTAAGATCCATTTAATAAAATTCATTTACTCATTCATCTAAAGCTTTAGGGGATGGACGAAGATTGTACTGGTAAAGGCCTTATCGGCCGTAGACCTTTCAAGTAGGAATGACTTATGACCTATGAATCATCTAGTTCTCACTGTAAAGCTGTAGTTTTAAATCTCATTATAGCACAGCGAGATAAAAAAAAAAAAATTTATTCAGGATTTGTCAACTACAAAACAAGATGCAGTAGAATGCTTTTAAAGGTATGGAAGCTTATCATCACCCCAAAATGTGTTAGTGGCCACTATATAGCGGTTTATTAAAACATATATTCAATGACACTGCAATACAGTACAAAGTCCGAAATCCGAACTTTAGCATTTCCGGATTTGGGGTTTTTCCAGATATTAGATCATCAGTTTAAATCTAGTAAGATAGCATGTAGAAATTATAAAATTAAAAATATGAAATCGTGATTTATGAAATAATGAAGTAATTATGATCTAAAGGATATTAAAATTTACAAAAAAAAAAAAAAAAAAAAAAAGGGTTAATATTTATTTTTCTTTCAATGTAAATTGTTTAAGCTGCTTCGTTTTTTGTGCTAATACTTTCTCTTTAATTCTGTAGCAGACATAATCTCTTGTTTAGTTACATTGTTGAAGACCTGTAACTGCTGTTTTAAAAATTCCGACTAACTTGTCAATTGAAATTTGTTCGTTTTCGGTAACTTCTCTGTCACTTTTTTTCCTATCGGTAGCAGTATTTTCTGAATCTAGAACCATACTACAGATTTCGCCATTCATTAATTGATTGGTGATTGAGAAGCATTGTCATCAAAATGAAAAAATTCTTTCATATCATCTTATCTTCATTTATTACCACTCCTCCAAATTTCTTTACAAAATTCATTAATTGGAAATATTCACCTTGGTTTTGCGATATCCGAAAACCTTTAAAGTTAGCGGTTATCATCATCAAATTTAGCTATTCTTCACTATACATATTTGGCTATGCATCATGAGCTTGGCCACTAACGACAAGTTGTTCCGTTAAATTTTATCTTGCTTCTATAGCGCACTGAGACAATTAAGCCTGAATCGTATTAGTTATTATACTTATGTTTATTTCTTGCACATGCTTAAGGCTTATCAGACTTCTGAATACATAAATTTCCACATATACTTAAGCTTTACTGAGGGCTGGCACTAGTTATCTTACCACCTGATGCAGTCTCTGTTGGTCCTAAATTCTGTGACTCATTTTAGTCATACGAGCCCTGGTGCTGGTTCTGGGTTTATGCGAATAACAAATCAGCTATTCTTAATTCAAATGAAAGGAAAATATAAGTAATTATTCACCAAGTTGGCGTCAGATCAATGATGTATCTATGTGGAATGTTTTGGTTTGAGATGTATGCCAAGCACATATGCAGCAACAGAACCAAATTACCGATCGTACAAATTTATGCTAAAATGATTTTTTCTTCAATAACAAAGTATTTTATTTAGTGTCGAAGTGAAATTAAGAATCGGGACTCTCCGGGTGTTTTATTATGCGTAGAGGGGGAAATCAAATGCGCATGCGTAAAGCCTACGAGAAAAACGTTGGTGGTTTTGAGGCGCAGATTTTAGATCATTTTGGATATTGAACGTCGAGATTTTGGACTTTCTATTACATTAAAATTAGTCGGAGTCGAATTCTATTCAGAAAGAAACTTGGTTTGAGGGCTCGATCATCTCATTTGTGATGGCACTAAGATTCATTCACAGCTGGCATAGAGAATTAACTAGTATTCAATGGGGAAAAAGAAGAATTAGAATCGAGTAACAAGACGGTTACTGATTGGAACAATTATTTAACAGATGTTTGTATACACAGTCTTTTAACCCCTTAACTGCCGCGGGCGTATATATACGCCTTGCTCAGCCGATGGTTAACTGCCCCAGGCGTATATATACGTCCTTTCCAAACTGTATCATTTGCTTTGCGCTGCTACACCTAAAATCATTCGCAAAGTTAACGCATCGGCTGCGCATCTGGGGCATTGCATTGCTGAGCAAGGCGTATAATACGCCCCGCCGCAGTTAAGTGTTAACAAGGGGAAAAAACTGAAAGCTTTCAGATTTTATATTACGCTCAAAGGTGGGTTTCCCCCCCATCCCTTTAACATTTTGAGTGTTACTTTTATTCATAAAATATCATGTTCTTTGCACTTACACCATAAAATTCTATTCAACAGCAATATCACAAAATATTTAAAACAGCATATCTTTAGAATTTCCAATACACAGTCTTGCAGGCTGGAGATAAAAATATTTTTTTCCATACAGTGTTGCCATTACTCGCTTTGAAATCGTTGAGTTTCTTAAACAAAAATTCGTTAAAGTGTTACAAAATATGAAATAGATAATAAGCAGATTCCAAATTTTAGCTTCCAGATGCCCATATTTGGGTTGAGACGTAGCTTATTCAAAATTTGACTGCTCTAGGTACCATTATCACAATGCGAGACACATAGATACATTTATGCAGATTCTTCATTATTTAATTTCTTTAAATACAATACAGGGCTCTAATATTTGGCGGCTACAATCTAAAAAGTGTTTCATCATTTATAGTGAATGAATGCAAAATGCCAAAATGAAATTAATACCCCTTCTAGGCAAATTGCCCCTTAGGGCTAAAAATGGAGAGACTAACTTCATTGTTGAAATTGAGAACAATCTTTTTTCAAATGTAAAAACCATGCAGGGAGAATAACCTGAGTAATGGTTGTTAGGAGACATTTTGAAGGAAACAAATGAGTGTTCTATGGTAAAAGTTCTAGACAGGAAAGTGATAAAAGATAATACTGAAGAAGGTTCTACAACATACTCAGACTCGCGGAAAGTGATGAAATAAAAGCTACTAATTTCAAACATTTAAAAGTTATTCAGTGGCTATTTGTAGTATTTGTAGAAGTACATATTCAAAACATTGAATGATTGTGGGGTGGTGGAATAAAAGACAAAATAAGATAGCATGATACCACTTACATTTTTATCTGGCTGAATTCTTGTGGGGGTCGTCTTCAGAAAAAAAAAAGACATATTTGTTTTTATTTCACATGCAAATGCAGATTTTATGTCACAAAAATGATTGAAAGCAGTGAGGTTTGTCGAATTATTACCGAATTTTATAGTTGACTGGATTTTCTGTAAGCACCTTATATTAATGGTAAATATTAACTTTGGTTCTATTATGTGCTGAAGTTTTTTAAACTCAATTTTTATTTTTTAAAAAATGCTGAAATTTTTTTTTTTTTTTTTGGTACTTTTCCATTTTGTCGGCGCAAGCGATAAAGTTGCCAAAAATCATACAACCGATGCCAAACGGAATATCCTCTCTGGTAACCTTTTATGCAAATTTTCAAAATAAGTTGCAGCCATTTCTTATCAGATTGATTGTTTCTCTCAATGCTCTATGCAATTGTAAGCAATTGCACAGAATTTTTACCAGATAGTTAAATTTTATGCCCTAAGGCCATTCGCGGTAATTAAGCCAATTAGGATGCAATTACACTGCTCACCCGAAGAGCTTAAGGGAAGAGATGCCTTCATGGATGACTTTCTGAGGGAAATAAACTTGTCTAAAACATTACTTTGGTTACTATTTTTACACTTTATATTAACAATGTCCCAGTTAATGAAAGGAAGAATATCACCAGATGCAAAGTAACATTTCTTTGCATTTTGAAGCATATTTTAAACGGACATATGATGTTTAATTCTGGAATGGTATAAAATGATTTGAGGGACATATGATGTTTAATTCTGGAATGGTATAAAATGATTTGAGGGACATATGATGTTTAATTCTGAAATGGAATAAAATGATTTGAGGCTACTGTATATAAAAAAATTTTAATATATGGTTGCAAATTTTGATTTAGATTAATTTTCAGTTCTATTTCTTGCCATCATATCAACATAATTAATGCAATCTTTAAGCACAAATTTTCACTTTGCCACCAAGAATCATAGATGTCTTTCAAGCTATCCCATGGATTCACAGTTTCAACTACTTGAATTTTTTTCTTTCACTTCATTTTTTCATCAAGTTTGACTACAGAATGATAGCATATCACTAACAATTCAGACATTTAAAAATGATAATTAATAAACTGAAATTTGGCCTTATCATTCAATAACTCGAAAACGTCCACTCTGGGTCCAACAGGCCAGCCTATTTAAAACAAAACTTTCTCAAAGTATGCCTGTCTTGCCCAAGTTGTTGAGGTCTTGAATAGTGGCATGCATGTTTCCAAAGATTTTGCCAGGGCTCTGATTTGAAGTCTTGTTTTTGATTGGATTGGGTCTGTTAAAACCTGCAAGCCTATTAGTATTGCTGTAACATGGTTGATATGTGACAAGTAAAGCGGCAAACATGTTGCATAATTTATCACACATGGAAGAAATGTTGCAAAAATTATAATAAGATGTGGTAAAATCCTAGTATACGGTGCAGCCTTGGTGCGATTTTGAAAATTTTTGAAAATTATCACCAACACCAAAATGACCCGTTTAACTACTCATCATAAATGCCCCGTTTACTGCTCATCATAAAGTCACCAAATCCCTTGTGCACCGGATACCAGGATTAAACCCAAGATGCAACATCTGGAGAAGAAACTATTGAAAAAAATGAAGATGGAAGTGAACAAGAATTTTTGGTAAAAGTATAGTTTAGGGTACCCCTTGGCGATTTTTGGCGGTACATGGATACCGATTTTATGCAATTCTTTGACTCGTTATTTTGGCTTGCGAAGTGGCCATTTTTGCACAAAAATCAGCGCTACACAAAGCCAAAATAACAAGATAAACAATAGCACAAACTCGGTATCCACGTACACATCGACTTATATTCACTTTAAAAAAATCTCCGAATTGCACAAAAATGACATTGAGCACTCTTTTAACTTTATCCATGTACACGTCGACTTATTTTCACTTAAAAAAAAATTCCCAGAATTGCACAAACTTGCATTGCGCACTCCCTTTACTTTGTCCATGTACACATCAATATATTTTCACTTAAAAAGTCAAAGGAGCACCCAATTCTACAATATAGGCAAACAAAAAATTCATAATCTCAATAAAATACATTTTAAACCAAACAATAAAATAACATAAAAAAGGAAAAATAGTTATACATTTAAGCACTACCAAAAGTAAATATTCACTTACCATGATTTTCGAGTTGCTCGTACACCCAAGCCACTAGAAATCAAATATCAATCATACTCAATGACTTTTTCAAGCCAGGTGCTCTTTCTGATTGAACGCTTCACAGTGACCATCTGAACCTTTCTTCCTAAAAACCCATTCAAATCCATCTAAACGGTTTTTACATTCGACTAGATGTGGATACCGTCCTTCCTACATATACGGTACTTATAATGGCTACTAAGTAAACCTTCATTTACACACCAGTCAATTAAAGCACTTTTTCCCTTTCGCTCCAGACTGTACAGAAACTTCAAATTAATCTTACTACATTCGGCGATTCTACTGTCTAAAAAATCAAACCAACACAAAAACGCTTACGAAACATCCCATGATTCAAATTTTCCCAGAATCATGCACCTGATTATGCCACAATAGGGTTTCCGGTGAATCTTTACATTATGGTAACTTGGCGATTTTTTGGCGACCAACCCTGCTACAGCAATGATAGTTTGTTTGGACGCCATTTTGTTTTCATGAAGTAAAGGCATGTTTTTATCTTTTACTCAACATTTTTTCCAACAATCTGCTAGCCGAATTACGCTTATACTAGAACTTTTATGGAACAAAAATGCTTAATCATGACGAAGATTGGGTGCGAAATTGGGAGAAAGTGTAGAATCGCAAACTACTTGCGGCATTCTTAAGAATTGCACATACACTGTATCCATGCACACGTCGACCTATTTTCACTTAAAAAAACATCCCAGAATTGCACAAAAATGGCATTGTGCACACTCTTGAGTTTATCTATGTACACATCGACCTATTTTCACTTAAAAAGTCAAAGAAAATTGACAAAAATCCAATTCTTACTCTTGTAAAAAGCGCCAAACAAATAAGTGGGGGGATTCTGCTCTTTAGCAGCAAAATTGTTTCTAAGTGCTTATTAGCTAAAATATCGATCGGAATTTTCCAGAAAATGTCACATTACATGTCTCATGATCTCTCATTTCTCTGAGACAAAATAATCTGTGATTCGAACTGTGTACTTCTCAGATTATTGCTAAAGTCCTAACTAGTAACCTTTATTGCCTTACCAAAATGTCGCCAAACTACCTGTTACCATATTCTAAAGATTAACCAGGTTTCCATAACATTCAACTACTCAGGCTACCATAAATGAAAGAAAAACTTTGCGATAAATCAAACAACAACTTCACCATAATACAAGGGGTACCTTAAAGTCTACTCTACCCGAATTTTTAATTCCCATGATAATGAAATCGAAAATGAGCATAACATAAATTGCTTTACTGGAAAATAAAAATATCGAGAAAAAAGAAAGAACGCAGTGTTTGTCCACCGAAAAAGCACAGAAAAACTAAAGCGCGCTGTGCCGAATGTACAGCATCGACTTATTTTCACTTAAAAAAAAAATCTCCGAATTGCACAAAAATGACATTGAGCACTCTTTTAACTTTATTCGTGTACACGTCGACTTATTTTCACTTAAAATATTTTCACTTAAATATTAATTTTAGATATTTGCGTTCGCAACACAAGACAATTTGTTGGTGCTGCTAACATTCATTGGGGCACTTTTTCTCTGAATATATAGTGCTAATAAAGAATCGATACTGCGTAAATGTACACTATTTTCGGGTTTTCATCCGCAGAGAAGCCGTTGGCGCTTCGGGAAAGAACCCTTTGGCGCCGTTGCAGTTTTACTAGCCGTAAGCGTGATATTTTGTAAACGTGGTTTTTAGTGATGTAAATTCAAGTTAACAGACAATGGTAGTAGAAATTCACAAATAATAAGTATGTAGATATAAAACTAACAGGAAATGTGATATACGTAAATAAATTTCTATTAAATTCAAGTTAGCACAGAAACAATGTATTAAACAAACGGAAGTAAAAATTCATTAAAAAATAACAATTAGTATTCTTATACTTACGTTTACCAAGATACTTATATGTATTTTCTCGCTAATCATATAGAATAATATTTTTTTCACTATTAAGTAATTGCTTGTGGATGATGTATTTCGGTGCCCATGTAATAAATTAATGAATGTATGACCTTTAATATATCCATATTACATAGTTTAAGTATTTCTTTTTCAGGTACTTGCTACAGCTTAAAGCATTACGTTGAAACAATCCTATCCTTTTTCATAATATATTTCAAATACAAATACCTTCAACAGTAATCAAATTTTCTTCAGTAGCATTTTAATAAAACTAGAACTTTACATTTAAAATTATTATAGGGTTGAAACTCATGTTCGGCATGCTTACAGCTGTTAATAATTAAGAACATAACGTGAACAGCCATGTTACAAATTAAAAATAGCATCACCCCTCCCGCCATAATTTCTTCCTTTGATCCCGAATTGACGACCCGAGAACCGGATCTTTCGACGAAAACTTCTTAATTATGCGAAAATATTTCTATCTATCGTTGTGAAAAAATTCAGAAAAAATAATAATAAATAAGAAAAAATAATATAAATCTCCAAATGCGAACAACGACAACCTTCGCATAAGCGAATAGGATGAATTAGCTAGGTTACCAGGTTTGAACTATTCTCGCCAAAGTTGGCGATGTTTACATTTACCGGGTTCTCTGCGGAAGTGCTTCCCTATTTTCTTTTCACTTATGCTAATATATAATTCGTTTTTTTACTGCTTGAAGGAACTTAATTTCATAAACATTTAAATAAATTAGAATTTTTAATGTGCAGACTTTTTAAGGATGATCATAAAATTTATTATTGACACAGATGTAACAGTTTTACCCAAAGATTCACATTTTTTTCTTCAAAAAAACACGAGCCGGTTTGCACTCTCGGGATAAGAAAACATACTCACGATTACGTACACTTCATTACAAACAAACAAAATTAATGCAATAAAACATATTCATAAAATCATATTACCGAACTTTTTGGAGCAGTCAAAATAAGGAAATTATTTTAGCTGTTTTTTAATATTTAGCTTCGAAGATCTAACAACACAAATTCAGACTTCCCTCAAGAAACTCGAAACAGCATGTTAGTGTTTGGTTTCACAAGTTAAGTAGTTTCCTTCTGATTCGACATGTAGTAATAAAATTGATGAACCATAATAACAAAAATTCAATAGAAAACTTAACTAAAGTGCTTCAGAAAATAACAAATTTATTTTACTGAATGTTTGGAAATATATGCTCCTCCTGTACAAACAATCTCAAAATAAAATTTGTGTACTCTTTGCCCTACGGGCAGAAAAACTTAGCGAAAACAAAACTTGACATCTGTCTGTGTGTCTGTAGTATGGTGTTTACGTTTTAATTTTAAAGTATGGAAAAAAAGAGCAAACAGGAATTAATTGCAATAATTGTAGAAAAAAACGAATGTCTACTGAAATATAAATCACGACTTCATGGTATGCTAATCCCTAAATTAAGATTATGGATGCAATTGAAATAATTCGTATTGTTAAAATTTAAATGGACACGTAAACATAGATACTAAAAAATTAAGATATTATTGAACATCAATATTAAGTATTCTGCTTGATTGAGAGATCTGATCAGTATTTTCTTTAAAAGCAGGAAGCCTTGGTAAGTCGGTAAATCATGGGATAAGATATGTTGAATTGCTGAAGTGGAGGAAAATAATAAAACATTACTAGTTTCTGACATTTGAATGTATAAAATATTGCACAATAGTTCAATAAAACAATTTTACAGGCTTTCTATTACATTTAATTACACTACAGTTACCTTCATTTACATCTCGGAGAAAAGCGGCCGTAGTTGCTGCAAGTGGAATCAGATGTTTCCCAGCAATTGAAAATCAATTCATCTAGTCATGTAGGATTCATCTAGTCAAGTGGAATCAGATGTATCTAGCAATTGAAAATTAATTCATCTAGTCATGAAGGGCTATCTAGCTGTCATCAAGATTCAGATTTTGCAAAAGTTTACTTGTATAATTGATTCAATTGTTGAAACAGTAAAATAATAATTTTTACTAAAATTATTCATTACAGCTATAAGTTTTTGTTGTTCAGTTATCTAAATTTATATAGTGTATTGGGCACTTTAAAATTGCTTCACAAGCACATTGAAACTCACGGGCATCACATTACCAACCCCTGATCTAAATGAATTTTAAAATTCCCAAGACCGTGGGTATTGTATTAGTAGTAACTATTATATTAACTATCTCAAATTTAACTGCAAAAATAAGCACTACTAAGTTAACTTTTATACTATGTTTGTGAAAATTCTTATGTGTTATTATATAATTTCTGTTAGTTCTAAATTTGCTAAATGTGCAATATAACAATGCTTAATTTTAAATTTCAGATGTAGTTGAAGCTTATAAACATCTTGAAAAAGAAAAAGAAGCTCTGGGAAAAAGCATTAAGGCAATAACCAGAGCTCATTCTATACTGAGAGCTGAAGACAGAACAGAAACTGATAATGCTTCTGAAAATGATAAAGTAATTATTGTTAATCGTATCTGTTATGTATAAAATTTATTTAAGAATTTTTTTAAAATATGTTTGAAATCCTACTGTATTTAGACTATTATGTATTCCTAAGATGAGATGTTTAAAGTATGAAAAATAAGGCCTTATATTTTGACACTGATTTTAAGTTACAAAAATATTTATACATTTTAAGAACTACTATAATGTAAGCCTGTTCTTTATCAGAAAATAATTTATACACGTACAAAAGTGTTAAGAGATCATACACATAGAAATATTTTTAATTTCACTATGAAACACATACCTTTTAGTCTGTGTCTTCAAAAAATAATCACCATTTAGTGTGCAGTGATTCAATATCTGAAACAAAACAACCGTTTCTTTATGATATCTGTCACATCATATTAACAAATTCTTAACATATACATCATTTAACTATGCAAAGAAGCATTCTTACCATAATGCTATGGTCAGAGGCGTAGCTAGGGTTTTTAATGCTCGAGAACAACTGGAGATTTTACACTCCCTTTTGTGTGCCAAGAATGGGAAATGGTTCAAGGTTTGGGATTTTTCCAGATATTAATTCATCAGTTTAAATATAGTTAGATGACATGTAAAAATTATAAAATTAAAAATATAAAAAGTGGTTTATAAAATAATGACACTGGCATGCTATCTAATATAGTTAAATTCACAAATAATTGAATAACTGAAATAAATGCACTTCTAGGCATATTATACATTTGTGCTTCTAGAAAAGACAATCATTCAGATATTAAGGAGGTATAGTCCTCTGATAAAATGGGTATTGAGCTACCGTCTGATAATGTCTAAAAACGATTTAGGTTCCTTTTATATTGTTTGAAGTTTGACAATAAGGACACACAAGAGATAAGGAAGAAAATTGACAATTTAGTTTGATTGTCAGTTTATGTCAGTGTCAGAAAACACACACCTATACGTGATGTGTTTTCTTCATTTGTGGAAAATTGTAAGAATGCTTTTTCAGTCAGAGAGTATGGTACAGTTGATGAAAAGTTAGAAGCTTTTATAGGTAAATGTTTCTTCAGGCAGTACATCCCTAGTAAGCCAAATAAGTCTTAAAATTATTTACATGAATAGATGCTAGAACATACTACACTGTAAACCTAGAAATATGCTGGCAAGCAGCCTGAAGGTCCATTCAAAATTAGCAACAAATTGGCAGCTGAGTTCTGTTATCTCAGAAACACATTGCAATAGAACTGTAGACAATTGATTTACCTCGTTACATTTAGCTAATTTTTTGAGTTGAGGAATAAAATCCTTGTTTTCTTCAAAAAAGAAAACATTATTCATGAGTATCAAGAAAAAGTGGAAGAAATCCAATTTTTAAATAATCTTGCTTTTCTGACAGATTTAACATCCCATCTAAATGCTTTAAACTAATATATCCCAGCTTTATGGACATACTAAAGGCAGAAAACAAAATATATCCCAGCTTTATGGACATATTAAAGGCTTTTGCAAAAAAACTTAATGTAATGCAAATTGCACTGAAGGCAAGTAATACTGCACACTTCCCATTTTGTCAGCTGATATCAAGAAAGAGTTCCAGAACAGATTCTAGGATTTTGGCTCTCTAAAAATAAAACTTTCATTGTTAAAGAACCCCATGGGGATTGAAATAAGTGAGATGCCTTGCGACCTTCAGATGGAAATTTATGATCTTCAGCAGATCCATTCTACAAGATTAAAAAGTGTGATGTCACTGAACATTTCTGGAAACTGATTTCTAAAAAACTTCTTCCCAAACTGCATGAATTCTCTTTGCAAATGTTATCGCTGTTTGGCAGTACATATGTGTGTGAAAGTACTTTTTCTGTTCTCAAAGAAAAATCTTAAATCAAAAATGAAAAATCGCATTGAAAGTGCTTCACTGGAATCGAGCCCGAGGCTTTGCCTTACTGAAATTACAGTGGATATTGATAAACTTGTATAAAAAAAGCAGTGTCAGTCATCACATTGATTTCTACACTAAAATAAAGTGATTTATTAAACTAGTGATTTATATGTAATTCATTTTCTTTCTTTAATGTTTCTGGCCCTCACTCTCCTATTTAAACATTTCATTGGCCCTCGGGTAACTAAAGGTTGGACCACACTGCTTTATACAATGAAAACAGAACTGTTACATTAAAAAAGCAGAAAATATATTAGTGTCTATACCCAGAAATTCATCATCACAACTGCTAAAAATCACATACCGTATATACCCGCATATAAGTCGACCCCCCCACTTCGATATAAAAAATTCGTAGAAAATAATAAACCTGCGTATAAGTTGACCCCCCACTTCTAAAATCGATCGAGAAACTTTGAAAAAATTTTTTTAAGTACTACATTTATTCAAAATCATCTGAGAAAAAAGTAAATATAAGATAAAAATACCTTGGTAAATAAACAAAATCAAAATCCTTCAATGTCCGATTCATGGTCAGATTCGCCAAACATTTCATAGAACTCTTCTGCCGTCATTGGCTCGTCATCATACATATTTTCAGTCTCGAACTCTGGTATTCGTTACAATCACTACCAGAGCCTTCGTCATCATTTTCACTTTCAAAAACAGCATTCATCATCCTGTGCCGTTCTAGTTTGTTGCTAATACAACATTTTTTAAATGATTTTATAATCATTTCAGAGGGTATTTCGTTCCAAGCATCTTTAACCCACTGCGCAATTAATGTAATATCGGGCTTTTTGTAATATCGTGCACGTGATTCTAGCAAAGAATCCGCCGAATCTGGACTTTAAACTCTAGTTAAAGAATGAAACTCTGTGATTAGTTCATCACATAATTTAAGTCATGAAATTACTTCAAGTAAGCGACTTATTTGATAAGTCGTCCAATTTGAGTGCGGGAAGAAAACAACTGTATTATATAAAGAAATTTTTGAACTTCCGATTCTTTTAATTTTTTATGGCCCCGCATATAAGTCGACCCACCTTCACTTTGAAGTCTTATTTTTTTTTGTCCAAAATATCTTGACTTATATGCGGGTATATACGGTATATTCACTTTGGTTGTCACTATCACTTGATTTGTCACTTTTCTCATACACAATGCCATCTTCACTTCCATCTAACAGATTGCTAATTCCACACTTTTTAAAAGACTTTATGATAGTATCACTTTTAACTTTCTGCCAGGACTTTTTCACACACTACAAGTTGACGGCCATTTCATTCTTTTCATCGATGTTAGGTTATGAGTTTAGCACCTCAATCCATTTATCCACTCTTCGTGCATCAATTCCTTGAATAGTTTAGTGACTCAAATGTCCAGAGGCTTCAACTGATAAGTCAGTCCACCGGGTTCATCACAGCAAGATGCATTATCTGTTTAGTAGTAAAGATATTTGCTGATTCTGTTATATGAGCTTTAAACTGATGGCATACTTATAAAGGCAATTTCTTCAGAAGTCTTCAGTCAATCTCTACCACACTTCCTGTAACCACAACTTCACACTATCTCCATCCATTCTTTGGAATGAACATGAATATAAATTCCATATGTTATGTATACATAGGCAGCATTTTTCATTTAAAGGAGAGTTAAAACATCAGCACAATACACAAGGACAACAATGTAGTGTGTCTTTATCATTACTGTCTTGGCACATTTAACATTCTCTGTTCTTTTTTATAGTGCATTAAACATCAAGGGTACCTTATATAAGTCCTATCTTGAAGCTCATTTTCTTTTTCAAGTTTGTGACATGCTTGTGGAATTCTATAGTCTTTCTTTCGTATTTCAAGTGGAAATTTTTAGGTTATTGTAGCTCTGATGCACATGCTCAGATCATTTTTCTTCATGAATCTCACAGATAATTTTTTTTTCCTTGCAGCATTCGTCAGAGAAAAGAAATGATGACTGTTTGCAAATGCTTAGGTCCAGTTTAGAAGCTTTAACTGTTGAAAAGGATAGAATTGAAAATGAATTAAGAACGGACAGAAAGAAAATTTTGGTAATAATTTTCTTTTTTGTATATTTGTACATATTTTTATTGAAATGTTAACAAAAGCAATTATTAATGTATTATTTCTAATTCTTTTAGCAACAAAAAGATGAATTAGAAAGAACTATAATTGAAAATGAAAATAATTGGTTTTTGGAGAGAGAAAAATTTGAAACCAGTATACAAGAAGTAAGCATATCTTTTGAATTTATTTATTTAATTTATTTTTTTTGACAGTTTGACCAAAATGTTCAATATTTTACTAAAAGCAAAAAAAAAAAAAAAAAAAGGTGTATAATAAATGAGTATTTATACACTTTTTTTATATACTTATTAAATTTTTGATTTTTATTTATGGTTGAAATGCAAAGAACATGATATTTAATAAATAAAGGTAACACACAAAATGTTAAAAAAACGGCCCTTTGGACATAATGTAAAATCTGAAAGCTTTTAGATTTTGTTTTATTTATTATATATATATATATTTTCAGTTAAAGAAAAAAGTTAGTGCCCAGCAAAGAGAACGTGAAAAAGAGCAGCAAGACCATGCCTTAATGCTTAAGGAACTACAAAATCTTTTAGCTAATGAACGAGCTCTTAAAGATAAGTTGGAGGAACAGGTAAATGGTATTTAGTTGTGCAGTGTCATTTGCAGTTTATATCTATATGGTAAAGTAGAACTCTAATTATCCAGATATTGAGATGCTTGCTTTTCTTTCCAGACCATGAAAATTTATTATTTATTTATATGTAAGTTTTTTTATAAGTTATTATTTAGTATACTCATTGTGATTCAATGTGGTTGGAATCGTGTCATCAACCACATTGAAACCTGTCATTACTTCCTGATAAGCTTTTGGGTTTACATTTTGTACATACACTGTTAATTTATCAAAATGCACATAAACTTGTAGTAGGCTTGTATATTGTTATTGGGGATTTTAAGATAATTTTCTCTGGTGAGTAGGCAGATGATAATACAATAGTCTGGAGTACTATTTGCTCCACAGATACTGAGGTTTGTGTTGCTGATGGCATATGTATTACAATATTTGGGAAAAGGGCATGATTCTGTAATAAATCTTGTTTATTATGGGGAAGTGATATTATGTTTGTCCTCTGCTTCTATGATGTAGTAATATGTGTAACAGCCTTATTCATCCTACTTGGTTTACCATTGGATTTATGCCTTGTGTTTCATTTGCTTCTTCAACTATGCCTGATGCTGGCCAAGATGCTGGTTGTAGATAATAAATACTTTCTGGTGTTGCTTCGTTGGCTAATCTGTCAGCTATGAACTTTCAGCTACGTATCCCAGTATATACTTTCACTCAGGAAAATATGATGTTGTAATACTGATACCTTCATAAGTCTGTCTGGATTTGCATAACTATAGGGGATGTATGGTGATAGCTGAGTATGGATAAAAATATGGCGTGCTGTCTGTGTGGATGGTGATGACCTATATGTTTTGCTGAGTGATGTACTGGATTAGCTCTGGAAATAGCTACTGTTTCTGTCTGAAACAAGATGTTGTTTTCGCTTGTTATTTTGTTAGTTGTTATTTTGATAGGTGTAAAGTTTCTTTTCTGTACTGAAGAATTCGTGCACTACCAACTTTGTCTTCCATGCCTTATTGTCAGAATGTTATGATGCTGTAGGTAGATGTATGTTTATATCTTGCCCTTTAAGTGTTCAGTGAACATGTATTATCACTGCTAGCATTTCATAATTGTTTGGATAAAAATGTCGTTCATCAAAGAAGCTTGTGCGAATGTGAAGATGAAAAACTGATTGGATTACTGTTTCTTGCTCCACACAAATATGCAATAGTGTTAGTCCTGCCAGGAGATTAATCGATGCAGTCACTATAGTGTGAATTGCTATTGTGGTGTTTAGTGTGAATGGCACTGAATGCTGAGATGTTTTACTTTCCTCCCTTGTATTGGTTGAGCATACTTAGACATCCTTCCTATTATAGTTGAGTAGAGTTTCTTTTGACTGTGGAAACCAAGTCTTCAGTTGTTTCCTGGGAACTTTCAGAGTTTTTGTATATTGTGGCTAGTACATAGCTTATATTCCTTAATGCAGGGAATCAGAGTCAATCTTTGATACCATATAAGGCCCAGGTATTGTAGTTCTTTCAAAATTTTAATCCTGCTGTTGTTAATGGTGATTCCTGGGCTAATCTTTCTTGCTCTTGACTTCCTTTATTGGAATTATAAGGGCTTTAGATTTGCCATCTGATGTTCAGTTTCAAGACACTGCAGAGATCATAGAACTGCTGGAAATTTTGAGTTCTGTGTTGTTCAGTTAATTTCTAAATTTCTCCAAGACTGTGAAGGTGACATCATCTGCATAAACTATTAATTGAGAGTGCTTAAGCCAGGTAGTAGTTAATATGGTATTGAAGGTGATATTCCATAAGATTGAACCAGCGCATGATCCTTGCATAAAGAAAATTCCTGTAGCTCTTTTGTTGGAAAAAGAGCAGTTTATTTACCTAACCAGGTAAACAAACTGCCTAAAAGGTTTTACTTTTTTGTTGTTTAGAAACTTCTCTTTCTAGACAACAAAAGCCAAGAAAATAATAATAATAATAATAATAATAATAATCTAAATGTCTTCTTTGTCATGGTGCTTCCTTATTCACAGACTCTTATGATTTAACCCTATTTCCTGTCCAGATGTCCAGCTTTCCTATCTCTTATATTGTGAAAAACTAATGAAAGAACTAATAATATCAAGAGAGCTTTGAGCTACCAAATAAGTTCTTTCTAGTCCAAGCAATCCATTGAAATTAAAACTAATCCTTAATACACAGTTAAATTAATTAATGCATAAATAAAATTTATGACTATCTACAATGCAATTAAATAAAATTATAAGTAATTGTGACTATGTGCATACATTTTTTGACATACATTTTTTGTATTTCATCTGCTTATCGGTTGAAATCAAGATTATGATTAAAATTACCTGCTTTTAAGCAGTTATATAACTATGCTTCTATAAGTTTATATATGCAGGATGACTGCTGATTCATGGTACAAACTTTAAGGGCTGGTACATGATACTGTAACAACTACATTTTGTAAATTAATTTTAATAATTTTTTTATTTTAAATTAATTTTGTAAATTAATTTCAACTTATAAACGAGGTTCTGAAAATAAAACACTTTCCCTATCATTTGTTCTTCCCTGTGTTTGTGCTTTGACATTTCACTTTTGACCATACATTCCTGTACAAAATGTGAGTGTTAAAGTGTCCTGTACCAGTCCTCAAAGTTTGTACCATGAATTAGCAGTCACCCTGTATATAAATTGATTTCTAGTCTTTTTGAAAAGAAACATTCATAGTTATAAATAGTTGAACAATCTGAATATTGTTTTGAAATGCCCAACTACAGTAAGGTAACTTCCTCAGCAAATTGGGGTTAGGGTTGCCAAAAAGTGGCAGGGAAAGGTAGGGTTGCCAGATTTGGTGCAAAATCGGCCATTTGGTGACATTTGGTAATATGCCATAGATGGAGTGAGAACATTCTAGAGTGCATTCTTAGCGAGAATGTTCTCAAAGGTAGGTTAAAGCTATATATACCTTGCCTGTATACTGAGTAGGAGTATGTTGAGTTCAGTAGTAGTGTCTTGAGTTGAGAGATTAGCTCTGCAACGATCGACTGAGTAGGGAGCTGTACTTTAGTGCTTTGCTATGAAGCTGTCCTCACAGTTATAGCCAGACAGCCTGAAAGTTGTGTTTCTGATAGTTTCAGCTTGTTTGTCATAGTTTTTCGATGACTGTAATGCATCTTTGCAACTGTCCTGTGTAATGCTGATGATTAAACTGTGTTTTGATTCTTCATCAAGTGGTGTCATCAGTCACTCCAAATCAATGAAACCGTAGAACATAACAATATATTTTTAGTTTTCTCAAAATGGGCTAGCTATTTTTATGGATTAAGTTCCAAAACATGCTGTCATTATATTGTATTTCCAAAATAAGAACTATTTGCAAATTTATTATTTCTAATTCTTGTCGTTTGGTATTAAGTTGAAAAATATTCAGGAATAATAGTAGGCGATTTCCTTTTCATGTTTCAGACGGTTAACCTGTTTAACCTTCTGATGCTTAAGACAAATTTTCATCTTCACAGTTATGAGAAGTCTAAGAAAGCCTAAATATGGTAAAACTTAAGTTTTTTTAGATATTATTTTTATAGTATTACTAAAATTTAACAAAACTTTGCTACTGCTATTTACAGAGTTTTATAAATTCAAATGTTTAAATATGTACAATATAGAAGATGAAGTTTACTAACTAATTAATGTGATTTGAATTATCTTAATCCTACATGGTAGTAGGAAAATGTATTTATTTCTCTTTTCACTGTAGTATTTTCTCCTGCAATCACCCTGGCTATTCCTGTTTTGAAGTCCTAGCATATCTGTAACATGTTACAAGTGCAGTATTGCTAATCTCTGATTAATTTTTGTTTAACCATAATAGGATTTTTGCTTTTTACCAGAAATATTGAATTATATAAATTGCTGATTTACATTAGATTGTGAAGACAGCAAAAAATTATCTGGCATTGCCATTCAGGAATTATAAAATTTTAACAATCTAATATAGGAGTTAGGTTGTAGTGTATCAGTTTACTATTTAGAATCTCAGAAATTTTAGATTTATTGATTTTTATGTTTTTATATTGAAATTTATAAAGTTTCATTGTCCCATATATCACAATAGGACAAATATCTAAGCCATATTGGCTTGAATGGGAATAACTTCCCATATAAAATGATTTGCATTTCTGAATGTACTATACAAAACATAGAAAAGTTTTAAAATAAGATATTTTCACATGTGTGATGGGGTATCTTGAAGCTGTTTTACTATATAAATTATCTAAATACCTTGAAGTAAAACTATTTAAATGAATTTTCTTCCAGTATAAAAATTAAGTGATGTATTATTTTAATATATTTTCTAAATGTTTTGCAATATATTTAAAAATCTGATAGCTTTCAGAAAAGCGTTTTCAACGGTTCTTACATTTAAGCCTGTGCAGTATGTGCTTTGTATTCATAAGAATTTTCAAACTATATGCATGACTTTAAAAAATTTCTGATTTTTGTTGATTTATTACAAATATTTCCATTAACATTCATTTTTCCCATTAACATCGTGTATCTTGTAGATAAGTGATTTGCAGCAGCAATTTAGCAGCAAATTGTCAGAAAAAAAGGCAGTGGAGTATGAGAAAAGTGTTGAAGAATTACAGTATAAATTGAAAACCTCCCAAGATAGACTACAAATTTTTGAAAATAAAAATAAAGAAAATGGAATAATTATACAAAAATTGCAGAAAGAATTAGATGATATGAAGGTATGTATTTATCTCTAATATATATAAAGTAATTTTTTTTTTCAAATTTGGTTTTTATTATTGATGCTTTTTCATTCATTTACTGTATTTTCTATTTTTCTTTATTTTGTGTGTGAATGTGAGTGGGTATGCATGTACATTTTTGAAAATGTAGGGGATTATGTCACAATGACTCTACTAAAAGAGACTATTGCTTTTGAAATCATAAATAAGCATTGGCACTATATTGCATCTCTGAAACAAGTATCTACAAAAACAGTGGAATTATCTGCAATGGAAAGTTTACCTTTCAAAGAAAGTTCACTGGCTTTAAGAATTTATGATTTTATTGAAGAATTGAGATGCAAAAATTTATTTACAATAATAGTAATTTTGCTAAGCAAATGCTATTGAATATGCATGAGAATTTGCATGTACTGTATTATCTGTTACTGCTGTATTTGTAAGGTGTTCAATAAAATCATATCATCTCAGTATGAAATGAGAGTAACAATGATAGCAAAGCATACATCATTAGTTTCTTGCATTGCTTGCATACATCTTTTCCTCTATATTCTTCAGTACGTCATTAGAAACTTATGATAATATGTAAGATGTGTATTATTAAACTAAATAATTTTAAATGATTTTTAGTATGTAATACAATAATAGTAATTAATATTAATACATCTACTTACATTAATGCTTTTTATATTCTATGTTCTTTATTTAAGTTTTCCCTGCATATGTAATTTTCCCATCTCAGTTTTCAAGAGGTAAAGTTAATGAGAAAAAGAAGGCAAAATAATGCAAGGAAATGTAGGAGTACAGTTATGATATGTGTTATTAATGCAGAATTATTTATCAGCATTATGTTTGAGTGATCATGTGTTAATACAGAATAATTGTTATATATTGTAAGCACACTGTGATAATTGTAGTGCAGTTCTTTGTCGCCATTGTGTTTGAATGATCATATATCAGTATGAAGCATTACACATAATATGAGAATTGAGTGTGTTCTGTGATTTAAAATAGAAAGCATAGCTTCTGAATTAATGATGAAAGATCACGAGATTGCATGTGTAAAATATTTAAAATATATAGTGCACTTTAAAAAATTTTTTTTAAATGTTATTAATAAAGATAAATCAAATATGCTGTATCAGCAACTTGAATATTTTTCCTTTTAAAATATGTGCTGTTTTGGAATATATATTTCTGCATCGTCTTATAGGTACAATATTTGGCTGATATAGATGCTGAAAAAACTCGAGCTGATATGGCAGAAGAAAGATTGAAATTGCTGACTATTGTAAATGAAAAAAGAATAGCCAATTTGGAGAGCCGAATTTCAGAACTTTCATCCATGGTTGGAAATTATGATAAACTTCGTCAAGATGATCAGTTGACTATTCAGAGATTAAAAGTATATAATTTTAGATCTTATAAATAAAAATAAATTCAGTTATATATTTAATGCATTCTTCCTGTATTATGTTTTAATTTCAAAATCTACTTTTAAAATTTAAATAAAGTCAATCTTCTTTAAATTAAATTTTTTAAATCCCGAAATATATTTTATCTTTTAAAACTTTTTAGATTGTTTATCCCTCTTTTCTTTTAAGCATCGATTTTGAATAATAGTCTTACTACACTTTTCATTGCACATATATCATTTAGTCTTCATGACAGTTGTAAATTAATAACTGCAGCATAGCTAATATTAAAAGAAATTAAATCTGAATGTTGTAATGCTGATCAACAAACAGAATTTTATTCAGTAGCCATTCTGTATATGTATAATTGCAAATTCATTTAGCTCTTGAAAAATTTTTTATATGAGAGACATCCATTTATTAACTCCAGATGGGTATTATTGTTTTTACTTTTATAATAAAGTATACATTTTTCAATGGCATTTGAAATCAAGAGAGGTCAGTAAAATGTGGTCATTCCATTTCTCCATCTGTGATTCTTTATCTATATCAGGGAACACTATATAAATGGATTTTCATCTTCTAAATATATATTCATATAAAGATATATATTTGACTTTTGATGGTATGATGGCCTATGCATCGAATTTTCTCTTATGATTCCATTTATTTATCTGTATTTATTTAACATTAAGTATTTTCATAGTTTCATTTTTGAACAAACTCTTATTCATTTAAAGAATATTCCTTAAAAGTTTTATATTGTGTTTACACACTAGATTTTTTTTATCATTATCACAAATATTAATTTGTTCTGAAAATGCCCACTAGTAGCCAAGTAAATTGTTGAACACAGATAGTTTGATCTAGTTTTGAATCTCAGCAAGCAGATTGGCTGCATAGCTGTTTTCATGGCATCTCCATGTGTAATTTTATCAGCCAGTTTTCCAAATAAACCCAGTGTATTATACCAAACCAGATAATCCCAATTTAGTGTTCTTAATCATTTAAGGTCAAATAAGGAAGGGTATTAAAAGGAATTGATATTTTGTTTTCTCTTAATTTAAAACAAAAACATAAAAAATAGTTAATTGATTATATCATAAAAATTAATTAGTTGGTTGCATTTTAATATGTGACTATATAATAGTTTTTCAAATTAATTTTAAATGATAATGAATTAATTTTTTAGATTATTTTTAAATAAAAGCTGTATTTATGAAGAATAAAATATATTTGTTGTCATAGTGTGAATTCAACTATGTTCTTACTGTATGCCACCGAGATGAATTCTGTTTAGTCTATGGACTCTTCAAAATGTGAATAGCAAATAGTATGAAATCAAGTTGGAATTAAACAATAAAAAACAAGGTAAATTACAAGTATGTGAAAAATGTTGTATACAAAGGGTTGCAGTTGCTATGGGAAACATTGTTGGCAGCTGTCAAATTTCATTGGATGTTGTACATTATTGTTAAGAAGAGTAATATAATGCATTGAAAACAATGCATAGAAAAGCTATCTTTTATCAGTAAGCCATGTTACATTATTAAAAAAATACTGATATGGATTTCAGCAATACAGATAAGTGCAGTATAAAAAATTGGTCATATTAGAAGTCAAGCAATAAAAATCAGCGTTATATTTGCAAATTTTCACGGGACTAGTTTCGATGGTTTTACCGAGCCATCATCTTCATCTGCCAAAGTGCAAATGAATGAGATAAGATATAGTAATTGGCTTGGTAAAACCATCTGTGAAAATTTGCAAATATAACGCTGATTTTTATTGTTTGGCTTCTAAATTAATACTTGTTCGGTGTGTTATTTTGTCTTAACTGGTCATATAGTTGCATATTACACATTTAGTTGTTACTGGCTTGTGTAACCACAGTAATTTTGTTTAAGCAGTACTACGAAAACATAGGAATACTTCAGTAGATAGCAATGTACTGATTTCGAACTAAAATAAAATATATGAAAATGGAGTTAGATTGTGCATTATTATTATTATTATTATTATTTTGGTAAAAATAATTGAAGCATCTTATTTTTTTAAACATGCACACTTAATTATTCTGTAGACTTATCGTATAATTCATGCATAATTTTTACCATGAAATCAAAATATATGTATAACTTTAAATACTTCACTCAGTTAATGTACTGTAAGAAGGTTGACTTTCTTGACTTGAAAGAGAAATTGCAATGATTCTTAATTGCTATAATATCAGAATTGCCACAAAATTTTCATAAACCAAAACAGCAATCTGAAAACATCAAGCTTAGCAGAGCTCGCTGCTAGAAGTTAAAAAAAGAACATCTTCTTATAAAAATCTTAGATTTTCATATATCGTGTACAAAGTTGCAGGTTATTGAGATTTTATTGTATTAAAATTCTAAATACAACAATGAAGAAAGCAGTATTATATATTGAAGAGAAGAAATAATATTACATTCCATTATGTAAGGCTACAAATGTTTGACCCTCCACTGGAATGCAAATCGTAATTTTAAGGAACCTTGAAACCTTTTTCAAAATGTTAAATTTTATACTATATTCATTTATTTTGTTGCTATTTTTAAAAAAGTCTCTAAGTACTTTTAAAATTTATATTGCTGATTATTTAATTGTACTAACATACTAAATACTAACTCAAGAGTTTGTTTAAAAAATTAATTCTTATAAAGTGTTATTTTAAATTCAAATGCATTTTTTAAACTTTTTTATTTAATTTATATTGCTTTTCATTCTGCATTGTAATATATCAAAATTTAAATTTATTGCAAAAAATTTTAGCAGTTAAATAATTAAATATTTATTTATTTACTTATTTAAGATTGCAAAGTTTTGATAGAAGAAAAATGCATATTCTGAGTTATAAGAGTGTGAACAGTTTAAAGTAGCAAGAAGTGCAAAACTGAGAAAAATGTACTCAAAATCTGCTGATCAACATTTTAACCTAAAAAATGTTTCTAATTCGTGTCCTAATTACAACATTAGTAACTCTCCTTTTTTCTGCGTCATTGTTCTTTTATTCATTTTATGAAAACTCAATTATCTGCCCTTTAAATTACGCAGCCTCCTTTTATATTGCAAAGTTATGATGAAAAAGGTATTATAAAAATAAACATGAGTGGGTAATCAGAAACATAAAACTTAATTCATATCTGCTGTTTTGTGCTGAGGAATGTTATAAGAACTAATGCAGAATTGAATTTTTATTAAATTTGAAAAAACAGTTGTAAGTTTTCGCATTTATTTATTTATTTTAATTTTATATAAGTAATGTATAAAGCACATTGATAGCCAAGCAGTAACAAATGTAAAATAGCGGTGTCTATGATCAGTTTTGATGTATTAAATACATTATCTAAATTTCAAATCTCCATGCCTTACGAATGAATTAGTAGAAAGTTCCCTTTGAAAATCCACCGCAAAGGCTGCACAAAGCTATGTGTTCAGAGGCACATAGCTTTAATTCTTTTTCATAATTAATTAACCCAACCTATATCTTAATTTTAATGTAATTCCAGTTATCCAAATAATTTGTTCTTTTTAAATGAAACAAATTTAAGCTTATTATTAATTTATTTGTATCTATTTAACTCATCCAATCTGAAAAGATAATACATAATTTAAAAAATGCTATCAAATTCATTTAAATCAAGCATGTATAGCTCATGTGCCTTAAAACTCAGCTTGTGTCATATAGCTCAAAATAATAATAATAATAGTAAATATAAAAAATGAGTAAATGTGAGGATAAGCAATGCACTTATGTTATGGGGCAAAGCACTAAGTAGGAAATGATTCAGGCAACCTGCTGATCTCTGAATGGTCGGGCATTTTGGGCGAATTCGATGTGAAATAGTTAATGCCTGAAATGCATTTTTTCCCCCTGAAGTCTTTCACAATTTTAAATTTAGCTTCTTGATATTCAAGTGGATGTCAAATAATATGATTTTTTTTAGCCCAAAAGGCATTAGTCCAGAAGGGCTATTAATTTCACTGTGGCATTTTGCATTGATTCACAATAAACAGTGAATCACTTTTTAAATTGTTGACACCAAATATTATCGCCCTGTATTGTTAAATGTATTATATTTAAAGAAATTAAATAATGAAGAATCTGCATAAATGTATGTATGTTTCTCACATTGTGATAAAACAATGGTATCTAGAGCCATCGAATTTTGAATAATGTACTTCTCCACCCATATGAGTATCTGGAAGCCCAAATTTGGAGTTTGTTTTATTATCTATTTCATATTTTGTAAAGCATTTATGAGTTTTTGATTAAGAAACTCAACGATTTCAAAGCGTACAATAGCAACACTTATGGGTGGGGGGAACATTTTTATCTCCAGTATGCCAGACTTGGAGTCAGTGTTAAAAAAATGCTCCTTTGGGCGTAACGTAAAATGTAAAACTTTCAGGTTTTTTTTTTTTTTTTAATATATAATTTTATACTGGAAAATTCTGAAGTTCATCTACTGTGATTTGCATTTTTTATACACTCTACTAAATCAAGTTTTTACTATGCTTTCAGTTTTATATAAATTATGATTTTAGGAAAGAGTGGCCCAGCTACAGATTGAATGTGCATCCATATCTAAGGTTTCTCATGAGGAATCCAAGCTATGGGAGTATGGTGAAACAGACATAAAGTTTAAAGGAATTCAAGGTATTGTTAATTTTGAATATATTTTTACAATCTACAGAAGAATGTCTCTTTAAATAATTACTCCAAATAAGTAGGAAGACATTGATAATTTATTATAAATAATAATGACACACAGGAAAAGGAATAGCTGTAAATAACTTGTGGAGAATATGAATAATAGGCAAATCCTCCTTAGTCCATAAGAAATATCATAAATTCCCTATATAATTCTCAAAGTAAACTATTAAACACAATTTAATTAATTTTTTTAATTGCAAACTCTCAGACTTGCTTAATGACTGACTGCTTTTAGCTGTGAGAGCTGTAATTATATGGTGTTGCACGAGCTTCAGCGACACTGCAGTATAGAGTATAGTTATTTGTTAAATAATAAAATATTACAGTGTATTAACTTTGTGAACTTTAATGGAAATGTATTAAGGTGTGAGACTGTAATCTGAAATTCAGATTGTACTCTTTTAATTAATGCTTTTACTAATTTGTTTTCTCTGAAAACTTTGGTACTAAATTTGGGAGTTATTTGCATTTAATCAAATTATTAGCACTCCAGAGGGGTGTGTAACATCTTAACCTATTTTATCGACCACCACGAAGTTCTGACAAAAAGAATGACAATCTTGAAAGTTCACACAGACAGAGTATTTCTTAGTGAATTCTCAGAAAGAGGAAATGACCAGCATTCACAAAACAATCTCGGCTCTTTTGTTCCTCTTATAGTTGTTCGAAAGGATACATTGTTCAGTTCCCTTTCATCAGTTTATAGGTTCAGTGTCTCAGACCACCCGGTTTGAGACCCCCAGTTGGAATCGAAAAGTTCCCATGGACTTTTTCCCAGGCTGTCTTCATCATATCCAGTTTTTAATCAAAGTGCTCTCGCCAATCAAGAGGCGCTTCTAAAAATTACGGACAAATAAGGATCCTAGGAGTTTTTCTGACACGCCCAAGACAACTTGAATAAAATCATAGAACGCAGTTCCAGAAAAAGAGAAAAAGTGAGAGTTAGTTGCAGTAAGTAGAGAGAGAAACCTTCTCTCGGTTTTTTCCAGTGCAGCCACGAGCAAATTTTTGCTTTCCTCTGCGTAGAGCAATATTAATATCTCTGCCAAGAGATTTACAGCGAGGTAGCCGGGTTTGCCACTACCTTACGAAGAGCATCCTGCTCGGACACAGCTCATTCCGGCAACCATCGGCTTAGAGATTCAATTAATTCAAGACAGTCTCATCTTGAGCCTACCCTCATCTTGAACTATTTCCAAACAAGAACTTTCATCTTGGCTGAGTTCTAAACAGGAACTTATTCACCCTACTGTGAGAACAATATCTTATAAGTTTATTTATTTTTATTTTTTTGCATATAGCCTAGAAAGAACTCAAATAAATTTATTTACGCTATGTCTTGTCTTTCGAATTCGTCACAGGTGTTATAACTTTCACTAACATCTTATATCTGTTATTAAAAAAGATGACAGATTAATATCTTTTTGCACTGTAAAATCAATGCTCATCAGTATAACAAAGTTAATCATTTAAAAAGTAATTTTACTTGGACTTTTAACGTCGAATTATATTCGCAGTTAATATTGTTTACTGGGGGGGGGGGGGGGCCTGTATTATTTTTTGGGGGGGGGGGGGGGGGGGGGGGGGGGGGGGGAGGGGGGGGGGGGGGAGGGGGGGGGGGGGGGGGGGGGGGGGGGAGGGGGGGGGGGGTGGGGGGGGGGGGGGGGGGGGGGGGGGGGGGGTAAAAATGGGTTTTTAGCATCATATAATGTTCAACTGAAAAATTTGTAAATTAAATAAAAAATGAATCTAATGTAATGATGAAATTTTTTAGTAATATATAGATTGCAATCCTTTCTCAATATTTCGTTTTTAAATTTTAGCAATTTATATATTTTTTTAAAATTTTTGACTTTTGTTTAATGGTACAAATTTGATGTTATCACTTGCATCAATAGCTCATGTTACTTTTATTTATTTAACGATAAAATTCTCCTTTGTAGTGTAGATTCCTAGTATAAATTTTTGTTCTTTGAAGGCTTAGTTTTAGAATGCAATAATATCGAAAGTTTTCAAAATATAATGTTTTTCATCAGATATAAGTTTCTTATTTATCAATCCATTAAATGGTCAATCAATTCTTGAAAAATTCTTAAATTTTTACTTCTGTTGCTTAAAGAAGTTTTTTCTTAATTCACATTTTAAACATTTATGATTTCGTAATTGATTATTAAAAAAATTATTATTAAAATATTATTTAAATTAATAAGGCAGTCTTTGTTAAAATAATACATTTCGCTTATTTTAAGATAATGAAAAAGGTGCAGTATCTGATAATTTGCATGCCCACTGTCGTGCAGAACTACTTCAACTCAGAGAAGAATTGGAACACTGCAAATCTAAAGCTGAATCTGCTCTGAAAGAAAAATATAGTAAAACATCAGTTGCTTTGCTCTCTGTAAGATTTTTATAGTTAATTTTTCTGAGAAATACATTTGAATTTCTTTTCTTTTCTCAAGTACTGTTGCTTCTCAAGTTACTTCTTTCTTTTAATAATGTATTTTATTGTCCAAAATAACTAAGAATGATAATTTTTCATTTTGTTCTTAGGTTCTTTCATTTTGTTCTTCATTATAGAATCTTACACAATTCTAAATACATTAAAAATTTATTTCTTTGAAGTCTGAAATATGAAAAACGATTTCAAATAATTTAGATTATAATATTATTTTATCATCTTTGGTTATATTTTTTGTATATTTCTGCAACTTGTGTATTTTTGTCCTTAAAGTTTTTAGTATTATCTAGAACATTTTGATACACATGCATAAATCCACCTCCTCTCCAATAATGACCAGTTTCTAAAATTTTTTAGATGTGTGTAATTTTAAAATACATTTCAAGTCCATTAATTAAATCTCAGATTCTTAGAACAAGGCTGTTACTTCCTCTGCCAAGGAGTCAAAATGGTTACATGCCATGAGCGTATATCATGAGTGAAACAAAAGTTAGTCTTTTTTCAGTGTATTCAGTTAAATGGTAAATAAATGCTGATTCAGTTATGTATTCTGTAGAATGGCTGGAACAATACTGATAGAAATTTTTAAAAAAATTATGGTCCCAGAAAAAAAAGGCAGCAATCTTTGGAGATTCAGACTTCATTATGTTCAAGATGAAAATCTAAGAGATCTGTGTACTGTTTGGTGTGGACAGATCACTTTCTCTCAAATCACAAAACAGTTGAAATGATGGAATGTTACCTTATAGACTCCAGCCTCTAACAAAACTTTTCAGTAATCAACTTAAAAAAGACATTTTTATAATTTTTAAAAATATTTATAATACATATTTTTATATGTATGTAACATATATTTTTTTAATTAACCAGATTACATTTAACTTTAAATCCATAAATGTAAAAAATTGAAAAATACGTATTTGTAAATTATGTGCATATTGAAAAAAGTTTTCATTTTATTATTTGATCAAAAATAACACTAGATCTTATAAGGTATTTCTCCCACCTTCCTAGCGTGCCTTCATGGTGTAGTGGTTCTGCACACTGGGTCGGTATTCCAGAGGTCCGTGGTTCGATTCCCAGTGAAGGCGGTTGCTAATTTTTCATCTTACCTGTTCCTAAAATCCTAATGTCTCTACAGTGGCTCCTGAACTAAAAGGGTTGTGGATGATGACTCTCCACACTGAGGATTTGGTGATTGAGTCCCCAAAAAACACCAGTCACCCTTTAAAGGGGGAGTATATAAGGCATTTCTCCCGCCTTCCTAGCGTGCCTTCGCGGTGTAGTGGTTCTGCATGCTTGGCCGGTATTCCAGAAGTCCATGGTTCAATTCCCGGTGAAGTCGGTTGCTAATTTTTCATCTTGCCTTCTCCTAAAATCCTAATGTCGCTACAATCTAATAATTATTTTTAAGTAAATAATTAATGTTTTAAATCACAATTAATCTTATGAATGGAAATTTAGAATTTATAAAGCACATATCTTTGTGAGGATATTAGATTAATTCCAGATAGAGGAAAAAAATATATGTACAATTCATCATAAAAAATATGCAGAAGCTAAATTATAAATTTTAAATGTCAAGATTTGTAAACAACATGCTTAACAGTCTCAACTTTTGAATCAGAGAATATTTTTCTGTAATAGGGGTCTTTATTTGCCCACATATTTACTTTTTCAATAACAGTTGTGGCTTTCCCTATGTGTAACATGAATATGAGCCATATGCACTTAAAAAGTCCCCCACAAAGGCATCCTTCCTATAAGGCAGATAATCCCTGCATAGTTTTCTGTAATCTAAAGAGTTCAATCCAATCCACTGATAATTGCTTGCTTTTATATTTAAATTTGATTTAAATGCAGTGTCGTTGTTTCTGACACAGGAACAAAATTATTTTGAAGGTTGCATATGAGTGGTGTATGTTTAAAAATGCAAACATCACAATAGGAAATACATCAAAAATACTTTTTTATCTGATTAATAACTAAAAAAAGTTAATCACAGCATCTCACTGTTCCAAAATTCTTATTAGAGATTTTAAACGAGATATGAACAAATCTTATACTGCAGTTTTTGAAAAGTTTATAAGACTGCATTTTGTCTTAAAATTTTTTGAACAAGTTTGAAGCTGTTTCTTTTTAAATTTTTTAGTAATTTTTTTGTTGTTATATGTAAGAGGTGGCATGGACAACGTTAGATGATTATAGCATTTAGATAAATGATGCTACACCAATAAATTTTTTCAGAATGCATTTTGAAGAAACTGTTAAGCAATTTTTGGTACTTTTCTGGTAATGAGTGCCATTCACCAAATGGCAAAATTCAAAAATTCACCAAGTATCAAACATGGTGGTCTAGCTGTGTAATGATGTTGTTGGAAGTAAGCAGGAAGAAGGTACATCAATCCAGTAATTTTCTCTTTTAGGTTTTTGGTTGCTTAAGTGAATGAATTTGCATCTGTGGGATATGAGCACCTATAAGTTATATTGCATTATTGATCCTTATGTGGGATGTCATGTGAAAAATTGAAAAGTAAATATCCACTTTGATGAATTTATGTGGCATCAGCTGCATAAAAATCCACAAATGTTTTGGGCACTTTTATGTCTTCTGCACAAACTGAAATTAACTGGTAAAACCTATTTCACATTAATTTTTATTTGTTATATTTATTTTGGATTTGATAAAATAGTATCATTATTTTTATGAAGCTGTGTGTACTTTTAGGCTTGGTGTCATGTAATTAGATTTTGTGCCAACATTTATATTTGGCATTAATTGGTACCCCTTAACAAAAAAGTACCCAATTTTTCCATTCTAAATCTTTTCTTATAAAGTGTAATTAAAAATAGTTTCTCTAGCATTATTCACACATTGTAAATCTTTTCTTATAAAATGTAATTAAAAATATTTTCTCTAGCATTATTCACACATTCTAAAATATAAATCAAGGAATTAATTATTACTTTCCCACTTCCTATAATATATCACAGTCAAAGGATACTTTTTGTTTTGTTTTGTTTTGTTTATTGGTATTATTACTTCCACTAAGATATGCAGTTAATAACAGTAAGCATTTTCACTATTGCTGCACTTTTGTGCGTCCACGTTTCTTTTGCTATGGCAGAGCACTCTAATTTAAAATCTGTATTATGTCTTTATCTCAATATTTTTTTAATAATTTTTCAGCTTGATATAAATTATTTGCTATGGCAAAACACTCCTATTAAAAAAAAATCTAAACTACTTTTGTTTTGACATTTTTCAGTCATTTTCATTCAGCTTGATATAAACTTAAAGTTCTGGCATTAAAGTTTGACATCCTTGTACATCAGATAGAAGCAATGAAGTTTTTTAAAGACCTGAATTTAATGTATAGTTATATGAAATAATTAGGCAATGCATGTAAATATAAAATAAAAATTCCTATGAATATTTTAAAATTTAAAAAAAAAAAAAAGTTTACTTCAGTACATTCTGATCAGTTGTTATTTATGGCTTTTGCTTACTTAGAAAAAGAATAATTGTGTCTAGAAACTCAAAATTAAAAATGGTTCGATAAGTATTCTGAATTCATTAAAATTTCTAGTTCTTTTTTAACCAAATTTAGAAAATAAATAAATACACTGCTGACCATTAAATCTCCTAGGAAAGAAAATTGCAGAATTTTATTTATTGAACAATATAAAGGGAAGAAAACATAATTAAATTTCCAAATGATTTGAGGTGCACAGTCCTATAATTGCTGTGTCGAGAATACCAACTAATTTGTCAATCGAAATTTTTTCGTTTTCAATACCCTCTGTGTCACTTGCTTCACTATCGGAAGCGAATTATAATGGCGACGAATTTGATTTAAATCATATCAAAGACGAAGTACATCGAGATGAAATACTACAATTAGTAAGGAATTATAAGGCAAATAAAATAAAAACATTTGCCCTGAAGATAAGGATAGTGCTGACAGATCAACTTCCAATTCATTGCACGCCGAGACCCCCCTTCCCCGCCACAGAGCAGCGTTAAATTGATAAACAGATTTCTGAATGGTTAGATAAACAAAGGATTATGCCTTTATCCATTTTTTGCAGCAATTCCACTTTTTGTTTAATGGACTTCGAAACATACTTTCGCTTTGTAGATCCTTTACATATTAGTGAATATATATCGGAAATTCTATTTGACATAATCGAAAGTTCAAGCTTACTTTTATAAAATTGCTCTAACAGTCTGCAAAAAATAATAAGCCGGATCCAATTCGAAGATTAACGAACAACGCAATCCGCAACATTAACTGAATTAGATAATTTTAGCTTAGCTTATACCATCCATTATACATTAAACGCGCATGAGTAAACGTATTATGTGCATGCGCACACGCATATTCGCAGCCGTCAAGGTCTTACACGCATGCACAGAAAGTTTGTAGCTTTGATGTCCGGATTATGGTTGTATTAACGACTTTTGACTGTAGTATCGTTACACATAAATAAAACATAATCAGACTAATATGAAATAAATTAAAGCTTTATTTCTTTTGACAAGTTTTCTCCATCATAGAAGAAACTTGGTAAACCTGCTGAGAGTACACATTTCCAAAAATTTTACTTTACTTTCATGCTATTTACAAAACATATTCAGAATGACACATGGAATGTGTCATTTCTGAAATTTACAGATTTTTTTCTCTTTTGAATTTATTCATTAGAACTTACAAAATGGTTATTACATGCAATATCAAAAAATTCTCTGTTTTGTTATGTCACCATATTTCTGATCAGGAATTCATAATGTTTTAATTGCAATTGAATAACCAAATCACCTATCCTTTTTTATACACAAGAAGAAGTAAGAAGAAGAATAGAGAAGTAATTTCTAAAATTGTTTTCAACTCTTGCAGTTTTTAGATGACGTAGATTCAATTTTGTAACATAATTTTCTTTTTTTAAATTCAGTTTTATTTCTCATTCTTTCTAGATAATAATGTTATTTTACTATTTATGTTACTGATATGAGCTGGACTTAAGTTTCAGAATCTATCTAAATTCACAGATGTGAAAAAAAGATCTCATAACAGGGGTACAAAAATGCATACTTATATGTGTATGTTACTGAAATATTATTGCAGGCTTGTAAATAAGGCTAATTAAGTTATGTAAAAAATATTTAAATTAATAATATAACAGTGCTAAGTATAAATAAAATATAGATAAGTTCAAAAATTAGTTTCTTCTTCTTAAATGAAAGAAACAGTTTCTTCTGGCCATTACTTCCTGCAGTTTTTTTTTCCCGTGTTTTTCCTGCCATGAAAGAAACCTGCCAATCCTATTCATACCATACATTAGGGTGATGTTTTGGTGCCCCTGTACTTCTTTCTGTCTGTCTGTATGCCTAACTTACCTTACAGTAAATGTGGTTTACATTTAAGTGATGTTTCACATACTCATGTTAATTGGTGATCTAAATTTATGAAGCCATGGTAAAGCCATCATTTTCTGAAAACAGAAACATAAATAAGAGTCATTGGAAGGCATAACAGATGTGATAATATGGTGATCAAAACCATTTGGAGCACTGTGAGTGCCAAGAAAAGACTTTCTCATGTCATACCATTAGGCTGAATAAGACATGGGCCAAATGATATGAACCAAAAGCCATATCAGTAAACTAGATCAAATATGGACCATATACATAGACCAAAACTGAAATGCAAATTGAATATATGGCATTATTATGCATCACCATGAAGATCCAAAAACTCTTATCGTAACATCTGTGGAGCAAAGGTTACAATGATTCTCAGGTACACCTTTCATGGTGTACCTGAGAATTACAAACCATTGATGTGCATTATTACTGTTCATATTTGAAACATAAGCACAAGTAATCACAGAAAGTGGCAGCAAACTCAAAATTAAATATAAGACCCAATAAATTAACATAAAATTTCTAAACAAATTCATTAAATAAATAACCAAATTACAGACAAACAAATGCAAATATTTACATAACAGTATATATAACTATTTTAAACAAAGAACTCTTGAAACCCTTTTATAAAAATTTTGTTGTATTAGAAGTATAAAGGGTATCATTTACATTATTTTCAGTTAAAATCATAGAAATGGTTTATTACTTCATTAATTTCTCCCATGATTCTCCACAGTGTGCTTGCAGTTTGACAACCATTTAAATATGAGTTTGAATAATTCTGATAAGAAAGGAGAAATAAAAAAGATTTTCATGAATTCCTTTTTGTTGTAAGTCATAATTTTGTAGTGTTTTCCTCTTAGCTTTTCAATTAATAAAAAAAAAAAAAGATAAACTGTTTTGATGCAGTATTTTTTATGTGATTGAAATCTGCTGTATTTATGATAATTTTCAATTGTAAAACTATTATAGGATGCTAAAGCTGGTAAAGAAATCAAAGAGTTAAAGAGTAGACTAACTCAGTTACAAGATCAGCTCCAAACATCCAAGTCACAGTTGCAGTTAAATGAAGAATATCATAATAAGATCACAACAAATTTAGAAAAGTCAATTGAAGAATTGAAATTGCAGCATAAACAAGAATTAACTCAAATGGAAATGTTACATAAAGCAAAATTGATGGATTTGGAGCATCAAATACAGAAGCAGCGGGAAAGAACACTTGCACTTCTGGATGAAAAAGATAAAGAAATATGTTTATTAAAATCATCTTTTTTGTCTTCTTTTATTAAAAAAGTAAGTTTTTCATATATTAATTATACTGAGCGGCTTGGAATTTTCCTATGCTTATCTTTATTTCGATGTAAAAAAAGAAATACAATATTACACAAATTGTCTTTTATTCATATTGATTCTACATTCATTTTTAAATATGCCTGTATTATTTATGACCTTAAAATCAAATCTTATCACTTATGATAAAATATGCAAACTTTTTATTATTTTAGGAGAAAGATGCAAAAATTTTTGGAATTATTTAAAATTTTCTGTATACTTTTGATAATTCACATTTTTTTTAACCAAATGCTTTTCATAGACAAAATATATTAAAAATCTGATGTTCTCTCAATCTGTAAGGTTTCTTTAACTTGAAATATTTATGATTTTTCCCCAAAAGTTACTGAAATATTTTCTTTGTATTTTTTTCTCAGTAATCCCAAATCAAATATTATCCTGAAATCATGAAGGTTATGTCCAAACCCTTCAATGCACCATACTTAAAAATGCAAATTGTAGTTGTGTGGTTTTACTGATCAATTAGTCATCTTCTATTAACTGTTTCTTTGGAGTACTTAAAGATATATTCTAAATGAAATTTATTATAGAGATGATATTTATATTTTTATTTGGAATAAAGCAAAAGAGTTGTTTGCCATTTCACATTTATACGCTATATTTTGTTATATTTAATATATTTCCTTTAAAGATATCAGAAGATATCTTGAGGAAGTATTTACATAAAAAATTTTATACACTACTTCTAAGAAAATTTATGATTAAAATATTTCTTTTCTTTTTAAATTTTAACTATGTTTTGACAGTTTTAAGGATTAAAATAATTATCATTTATATATGCAAAAATATATGCTGGAAATACATAAAAGCATATTTTTATTGAAATAATTTTTCAAAAGTCTGCTGTAAAAATTTGTGATTGTTTAATTTTTTCAGTCTTTACTTTTGACAAATATTGCTATACACTGGTGTGCAAAAATTAAGGATGAGACGGTTTTTTCAATATAACTTTGTACAAAAGCTTTCCAAATCAACACATTTAATACCGTAAGATCCCCAATACGTAAGGACATGAGTAATGTAAGCAACACTTACTAAAAGAGAAATCAGAGGGATAAAATGAAGCTTTATTGAAAAAGTAGCATGGAGCGCAATACGACTGAAGGCCGAAACATCCCTGTGATGGGTGTCCAGCAAGAAACATCCGGTCTTTAATAGGGGATATGATCTCCCCTGACTGCTAGGCAGGTTTCACAGCGTCTGCCTATGCTGAGAATGAGGGTGTAAATGAGTTGTTGAGGCATTGCTGCCCATTCGTCTTGCAGCGCCAATCGAAGCTCCGGATCGTTACTGGTGGTAAGGTACGAGCTGCCAAGCGTCTGCCTAGAAAATCCCACACATGCTCAATGGAATTGAGATCCAGAGATCGTGTACCGGCCAATCCATACATTCAATATTCTCACTCTCTAAGAGGTGTTCGGCAGCTACTGTGCGATGACATGGTGCATTGTCGTCCATGAAAAGGAACTGCGGACCCATAGCGCCTCTAAAAAGACGCACATATGGAAGAAGAATCTCGTTACAATAACGGATCCCATTGACTGAACCTGCGTCGAAGATGTGAAGGTCTGTATGACTACCAAGCATGATGCCTCCCCAAACGAGAACACCGCCACCTCCATACCTGTCCCTTTCAATGATGTTCAAGGGATGATTGTGGCTTCCCCGCTCTCTCCAGATGAGTATGCGATGAGAATCGCTACTCAGACTGAATCTGCTCTCACCTGTAAAGAGTACTCGTCCCCATTCATTGTCTCTCCAATTCCGGTGTTCCCGGCACCACAGAGAACGCCTTCTCCAATGGGCAGGCGTTAGAGGTACACACCGTACAGGGCGTCGTGCAAACAGACCACCAACGTGCAGTCTTCTGGCCAGGGTAAAACGCGATATCGGTCGTCCAGTCGCCTGTGTTGTGTGTCTAGCGATTTCTCCCGCTGTCTGCCGCCTGTTTCTTTTGGCCTGTAAAGCAATATCCCGGTTATCTGCGGGTGTGGTTCCTCATGGACGACCACTACTAAACCCCCGGATAGCTGTTACTGTAGTTTGAAATTGTCTCCAAAGTCGTGAAACGATGCTGTGAGCAATTCCGAACTCTGCAGCCACACTTGTCACACTGCGGCCTTCCTCCGACTTCCCAATGATTCGACCTCGGGTAAAAGCATCCAGATGTCATCTAACAGATTGATTATTCGCCATTTCTTGCTGAGGCAGCAACTCGGTGTGATTTTAACTGCTATAAGGGGTGCAATCTCTTTGCCAGAAATACTGATCTTACACCGACAACATGCTTTATACTACTCAGACACTCCCCCATTACGTCTACCTGCATATCTGCGCATGTGCTACCATACATCACCTTACATAATCTCTTGATTGGTCTTTCTGTCTGCTCTGCCTCTTCGTTCAGCTGATATGCTAATTTTTCGACTTCGTCCTTAATTTTTGCACACCAGTGTATATTGACAATGATCACGTTTTAGAAAAGAAAAAATATTATATGTGAATTTGCATTATAAAGCATATGGCCCTCAAAATTAAAAGTTAACTGTACAATATGATATTATTTTTTATTTGTTATGATTGGAAGTTAATGTGTATTATTTTTACAAGGCACAAATATTGTTGCATCATTTACTATCTTAAGCACTGTGAATTGTATTTTTACATAAATTTATTACTCTTCAGGATAAGTGTGCTGAAAGTAACACAGCATATGGTACTGATGCACCAGCATCTGATCAAGAAGCTGCAGCTAATCTTCTCTCAAATTCTCTCATATCAAGCAAAAAAGATGGCCACATACTACATTACATACAAGAATTGTCAAGAAAAGATATAGAAATATCAAACCTACGCCATGCTCGAGTCCAGACTGAAACTACTTTGCGAAAATTACAACAAGATTCTGCTATTCTAGAAGAAAAATATTCTCAAGAAATCGAAGAGCTTAAATCAAGAATAAAGCTCTTAGAAAGTAGTCAAGATAAAGATGGAACTAATGTTGAGTACCTGAAAAACGTAGTGCTCAGGTTTTTAAAATGTAATGATCCAAAGAGCCGACGCCACATGGTTAATGCCATTGCGACAATACTTCACTTTACTAGCAGTGAAGTTAAAGATGTTAAAGCTTCTATTAAGGCACTGAAATGAAAACATAAATTTTGTATAAAAAAATTATATATGTGTATGTATATATCTTTGATAGAAGTCTTGTAATATTTTCCCCCAAGGTTTTGAGTGAAATGCTATAATAGAGAAATGAAAATATGTAAATATATATATGTATTAATATTAAATTGTAGTAAGCTCGCCTAAAAGTTACCAAGAGCTGCTGCTCCAAAAAGTTCAACATGTTTTAAAAAAAAATTAATACATATGAAAATCAAACCATTAAACATGCAAAACATTAAAAAAACAGAATCAGATAAAAAGGTAAGCGGAAAATGGTAAATTAGCCCAATTCGACTTCCAAACTGGCTTTTCAAGGGAAATTTAATTTATTTGAACGTCGAATCAAGCTAACCCCATTACGCGTTTCGCCAAAACAGACAATTGAAACTTTTTCCGCTACATAATTTTTTTTTAATTTGACAAAGTGTCTTGGAAATTTTAATAGTCTCAATTCTCTATGTATTAATATTTTTATAGAATTGTAAAATATAATTGTTAGTGTAATTATTATTGTATTTTTATTATAAATAAAGCAATTTTGTCATTTTTATTTCCTTTGACATTATATTGTATAAAGATGAAGTATCAATCAACTGTTATTACTTTATTATCAAAAGAGTTTAGCATTTTCCAAATAATTCAATTCCTTGATCATTTTCTACATAATTATTATTCAGTTAAACTAGTTTAAAATATATTAATACCTACAAACTATAATTAAGTCATTCAGAATTGATGGAATAAAATTTTAATAAAATTCATGCTTTTGCAAGCGTAAAGCAATTTATATTGCAGAATAATATTCATATATTGAAATTAAAAAATTATCTGTGTAAAAGTTTTTAAGATTAAGTTTTTGTAATTTTTTATTTAAATAAAGTATTATTTTACTTTTCATGTAAAATATAATATAATCTTTCAATTAAATAAAACATAATATTCCTGTATTAAAATTTTGTTGTTTTGAATTTATTTCGATTTTATACAATCACTAGTTCATAAACTCGAAACAATGACAAAGTTTTGAGTTATTTAGATAATTTTTTTAAATATATATAAGTAACAAAAAATTTAGAAACTGATGAAACTGAAGAAATGCAGAAATACTGATTAGGCAGCACATAGATAGCATAGAACATAGATACATATTGATGAGGAAGAATTCTAATTGCATAGAATGCTAGAATGTTGAATCCGTAATGACTAGGAAACTTAGCAGTCGATGGGGATTAAATTTCAATTGACATCTGTGGCCACAATTATTTACTTCTTTAATAGGCACTATTAAGAATATTTACATTTTTGATACTTTTGCGATGGGAAAAGAGCACAGTGAAATAGCATCCAAGGAGCAACAGAGGTAGAAGCGAAGTGTGCAATTATCTAGTATGGAAACTCACCAAGCGAAAGTTTTGGTTTAGGTTAGAAAGTTTCAGTTCTGAAAATTTTGTGTTCAAGTTCCATATTAGCTACGTCATCAGTTTTACACGAGCCATGCGACATACATTAAGCTAGAAATGGGTAGTCCAGAAAAATTATTATTATTTTTAAAAGAGAGTAAATACCCAAATTAAAAATGAGGAATTAAGAGGCTATAATTAAATTAAATTATAAAGCTGATTTATATATATTTTATATTACATATGCACTTTTTCCATCGCAACAATATCAAAAATGTTAGTATGCTTGAATAAGCACTATTAGAGTGCCAAGTACACTGTGGCCACAGACATCAATTGAAACAAAATAAAATTTAATCTGTCTCAACTGCTAAGTTCCCTAGTCATTACGGATTCAACATTTTAGCATTCTATGCAATCAGAATGTTTCTCCTTCAATATGGATCTATGTTCTATACTATGTAATAAGTATTTCTGCGTCTCTGTGTTTCTACATCAGTACTTCTAAATTTGTTTTCATCACATATATCTTAAAATTAAGTTGTAATAAGTAGGTTTTTCAGAAAAACAAGAAAGTACTTATAATTAAAAACAAAACACTACTCCTAATTAGAGTAGACATCTTAACACTACTTCATATGTACGTTCTGCCATTTTTCAGACACAAACTATATTAATTGTTTCTTTAACCATGGCACCATCAGCCACCAAGGAGGGATGATCAACCTGCGGTAAAAGTTTACAATTGGGTGCCCCTTGTTTTTGGCAATTCTTTTTTGACGCCAAGATCGGTGCCAGAAAGGCACAATTTCAAGATGGCCGCTACACAAAACCAAAATAAGAAGTCAAAGAACTGCACAAACTCTGTGTCTTTGTATGCATCGATCTGTTTCCACTTAAAAAAAAAAAAAACATCCCAGAATTGCACAAACTAGGCATTGCGCACTGCCTTAAATTTATCCATGTACACATCAATCTATTTTCATTTAAAAAAAAATCATGAAACTAAAAGAAAGTTAAAACTATCGTAGTAACCAGAAATGAGGTTTCATCGCCAAAATTTTCAAAAAAATTGTCACTAATCGAAGGGGTACCCAATTCTACACTACAATAGAGCCCAAACTGGTTTCCATCAGAGATGATGAGAGTTTATTCTATCGCAGTAGCTTTGTATTGGTGAGTAGTGTCATGAATTAAAACATTGCTCACATTAAGAATGTTGTATCATTTGTTCTGAATTGCACAATATAATTCCTTAAGAGTCTGGCAGTATACGAATTTTTATATTAAATGGTTTACTAGAAAAATCATCTGGTTCCAAAACAGAGAGCATGTGACTTCCCAAGTAGAAAACTTTGTTTCACTTTTATCTGATGATGAAGTAAACTTCCACTACGTGGACTTTGTTTAGAATTCAGCTGTCATGTAAGACAAAGAGTTTTATCTCCAGTGCTCAAAGAATCACTACCATCCCCTTACTACCATATAGAAAACTCCTAATATCCTACCCTTCATTTCATTTTGTGCGTTACTAGGAATTTCATATCTAGTGTGCTCATAATTTCTGATATTCAATTTCTGCTGTATAATTTTATGAAGTAAATATAAATCCTGCAGAAAATGCAGAGAAAATCACATCATAGTGAATTGGATGTTCTTTTAAAACTTTCTCATTAACACATTGCATGAAATCATCAGTTACTAAAGATGGTTACCTGCTCTGATTATTACTTATATTAGCATAATTGCCAACCTTGAAGTATAAAAAATATGAGTTTTGGAACGTTTGCACTGTACAGCAGTACCATTTCAAAAGAACTCCAATAATTAAATTCACTTTACAGTGCATGATTCAAATTATTCATCTATTTATAATATAATTTTGATGTAAAATATATTAATATTTAATTAGATATTCTAATTTTTTTCCCTTTGGCTAATTTCATTTTATAATTTTCTCTCACTTGTAAACTGGAAAAATCCTGAGTAGGGAAGGAAATTGAATTTATTGAAGTACTTTTAAACACAAGGAAAATCAAATTAATAATTAATATAACTACAATTGTGTGGATAAATTTAGTAATTGTATCATGTATTGATGTAAACAAAATAATATATATATACTAATGAAATATTGGTTGAATCGCTGTAAAAAATTCTAAAGATGTCTGCAGTTTATTGAGATAATTCAGATCAAAGAAAATTGAATAAAAAAAAAATTTGCAAAAAATCACTACGGGTAAGGGCATGAAATCTGTTCAATTTGAATATCTTTAATTCAATAAATTTCATTCATGGCTGAAAAATACTTTCCTTTGTAAAGACTAAAAATTAAAAGTGAGAAATTCTATCATTTATTGGGAGATGTAATGAAAAATTAAGAGAGTTAGTAGCTATGTATTGTTCATTTTAAAGCCTTGCCTATCTTCAAAACCATTGAATTACTTATTGCATGATCTTCATAAATTCTGTTAGTTTGGCATTGACTTTCATCTAGTTTAATATTTATTGTGTAACTGAATTTCATATGTGACGAATGATTTGATTTTCTTAGGCAGTAAATAAATATGCACCAAAAAGTGTACATACTAGTATCTGAAAATGGCATTAACATCTTGACATCCAATCAATAAGCTTAGTAAATATGTGCATCTGTCATCATAGAATTGTAGTGACAATATATTATTTATTTATGACAATATTTAAAATAAATTATTTCTCTCCCAATTTTGAGCGTATATTTTATACAACCAGTAACTTTTATAACTACTACTATATTTAGTGTATAATTACTAAATACTTATTTTCTTAGTTTTTAAGCAAACTTTTATTTAAGAAAAAATTGTAGCTAAGTTTAATGAATACTCTGTGTTCAATTAAAACACTACAATTACCATTCTGAATGAGTTTCTAATGGATACTTAAGTCTTAACCATGCATAAGGGATAAAATTACCAAACATATTTCATGAACTTTCAACTGTTGATACTGATTACAAATAAAAAAACTGCTGGCTTAGTAACCACACTAACATAAGTAAAGTAATACTAAGGTATTGAGAAAATGATGCAGCAATGCTTTTTATTATTTACAACAGTCTTCATTAAAGCTCAAGTTTACTGGACCAGCTTCTAACTGAATGTTTTTACTAAGTACCAGTTTATCAGTAAAAAAGCTCGGAGTTGCAGCTTAATGATAAGAAGATAAAACTTTATAAAAGGAGAAGGAAATCATTTGTTGACAAATGACCCATGACATTTTGTTGTTTATAATTTGTTCTCGCACTCTATGTAAGAACAAGTTATAAACAAAATGTCTTTAATCATTTTGCTTTTCCTCAAATTTTATTTTTATATATCTACTAACTGATAAAGCATGCATATAGTACACCTTTTACTCTGGAAGTTCATTTTACTCATTATTTCAGCTAATTTATTCTTTAAAAAAAAGCTATTATTTTGGATTTAGCTTATGTTTTTGGTATTGATTAGGAAAATACAACTCTATTCAAGTACAGGAGGGATCTCGCACCTGCTAGTTATCCTGGTGTGTACACCGTTCCACGTTCGTCCCCGTCGAAGCAAAACAAACAAGCCGCTATTGCCACCTTCAGTAAACTTCCTGCGTTTAATGTCATATTTTCTCTTATTTATTTATTTTTTTTTCTTCATTTCTTAACACATTTATTATATTTTCACACAGTTAAAAACCTGTCATTATTTTTCTAAGAAATTGAGGAGGAAGAGCGTTGCAGTATACCATTAGATGGCGGAAAATAATGAAAACGTTCTGTTCGCCTTGTTTTTCACGGCACTGTTACACTTTGTGAAAGATTTCTAATATTATCTAGCGCCTTAGGATATTAACTCTAAGACTATCGATTAATCCAGAATATGCAATAAGCTTCTGAAACACCATGTTCTCCTTGCAGCTTGTCATAAATTGTAACACGCCATAGTAAGGAGGCCAAAGTCAGGCTTAAAATAGAATATCACCCTAATCAACCTAATTGGCATGACTCTTATGAAAATGTATATATATATATATCTATATATTATAATATAGATATATAACAAAATTTTACAGTTGCATTTGTCTCTTCTGGTTTTGATTTTATCAGAATAAGTTGTTTTTGAAGATTCACATTTAGAATTCGGGAAGTGGCATCATTTTATTAAAATTAGTTTGTTGTCCTCTTCATAGAAGTTTCGAATTTTAAGTGCCCTTGGAAAAAAATTGGGAAGTTTAACAGTAGTTTTGTTTCTATTAAGATTCAGATATGTTAGTTCGATCTGGATCGCGACTTATTCCAAACTTCTCATCATTTAAAGGTGTACGAACCTTAAATTGCGGTTCGCAGCTGACAAAAGTGAACTATGGTAAGAACCGTAATATTTTGTAATTTTTAATGCGTATTAATGTACCTCTGTCGTAAATAATGTTATATATTTTTAAAAGAACCGAATGCCAACTTTTCATTTATTTGAGGGTGGAAATTTTTAGTGCGTATGGTCCTGATTTTATATACGGTACTTACTGGAAAATAAAACCACTTTTTCTGCTATACTTTTGCCTATTGGTGACTGATATGATTAGGTATTGTGTACTAATCGTTGATAGGCCGTTCTTGGCGCCATAGCAAACGGAGCTGTTATTTTAAGAAAATTCTGAATGAAAGAGTGGAGGGGAAAAAAAAAAAAAAAACTTAAGATCTATCCCTCAAATCCTGCAAGACAAAACAAATTTTAAAATAAAAGTATAGATTTTTATTTATTTTTAATTTATCCGATAATGTGAGGAGAGTCTTATCTTCGAATAAATGTAATAATTTGGTAGAAGCAACTTAAACAACTTACATTAAAAGAAATGTTTATTAAAGTAAACAAATAAATATTAAGCTTTTTCTTTTTGTAAATTTTGATACCCTTTAGATCATAACTGTTCTTTATTTCATAAATTACGGTTTCATATTTTTAATTTTGTAATTTCTGCATGCCATCTTACCAGATTTAAACTGATGATCTATAATCCAGAAAAATCGATAATCCGGAATCGCTGAAGTCCCGACGAGTCCGGATTAACGACTTTTGACTGTACAAACTTCCATGCCTTCCTTGGGATTCAAATCTGGATCCTGCTGTATGGCAGTCAATGTCAGTAACCACTATCCCATCTGGGTGGCATAAAAGTAGCAAACTTGGTGACTATTTTTTTTAATCAAGCTAATGTACAAGAGGCAACAGCTGCATTCAAAAGGGCAGTGCACTAGGAATTCTATAAAAATCCAGCAATTAATCAATAAAATTGAAAAAGTAAGAAACATCGGTAAAAAAACTCTTTTACCTTTTTGTTTTTATGCTGTTGTTCTCCTCATGTACACAGTGATCTGTTTCATACTTACATTATACATGAAGAAATCAACTATGCTGTGTACCTGTTCACAGGGGTTTGAACTTAATTTGAAATACCAAATTTTGTTGGTTTTATCTAGTAGACTATTAGTGGATGCTTTTATATTTGGTGTAACACTTGGATTTGATAATGAACACAAACTTATAGGGCTAATCTTTGGAATATGGTAACAGGTAGTTTGGTGACATTTTAGTAAGGCGATAAAGGTTACTTGCTAGGACTTTAGCAGTGTACATGGATAAAGTTAAGAGTGGGCACAAGGCCATTTTTGTGCAACTCTGGGATATTTTTTTAAGTGAAAATAGGTTGACATGTACATGGATGATACTGTGTATGTGCAATTCTTAAAAACACGGCAAGCAGTTTGCGATTCTGCACTTTCTAACAATTTCGCACCTAATCTTCGTCATGATTAAGCACTTTTGTTCCATAAAAGTTCTAGCATAAGCATAATTCAGCTAGCAGATTGTTGGAAAAAAATGTTGAGTAAAAGAGAAAAAAAAAACATGCCTTTACTTCGTGAAAACAAAATGGCGTCCAAACAAAAACTAGCAGGTTGCTGTAGCAGGGTTGGTCACCAAATTTTCGCCAAAAATCGCCAAGTGACCGTAATCCAAAGATTAACCACTTATAGTTCTGAAAAACTAAGCTCATGAAGTATTGGAGAAATTTGACCAAGTAAATCAAGATGACATAAAGTTGGGGAGTTTTTAGCATAAAAAATTTAAGGCTCTACTTTGATATGCACACTAATATCACCAAATGTGGCAATATGTGTTCTGTGCTGGTTTTTGGCACGATTGCATGTTGTATGGCAACCCTGTTGATGTTGAAAAATCTTTTGCTGGACTAGTTTAATTGCTCGTTGGTTCATGTTGTGCGTGTTTTGAAATGGCCTATGTTGCAATGAGAGACGTGGTGGGAAGATTTCAGTTGCGTATTTTAGATTGTGTGCAAAGGAAATTTAGCATTAAAAGGTATGATGTTGGAGTTGTTAACAAGTCTGCTATGTATAATGCTGTGTGTCTGAGAAGATAGGAGGGAAAGATAAAATGGTGAAAGTTGATGAATCTAAGTTCGGCAAAAGGAAATATCATCATGGTCATCCTGTTGAGGGGCAGTGGATATTTGGAGGTGTGGAAAGAGGGTCTGGAAGATTATTTTTAGTGGTTGTGCATGATAGAAGTAGGGAAACACTGATGCAATGTATTAAAGAGTGGATTGAGCCTGGTACAATTATTTTTTTGATGGATGGAAATCTTACAAGGATTTAGGAAAAGAAGATTTTGAACATTTATTTGTGAACCATAGTATGAATTTTCCGGATAGTGTGTCTGGCTGTCATATAAATAGGATAGTGATTACATGGAGCATGTTAAAGGCAGTATGAAATTGGTATTTATGCTGTTCGAAAAAGCATTCATTCATGGTAAGTACATTTTATTTTATTCTTGTTCTTATTTTGTTTTTATTTTATTCTTGTTCTTATTAGTCCAAAGGGATTTGAATCCCGAAGGACTATTAGTTTCGTTTTGGCATTTTGCGTCGGACGGATAAATGTCGGTTCACTTTTCAAACTGTTGCCATAAAATGTTAGAGTCCTGCATTATATTTGAAGAAATTAAATAATGAAAATCTGCATAAATGTATGTATATTTCTCACATTGTCATAAAATAACGGTGCATAGAGTCATCGAATTTTGAATAACGTAATCCTCTAACGAATATGAGCATGTGGAAGACCAAATTTGAAATTTGTTTTAGGATCGATTTCCTATTTTTTAAAACTTTGACGAATTTTTGATTAACAAACTCAAGGATTTCAAAGCGAGCAATGGCAACATTGTGCAGAAAAAACATTTTTATCTCCAGCGCGTGAGTCTCTGTATCGGAAATTCTAAAGATATGCTCGTTTTAAAACTATTTTGCGATATTGCTGTTGCACTGGATCTTATGGTTTAAGTGCGAGGAACGAGGAACATGATATTTAATAAAGAAAGGTAACACACAAAATGTTAAAAAACGCCCCTTTGGACGTAATTTAAAATCTGAAACATTTCAGATTTTTTTTTTATTTTATTTTATTTTATTCTTGTTCTTATTTTGTTTTTATTTTATTCTTGTTCTTATTTATGTTATGTTCATTGTTGTTTTAGTATGAATTTCTGTTGTTATTGTTTTTTTTAATTGTTTGAAATTTATTTTAGTTAATTTTGTTGATTAGTGCATAGTGCCTAGAATGTGCAATTTGTATATGTTTTTTAAAGTTGAAACAGAATGCTGTGTACATTGTATTCTTTGAAATTTATTGTTGTTATGTTAATTTATTAAAGTGAGGTGTGCGTAGTTCTTAGATTCATTCATTGCCTAGATTGTGCAATTCATAGATTTTTTTTTAAAGTTAAAACATATCGCTGTGTTCATGGATTCTTGTCAAATATTTTTGGTTAGAAACTTGACATTTTTGCTATCTAAATTTTTTGTTTGGGATTTTACCTTAAATTGTGTGTTCAAAACGTGGTTTTTGCATTTGCGAAAACCGTGTTTTTGGAGACATTTTAGGTTGATCTTTACATTATGGTAACTTGGCGTTTTTTAGGCGAAAATTTGGCAACCAACTCTCCTATTTTTTTTTCCCGCCGCCATTTTGTCTTCACGAAGTAAAGACATGTTTCTTTTCTTTTTATCTACTGAACACTTCTTCCAACAATCTACTAGCCGAATTACACTTATGCTAGAAATTTTATCTAACAAAACTGCTTAATCATGACAAATATTCACTGCAAAATTGGGAAAAAGTGCACAATACCATACTCCTTACGCGTTTTTCAAAATAACACATACACATAAACCATGTACACGCCGACTTATTTTTACTTAAAAAAACATCCCAGAATTGCACAAAAATGGCATTGCGCACACTCTTCACTATATCCATGTACACTGCTTTTTTTCTCATAAATTAGAAATTTCACGAAAATACATGACAATTTTCTCAATCTTTAAACCCGGTAAAAAGAACATATATGAAATTACCTGATCGCGAAAAAGTAATGAACATTTCCACATATAAAATAAATAAAATATCCAAAAACTTTTACCTCTAAATCATCTATTACATTATACACGTCACCAACGAATTCATACCGCAAGCATTACAAATACTTAGTATCAAATATTTAAATTATTTCCATGCACGTTTACTTCAACTTAAACGTGTACCAAATTCCTACAAACATAAAATTCACAAAATAACTATCATTTAATTAAAATATCACTAAACCATGTACACGTCGACTTATTTTTACTTAAAAAAACATCCCAGAATTGCACAAAAATAGCATTGCGCACACTCTTCACTATATCCATTTACACTGCTTTTTTCTCATAAATTAGAAAAATTTCACGAAAATACATGGCAATTTTCTCAATCTTTAAACCCGGTAAAAAGAACATATATGAAATTACCTGATCGCGAAAAAGAAAAAGTATGAACATTTCCACATATAAAATAAATAAAATATCCAAAAACTTTTACCTCTAAATCATCTATTACATTATACACGTCACCAACGAATTCATACCGCAACCATTACAAATACTTATTGTCAGATATTTAAATTATTTCCATGCACGTTTACTTCAACTAAACGTACGTATACCAAATTCCTACAAATAAAATTCACAAAATAACATCATTTAATTAAAATATAATTAAATTCAAAAACACTACTTAAAATATAAATGAGCACATACATTAAATTAATACATACATAAATACCCATTTCGAATTCACTTTAGTTACGGCCATGGGATCCAAAAATTCACGAACACTGTTTCACACAACACAGAATAAAGCCAAATACAAAATTTCCAGATTTTTTCCCCGATTTCCCCCCTTTTCCGATTAAAGAACCGTAATTCGTCCATTAATATCACATGACATATCCCATGATCTCTCATTTCCCTCACACAAAATATTGCGTAATCGGAACTGAGTACTGCTCACATTATTACCAAAGTGCCAGGTAGTAACCTTTATCGCCTCCAAAATGTCGCCAAACTACCAGTTACCATATTGTAAAGATCAACGACATTTTAAAGTTCGAAATGTACACAAAAAATTTAGATAGTAATATGGCAGCGGGGAGGTTTGGTGAGAAATTTGGTGACCTGAGGGCACATATAAGAGTAGTTCCAAATTTAATATTTTTATTTATTAATTCCTGTGTCTTTTTAATTGTATATATGTATACATGCAAATCTTCATACAAAATTAAGAAAGCTGTAGTTCATTATGAAATAATATAGCAGTATTTAATAGTATCTTGTCTGTATCATTATAATTAGTTGAAAGATTCAAGAGTTATAAATGCTGTAAGCAAAGATGTAATGTTCTGTTTGCAGTTCTGTTTATAAATACTGTGAGCAAAGATGTAATATTCTGTTTGCAGTTCTATTTCAGTATTTGTAATTCATATAACATTTTCTGACATAGACTTTAGACTCTGTATTGGTATTAATGTACAAATCTGTAATATCTCCAAGTAAAGCTATTTAAATTTGTTTCCTCTCATTGTTTTTACAATAAGAGATAAATTATTTATTGTTGATTAATAATTTTTGTCTTACAATACTAAAGCGTTTTGAGGAGGATGACTAGACAAAATTGATGAAAACTAAATACTATATTACTTTTAAAAGGCAAAATTAGTAAGGAAATCTTAACAAAGTAATCTTAAAATATCTTGGCAAGGTAATCTTAGAAATAAAATGTCAACATAACTTTTGTAAGGTGATACCTCAAAATCCTGGGGTATCTTTTTTGTAAACTGTTTTACTTTCAGTCCAGGACACTCCAGAAAGTTGAATGCAGATACAACTGGCCCTTTCAAGTCCCATTGTTAAGTGCCTCTAGCCCATTCATGTTTCTAACTCCCCTTGTAATTGGAAACATGAATTCGCCATTTTTAAGGCTACATATGTACAAAAAGTCAATCCAATGAGAAAAGTATAAGAATATCATGGTATACTTTAGGGGTTTACTTGGTATAAAAGCTTAATCCTTCAGACCCTACTGGACTGCCAAGCGAGTCTTTACTGTAATCTAAATCAAAATGTCTTATATCAAGTCATATGTAGTTTAAAATGACCTTTTTATTAACTCTTGAAATTTAATAGAAGGCACTACAATGGCTAAAGCGAGAATAAACTTTGGCAGAACTGGCGATAGGATAAGAACTGCAAGCGAATCTGTCAGAAGCTACCCTCATTTAAACCCTCAGCTTAAATACTCTACAGCTACTTCGAATTATGGTGAAAAAGGAGTTTTAAATCATAACTGGTCAGTTAAAACAACGTTATATGAGATGAGACTGACCATGTCAACTATTGAACAAAAGTGATAGACTAATTTCTCCATTTGGTTGTAACATCATAGTTTATAGTTTACTATAAATTTAATCCATTTATGTACTTTTGTTTCTAAAGTTTTGTTATGTTTACATGGCAACCTTTGATTAAAGTTATTAGTAATTGCAACCACATGCCAACATGCTTAGCAATTCAACAGGTGTTCCTCACTGTAATCTAATTTAGTAATTCTAACATGAAAATTAATTTCTCTTTTATTATTCTGTAATGTTGAGAAATCAATGAAGGAGATGCAGGTTGATCAAAATATCAATAAACAGTTTTAAAAAATTCTCCCAGAATTCTAAATTGTATGTGGTTTTTCTTAATTTCACAGAGATGCAATTAGAGTTTGAGACCACTGAATTAGATTACAGTGTACTTTTGTAAATGCATGTACTAAATGAAGTATAATTACTTATCAATGTTTTTTTCAGATGCTAATATTAAAGACCAAAGAAGATTCTCAGCCAAAGCACAGGCAAAAACAAAAGAAACAAAACTTGTTCAGCAAATGAAAAGCAGAATCTCTGCTACTGGTCCAGTAACTGTTGCAGAATACATGAAAGAAGTGTGCATCAATCCAATGTCTGTAAGTGAATAGATTTGTATGTATAAAATTTAATTTGAATACTTATTTTATGTAACATTTTCAGAAACTATCAAGGTGCTAAAAGGTGTTGAGTTGCTATACTGCAGTTGATCTATCACTTTATGGGTAGTATAGTTAAAGCCTGTTAGATTTATTAATCTAAAGCCTATTTGTTACCTATTACATTTATACTTGTATATTATTGATTAGCAATGCTGTTCTTTCAGCTATAATGCATTTGGTGTTTTGCCAATCTAGAATTTCGTAAGATGTAAGGTGTGGCCATTATGCAGTTCCTCAAAGCGAAAGATGAGCCACCAGTAGATATTAAAAAAACTTTTTTGCTGTTTATTCACAAGAGGTATGATTGATATTCAAAGTGAACAAAGGAACAGTATGCCAATTTCACTCTCTGACAACCAAAACCAACCAAATGCTTGTAACATTTGTCTATAATTGACTATGAAATATTGAGTGTTGACAAAGCAAGGTTAACCAGAAATGCTGTTCCATATGCAAAAACTAGACTTTCTAAATAATATTCGGTACTTTTCCATTTCGTCGGCGCAAATCTCGCCAACCAGACTTTATTGGCGACAAAATACAGTATACACATAAAAAATGTTAATTCTTAAGAAATTTTTATTTTTAAGGCATAAACATTTTAAAATCGTTTAGAATTTTGTAAAAATCTTGTAAATAAAGACAATAAATTTGTAAAAAGACATTAATTTAAGAATTTACTATGCTTTTATGGTTCAACATCCTGATTCGCAGGTTCATATCATGTGACCCCAAGTGATCTCATCTCACGTAAACTGCGATACAAAAATCTAATTCTCTCAGTAATTATCTGCGTTAATTTCAAGTTAAATCTCAATTTGGAATTCAAGTTAAATGAAAGAATTATTTCAATTCGTACAAATAGCTTACTCAGAAATTATATAAAACCGCAGTGCTTTACTTCACTAGCGCATTCTCATTAGAATTGATGAATTTAACCCTTGACTTTGACTTTTCTATATTGTCGGCTTCGAGTGAGCACTGTGATTGTATTCTAATTGACTTAATTACCGCAAATGGCCTTAGGACATAAAATTGAAATATCTGGTAAAAATTCTATATAATTGTATGCCAGTAGTGAAAGAAACAATCTGATAAGAAATGGCTGTGAGTTGTTTTGAAATTGAGGCGTAAAAGGTTACTAGCAAGGACATTCCATTTGGCATCAGTTGTACCATTATTGGCGGCTTTATCACTTGTGCCGGCAAAACGGAAAAGTACCTAATATTCTTAGGCCAAAAAAATCCATTTTGGGCTGTTTGAATTAATAACTGTTTTTTTTTTTTTTTTTTTTTTTTTTTCTCCCTTCCTCTTTTCTCTTTGCCTTATGTGGATTTTCTATTTTTATTGGTATTATGAATTGAAATTTTATTTCAAATTGTATCAAAAGTCATAGATGTAAGAGCAGATGTCTTAGCAAGTGCAAAAAATTATGCATTTGAACGTATTACCAAAGAAGATTGTTGCAAGTATAAAATGAAACTAAATGTGATGAAACTATTTAAATTGATCTATAATATAGTTTTATATACGAATATAATAACCATATTTATCTGTTCAAAATTACTAAATAAGTTTATTGCTAAATAATTGTGTTATTTTGCTATTATTGATAAGAATTTAAATTAAGTTTCAAAATCTGTTTAAATTTACAGATGGTAAAGAGATCTCATATCGTGCACAAAATGCATACTTATAGCATGTCTGTGTGCGTGTAAAGATTTAACTGTAGATAACTTGATTTTAAAAGATAGCTTGAAACTGTTGCATAGATAGAATGATGGACTTGCAGACAAATGTGCTGAGCACACACATAATTTGTTCTTCAATCATACATCATTAATTTCTTAAGACATCTATTCTTGATTTTCACAATATCTTTGGGTGCTATAAGCACCCCACAATTTTGTGTACTTGTATCACATCTTTAGATAATAAATGAAAGCAGCAAAGTGATTAATTATGTACTTGCGAAGTTAGAAGGCGATGTTGCTAAATTAAAGTTAGAATGAAGAGGACTATTGCGCTGAGCCCACTACATAATTTATTCTTCATACATTCAATCATACATCATTAATTTCTTGGGACATCTATTCTTGATTTTCACAATACCTATGGGTGCTATAAGCACCCCACAATTTTGTGTATCTTTAGACAATAAATGAAAGCAACAAAATGATTAATTACGTACTTGCAAAGTTAGAAGGCGATGTTGCTAAATTAAAGTTAGTATTGAAAGGGACTATTGCTGAATTAAGTTTATAATTTGTTAGTAATTTTCTTTTATATTTTATATCTTACATTTATAAATTAGCAAAAAAGTTATTGCAAGTATACGAATGAAGCTAGTTAAACCATATAGAAAGTGAAACTTAAATTAGTTATATAGCAATGACTATATGTGTGAACTGTAGCTATAACAATATAAAAATACAGTCAAAAGTCGTTAATCCGGACTCGTCGGGACTTCGGCGTTTCCATATTATCGATTTTTCCGGATTATAGATCATCAGTTTAAATCTGGTAAGATGGCATGCAGAAATTATAAAATTAAAGATATGAAACCGTAATTTTGAAATAAACAATTATGTCTAAAGGGTATCAAAATTTACAAAAGATTTACAAAAAGAAAGCTTAATATTTCTTTTACTTTATTAAACATTTCTTCAATGTAAGTTGTTTAAGTGCTTCGTTTTATGTGATAATACTTCCTTTATCTCTAAACAGACATAATTTCTTCTTCAGTTATAAAGTTCCGCTGTTCAAGTCCTATAATTGCTGTGTCGAGAATACCGACTAATTTGTCAATCAAAATTTTTTCATTTTCAATAACCTCTGTGTCACTTTCTTCACTATCGGAAGCGAATTATAATGATGAGGAATTTGATTTAAATCATATCAAACACGGAGTACATCGAGATGAAAGTAACACGGAGTACATCGAGATGAAACATTTAGTAAGGAATTATAAGCCAAATGAAATAAAAACATCTGTCCTGAAGATAAGGATAGTGCTGGCAGATCAACTTTCAGTTCATTTGGAATGGTTAGAGAAACGAAGGATATGCCTTTATCCATTTTTGCAGCAATTCCACTTTTTGTTTAATGGACTTCGAAACATACTTTCGCTTTGTAGATCCTTTACATATTAGTAAATATATATCGGAAATTCAATTTTACATAATCGAAAGTTCAAGCTTACTTTGATAAAATTGCTCTAACAGTCTGCAAAAAAAATAATAAGCCGTATCCAATTCGAAGATTAAGGAACAACGCAATCTGCAACATTAACTGAATTAGATAATTTTAGCTTAGCTTATACCATCTGTTATACATTAAACGCACATGCGTAGACGTATTATGCACATGCGCACATGCATATTCGCAGCTGTAAAGGTCTTACGCACATGCGTCAACGCAACGCATGCATAGAAAGTTTGTAGCATTGAGGTCCGGATTATTGATCATTCCGGATTATGGGTGTCCGAATTAACGACTTTTGACTGTATTAGTATCTTATGCTGGGTGGTCAACTAAAAGGGTGTTGGATGATGATCCTCTTCACCCAGGATTTGGTGATTGGGTCCCCTAAAAAACTAGTCGCCCTTTAAAAGGAGGAGTATAAGGTATTTCTCCCACCTTCATGGTGTAACGGTTCTACACGCTGGATCGGTATTTCAGAGGTCCGTGGTTCGATTTTCAGCTAAGGCCATTGCATATTTTTTATCTTTCCTGCTTCCAAAAAAATCCTGATGCCCCTACAACCCTTTTATTTTATGATAAATAAGTAACAGATCTCACAGTCTTACGTACGTATAACTAAAACACCGTCCACTTGCGGTAAGAGCTTAAACAATAATAGTAAAAGGTAAGGTTGTAGTGCTACATTACACAATTTAATTCAGTCTAACAGGCTGAATCAGAAGCCTATATCGGCGATATACTAACTAGAAGGACAGAATGTGTAGCCACTGCTAAGATTAAGAACTGGAGTACAAAACAACAAACGTGAACTTCACTTGAAAAATCAACCTTTTTGTTTCAAAAATTTAAATATTCTCATTCATATTCTTAATTTGCATTGTGTCAAGGAAAAATAAGAGAATTCAGGAAAGGCTCAGAAATTAAAATAACTGTTAGTACAACTAAACAGGACTTACAGCATACAGTGAAGTTTTTGATTAATTTCATGAGTTGATTAATTTAACTTTGCTGCTCATTATTTCTCAAAGTTTTAGTTGTGTTGCAAAATAAAACAATAATTGCTTTATCTTTGCCTAATTTTTATTTAATGTTGTCTGTTTATTATTCAGTTTCATTCAATCATATCAAAATCTTCAAATGTATATACTATTTCATATTTTTTTTTTTTTAATTTATAATTATAGGGATATTACATGCATCGGGATGTCATCGGCAGCTCCGGAGTTATCAAATCTCCTGAAATTTTCCAGCTGTTTGGAGATGTGAGTATCATTCTCGTGATTTTCTTAAATGGATTATTCTATAAAAATGTAAAATTTTGGGAGAAGAAAAACTGTTGTTTTAATAGAATTATGTAACAATTTGAATTGTTCTGAACTTGAGAACTTACCATACTTTTAGAATACTGGTACTTGCTGAGATTGTGCAATGCTTTTTGGAAATTAAATTATTTTAAAAAATATTGGAAATTAAATTATTTTTAAAAATGCATAGACACGACTAGTTGAGTTATAGAAGTTTAATACACTAAATAATAAGCTTGCAATTTATCATATTTATTAATATGTTTATATAGTTCCCGAATAATTTATTTTTAACTGTTAGTTAAACTTTAACTTCTTGAAATACATTAATTTGCTGAGCTGCCAGCTCTACCCATTTAGGCGGAAGATTTCTGACAGTTCTACCGCCTACCTGATTTTCAACAGATTTCTGCCAACTTTTTCTTATTCTTAAAATTTCTCACGATTTTTGTGTATCTTGGCTTAATAATTCGTTATTTGTACCAAAAAAAAAGTCATTTTGTGCTTTGCTTTGTTTTTCTCTAAATAATATCTAAAAGAAAACAAAAGTCTTTTGGTCATTGAGAAATTATGGTGTGCTTCGTCTTTGTGAGTGAGAGCACATGTGATCAAAAATGTCGTATTCCAGTTCTCCAGATAGTATCGAGCGCCAATGCATGTCATGTGGCATATAGTATTAGCCAATGACCACAAACCAAGATCAAGGCCATTATTTCATTCACCTTGTCACTAAGCAGTATGGGTGCTCATGCTTTTGAGAAATACTTTAAGAAATTACAGTCTTTTGTTTTAGTTAGTCTGCGAAAAAGGTAAAATGCACATGAATTTTTCAAAAATCATACACAGTTGACTTTCCTTCTATTATTTCAAGGAAATGTAATACATTTGCAATGTGTAGCATTTGTCATTGCAATTGTTTTAATTTCTCTTTGTGGAAGGGCCGATGCTCTCAAACATATGCGTACAAGAAACACAAGGACGACATGAATTCTATTTAAAAAAAGAAACAAAAACTAAAAATTTTCTTTCAAAGGACCAAAAGTTATTAATGCCAAATGCATGTTCTCCGCCTTTTTGCTGGAGCACGACATACCAATTACCGCAATAATACACCAATAATACCACTGAATGCATCAGATCGTGTATTTAGAAAAATGTTTCCCAATAGTGAAATTGCTAAGAAATACTTAAGTGCAAGGACCAAAATGGATGCACTTGTTAAAAATATGGGTACAAAAAAATAAATCTTCAGTTATTAAGTGCATTAAAACAGTTCAATTCTGCCTGTGTATGGATGGAAGTAATAATACCGATTCAAAACTATATATATATATATTTTTTTTTTTTTTTTTTCCCTCCAGTGTTTCAGAAATTGAGTGTAGTTTACTTTCCGTCCCCACTTTAGAACCACATTCAACAGGCTTTAATATGGCGCAGTTAATAATTAAAACTTTAAAAGGAGATGCAATTCCTCTAGATAGTACAGTCAAAAGTCGTTAATCCGGACTCGTCGGGACTTCGGCGATTCCGGATTATCGATTTTTCCGGATTATAGATCATCAGTTTAAATTGCGTAGGATGGCATGCAGAAATTCTAAAATTAAAAATATGAAACCGTAATTTATAAAATAAGGAACAATTATGATCTAAAAGGTATCAAAATTTACAAAAAAAAAGCTTAATATTTATTTGTTTACTTTATTAAACATTTCTTTTAATGTAAGTTGTTTAATTTGCTTCGTTTTATGTGATAATACTTTCTCTTTAATTCTATAAACTGACATAATTTCTTGTTCAGTTACAAAGTTCCGCTGTTCAAGTCCCATAATTGCTGTGCCAAGAATACCGACTAACTTGTCAATCGAAATTTTTTCATTTTCACTAACATCTCTGTCACCTTCTTCATACCTTTATCCATTTTTTGCAGCAATTCCACTTTTTGTTTGATGGACATCGAAACATACTTTCGTTTTGTACGATCCTTTGGGAGCTCCAGAATCAAAAATTCTATTTGACATAATCGAAAGTTCAAGTTTACTTTTTTAGTATTGCTCTTACAGTCTGCAAAAAATAATAAGCCGGATCCGATTCGAAAATTAAGGAACAACGCAATCATCAACATTAACTGAAATAGATAATTATAGAATTTTAGCTTACACCATCCGTTATACATAAGACGCGCACGTGAAAACGTATTCTGCGCTTGCGCACACGCAAATGCGCAGTCGTAAGAGGTCTTACGCGCACGCGTAAATGCCTATGCGCATGTGTCAACGCGGAGCATGCGCAGAAAGTTTTTAGCTTTGAGGTCCGGATTATAGATCATTCCGAATTATGGGTGTCCGAATTAATGACTTTTGACTGTATTTGTTTATCACTTAATGCCAATAATGTCCCAATAATGGTAGGTTTGAAGACTGGTGTTGGAAGCATTTTAAAAAAGAAAACTTCAGATTTGTAAATTATGAGGCGCATCTGTCACCTCTTAAATTTAACCGCTGAAAACGGAGCAGCAACTTTACCAATAAGTGTGAATGAACACATTGTTGATATTTATTATTATCTTAAAGGAGTTCTAACAGAAAAAAAAAAAAAAAAGTTGAAACAATTTCAACAGCTGCATAATACTGAAATAAGGAAAAATTTTGAAATGTGTATGTACATGCTGGCTATCTTTAAAGAAATGTTTATCCTCTAGAATCCTTGATTAATGGAACCCATGTCTTGCATTTTTTAAAGAAGTAAATGCTCCTAGAGTTAAAATAAAAAAGTCTATTGAAAGTGTTTCCTCCATTTGGAATGGTGTCATGCTCAGTGGGAATGGACCATAACTGAATGGAACCAGGTATTTTCAGCAATGAATCATTATTCAGTTTGGACAGTGATCAAAGCCATGTGTACTTATAGAAGTCCCTTTGTGAATGCCTTAATTCTGCCTTTGTTTTACAGCAGCACACTGCTCCCACAGCTTGTAGCTTGGGTTATGTTAAGGAGTGCCATTGCTTATATTGATCCACGACCCAGTGGTACTTTCAGCCACATGTTACCACTAATGGCAGGGCTTCCAGGAGGCATTTTTAAGCAGTGTTCAGCAATATACAGCACTAGAATGCATGTGCTTCTGACCCTGTCACTAGAATGCCTCTGCCTCATTACCATCCTTCTGTGGCCTGCCTGATCCAGATTCGTCACTGATCAGACATGTCTGGGATCACTTGGGAGGCCAAATTGGACAACCTAGGAAAAACTACAGGTACACAACAGGCAGGCCCCATTAACTGCCTGTATTATATTGGGTATTTACACTAGCCATCTCTTAACAGGGTATTAGAACCTCCATTCATTTGTTTTTTCTATAGTAAATGATCCTTTTGCTTTTATTTTGTAATCATATACTTATTTCAATTTTTCATTCATATATATGTTAAATTATTCTGTTAACTTTTTCTTGATATGAAAATTTTTATGGCAATGAATGTATAAATATCTGTTCTTTTACAGAAATATAGTAGTTATTTACAATATTCCCATTTCTCTTTTAGGTTATTGCTGAGTGGTGCTTAAATGAATGGATCAGAGCCGGGAAACCAAAACCATGGTATATAGTAGAAATAGGACCAAACAGAGGTGCATTATCAGATGAACTGTTAAGGGTAATTTTAATTGCAGAAACTTATTTTTAAACAAATTGAGTTAGTGCCTTTTATAGCTGTCAAATGTTTGTCAGATACAGTAGCCTGTTTATATTGCACGATGAGCAGCCATGCAGTGTTTAACGTGCACGATATTGGATTTGAACTGTTCTCTGATATTTTCTGAAGTGAAAAAAGATCACTGTGTACATGGTGCAAACAGTCTCTCCAGGTATACAGAAATCTGTTTTCACTTCAAGAAACATTAGAGATTTGCACACATTAGACATTACATATATTATGAGATACATTATATTACAATTTAATTTTTTTCCCTGTGAAGTTTTAAATAAGGTTAGGGTTGCCACCATGTAGCTAGATTTTGCTCCTCTGTTCTTGTTGACACTAAGTGGCACCTACATGAACAGACCTTAAACTTCCCTCTTGTAACTCTATGATGCATATGAGTTAAATTTTTAATTACTGATGCGAATGTCGGCTTAAGAGATTTACTAATTTTAGGTGCAATATTTATTACTGTGCGACCTATTAATGACCTTATAATAAATGGAATATTTTTTTAAATTCTTCTTGCTACTCTAATTTATAATATGTTCAACGAATATTTATGTAAATAATGTACTAGTTAGAAAATGGTTTATCTATTTGAATTCAAGGGGAAAAAAAGGAACAGGGGAAAAAAAAAAATGTTTTCACTTCCAAAGTCTCCTTTTTCCAATACTTCTTTTTACTTCAAGAATTTCATCAGATTAGAATTACTGTAGTGAAGCTTTTATTGATGAGCAAAATCTCAGACCTTGTTACATTTAAAACAGAAGAAAAGAAATCAACCATCATAGAGTTAAAAAAAAGTACTGTTGATTTTTGTTATTTATTTTAAATTTGTTCATATTATTAAACTTCCAACTTTTCATTCAAATAATAAATTTGCTTCGTATTTTTTAAGAGTGACTCATGATAACCTTAAAATTTAATTTTTTAAAAAATATTTATGATCTAGTGTATCATTTTAAATGTCTTATTTAGTTCATTTTGATGTCTTTCGCCACAAAGAAACCACAAGATGTCTATTCGTAACCCTGTAAGTTAAAAAAATAAACCAACTACAGTCTCAAAGCTTCAGATTACAATTACAATATATGTACTAGTTGAAGAATTAATCCCCAGAAATTCAACATTTTATATCCTGTTGATTGTATATTGAACTTTTTGACTAGTAGGCTTTAACACAAGTCTTCAATTGCAATGTCACAGAGGCAGTGATAGAAATGTTTTTTAAATGCACACTGTTGCAGTCTGGCAAAATTTGGGTGTTCATGTATTTTAGTATATTTTTTAAAATTCAAGATACATAATATAAAATTAGGTTTTTAAAACAAGTTACTCAAAATAACAATGTCAGATAGTAGTGAAGAAATATATGTGATATTATTCCATCACTGGCAATATACCTATTCTTTGTATACAAGAGGAAAAAAAAAAGAAAACCTTTTCCATACATAAGTATTAAGAGTTCATCACTGACGTATTAAAGAAAAAAGTTACATTCTTGTTACAATGGCCACCATTCTTAGTTTCCAAACCTGGTAAATATAATCGGCCAGTCTATAATGTGTAAATATATTCGCATTCAAATGCTATAGACATTGCACGGGAATAAATGGTTACCACCTTCTTTTTCGTCTTAATGCTTCTATTCTCTTGGACTACATCCTAACATGATCCATCAATTTTATGCTCCAATCAGGCACTATTTCACCTGAGCTGATGGCATCGCGCGGTAAATCAACGATACTTCACTACCGGTACTGTGTAAATATACAATATCACCAAGACATAATGTGGTGGCTACTTTAGCAAGGAAATACAAAAAAAAAAAAATATATATATATATTATATATTACTGCGAAGAAAATGATGTATAAATTCTTAGTATTCTATGTGGTGTACACTACATTGAATAACACTACTGTTTAACCAAAAAAAGTCATGTATTTCAATGGGATAGAAGAAAGGGTGAATGTAGGAAAATTATTAAGCTGGGAAACTATTACATGTTGTAAATTAATAACATATTGCAAATAAATAACATTTATTGCTTTATATGAGTTACACTACATTAAAAACTATTATTTAGTCCCTTCCTCAACCCCCCCCCTAAAAAAAAAGTAATTTGCTTCTTTGCTGAATTGTACTGCTGCTGAAAATATGAAAGTTTGAGATCTTTAAATGTTTCACCAGTGTGTATCATTTCTATTTGCCCATTAAAAAATGGTTTAACTTTTTGTAAAACTTTTTCTATGAAAATTTGGTACCATTGTTTTTATCATCTCAATTTTCTCTCTGCATACTCCTTATAGATGCAAACTAAAAGATAAGGAGAATAAATAATGAAAACTAGCAGAAATAAACTTATTGCAAGTTACAGCAAAGTAACATTTGGAAATTATGCTAATAATGCAGACCTGGACCTGATGGTCATCATAGAAGCATTGCCAGAGTACTGCATTATCATATTTATAGTGCAAATAGATGGTAGCACAAATTATAATAATTGTATTTTAAAGAGCTGCTGATGTTTATTGCATAGCATTACTAATGGAAGTATGAGAATGTTTTAAAACAAATAAAATAAATAAAAGATTTTACACACACATATGTTTTATTTTTTATTTCTTATTTTATTCATTCAAAATGAACCTGTGTAAAATTGGTTAGTGATTTAAGAACTAAGATACATAATTTAAGATGTCTGCAGTTATATTCCTAGTAAATGTTAAATCTATAAATGAATTGCCAAGTGTACTTGGATCATTACGTGGCACCATATTGAGATTACATTGATGTTTTATAAAATCAAATCCTTTTCATTTCGTTTAATGTCTACATTGAAATCTCCCATTATAATAATAGGAACATCTGTAGCTACAGTAAACTCTTCATCAATCAATAAAGTAGGCTCAGAATATTTCATCTATGCACTATAAACAAGAACATCTTCAAATCTCCTAAATTAACAGTTGGATGAATGTGTATGGATGCTAGAATAAATCTTGACTGTCTATTTACAATTACTGTGAACCATACAAATATAGACTGCTTCTGAATCTTGTATTCTCTTATGCTGCTTAACAGTAAATTCTATTGGTACACAGCCTGACTACATTCATCAAATTTCTATGAATCGCAAGACCATTAGCTTCCCAAAATAAAATAAAATACAGCAAAACCCACTTGAACACACTGAGGACATTGCCACTCATAATGTGGTCGTGCATTCACTTTGTCCAGTCAATCATATTTTTTCCATATTTGTTAATTTGCTCTTTCTTCTATGTAATGACATATTTAAATTGATTTTAACACTTGTAGTTTTGAAGATACAGTCAAAAGTCGTTAATTCGGACACCCATATAATCCGGAATGATCTATAATCCGGACCTCAAAGCTAAAAACTTTCTGCGCATGCGGCGCATTGACACATGCGCATAGGTGTTTACGCGTGTGCGTAAGACCTTTACGACTGTGCTTGTGCACAAGCGCAAAATACGTTTTTGCGTGCGCGTTTAATGTATGACGGTATAAGCTAAAATTATCTAATTATCTATTTCAGTTAATGTTGATGATTGCGTTGTTCCTTAATCTTCGAACTGGATCTGGCTTATTACATTTTTCAGATTGTAAGAGCAATTTTATAAAAGTAAACTTGAACTTTTGATTATGTCAAATAGAATTTTGCATGCTGGAGCTCCCAAAAGATCTACAAAATGAAAGTATGTTTCAATGTCCATCAAACAAAAAGTGGAATTGCTGCAAAAAATGGATAAAGGTATGAAGAAGGTGACAGAGATGTTAGTGAAAATGAAAAAATTTCGATTGACAAGTTAGTCGGTATTCTTGGCACAGCAATTATGGGACTTGAACAGCGGAACTTTGTAACTGAACAAGAAATTATGTCAGTTTATAGAATTAAAGAGAAAGTATTATCACATAAAAAGAAGCAACTTAAACAGCTTACATTGAAAGAAATGTTAATAAAGTAAACAAATAAATATTAAGCCTTTTTTTTTTTTTTTTTTTTTTTTTTTGTGTGTGTGTGTGTGTGTGTGTGTAAATTTTGATACCCTTTAGATCATAATTGTTCTTTATTTCATAAATTACAGTTTCATATTTTTAATTTTAGAATTTCTGCATGCCATTTTACGAGATTTAAACTGATGATCTATAATCCGAAGTCGCGACGAGTCCGGATTAACGACTTTTGACTGTATAAGCATGCACACCTCAAATAGTGTCTTAATTTTTGTTTTCCTCATCAGACCATTACAGAGGAATGTAATCATACATGCATACGTTAAAAAAAATCTGTATGGGAAATGCTGCAGCATGATTTCAGAAACATGATTTATAGATGATTAATGTAATGAAATGGTAGTTCAAGAAGCAGTTATAGAGTTCTTGAAAATTTGTGAATGTGCTAATATAATTTTCATTTGAGCAGCTCATAATTTTATTTTTAGTTGTACATTACAAAGACTTATGTTAACTAAAAATGTTAATTTTACTTAATTGCTGCATTTCACTGTAATAATGTACTTTAATTTTTTTTTAATTAATGATTTTAAGCTGTTGAATGTGGATATAAAAAACGAAAAACATTGCTTTTGAAAGTGGAAATGTTAAGTGGGAACACTTCTAATCAGTGCACCATGCATGGTAACATCATCTCCACCCCCTCCTCAGAAGGTCTTTCAATCTTTCTAGTGTCTGAAGATTACAGTATATTCATTTAAAATTTCTTTGACTTTCGATTGAATCTCATCAGTACTTAAAATTGTGGGACAACGAACAGTGAAGAATTAAATCTTTTGATTTAAATGTATCACGTCATAAATATATAATTTAAATCAAAAGATTTAATTCTTCACTATTCATTCTTCACGTTCCCATCATTGTTAGCAAATGCGTTATATATAAAAAAATGGTCTGATTTCTTAAAAATTGCTCAAATTTGTTAAATTAAGTTACAATTTAACTTTTTTTAGTTTTTTTTGGGGGGGGGGGAATTTTAGCTAGTACCTTTCTAAATAAGTCATAAAATGAAATCTTAGAAGATGCATTTTGCAAGTGCACTGGGAAAATTGTAATATTTAATAATGTTTCTCTTTATAAGTTTTTTTTTTTTTAATATAATAAACAAATTCAGATGATATTTTGAGCTGTTTTAGTAATAATTGCATCTACAGCTCATCTTGTAGCTCTCCTGGAATGATCAAACAAAATCAATCCTAAAACTGTTAAGATAAGTTACATAATTCATAGCAATTTATATACATACATTGTTTGTAATTTTTTTTTTTTTTAGGTATTTTCTCAAAATAATGATGCGAGGGAAGTTGTTTCCTTGCATCTTGTTGAAGTCAGCCCTCATTTGAGCCAGCTTCAGGAGCTGAAACTTTGTGGTACAGTTAGCGTCGTGAAAGATGTGTTGGAAGCTGATGACTCGAGGCGACATTTGCATTTGCACACAAACCATGACAATGATGAGATGATGTACAAACATAATATTACTAAACATGGTGTTCCTGTTTCATGGTATCGCAATCTGGAGGATGTGCCAGAGGGATTTTCATGCGTAGTCGCATATGAGTTGTTTGATGCTTTTCCAATCCACAAACTTCAGGTTAGTTTGATTATTCACATTAATAAGGTTTTAACTTGTCTTTATAGCTTGAGGCAAATTTTTTAAAGTAAACCGGTGGTTATACAGGGTTGTCTAACAGCATCTTATCGTTGTAGTACAACCTGTAGCAATGTAATCTCTATGTCGATTACTTTTAAGCTCGCTTTTGAATCTGTAATTTATATTCCTTTTGAAAGGAATATCTAGAATAACAAAAATTTGAAATAAAAAATTAATTCAAATGTCTATAAAAAATATGATACTGAAAGTAATATTTTAAAAATCTCTTTTTCCCCCCTCCTGTTAATTAATATTTACATTTTATTTTTTTATGTCAGGATCCCATAACTTAGAAAATAATCTACTCCTTGCTGTTCTGTAAATGGTAGGTTCAAAATTTTAATAATTTTTTTTTCAAAATTCAAATTAAGAATACGGCAATAACAGTTGATTTATAAAAATAAAATATGGCTTATCAAGAATCTGTTGGGTTACATCAAATAAGGGCACATATGGCTGACTGTGTTGTTATGTTACGCTTATTCATAACTGGTGCTGAATCACAGTGCTTGCCAACAGTTTTATGATTGGCAGCAATACTTAAGTATGGGCAAACCTGTATTTTGTTTTAAAACAGTAAGTAAAAGTAAATTCTCTTTTATCATGTAATAAAAACCAGTATATGTTTCTCTCATTATTAAATTTCTTTACTGATGTAATTTGCTAATTTTAAAGTGCTTTGAATTTCATCAATGCATTTTTATGAATGTTTGAAAATGCAAGATCTGCAACATTATTGATGTAATTAATTTCAAAATTTTAATACTGAAAGAAGTTAGAGTAAGTCGTTGCTAAAATTTTAATGTATAGAATGGAAGCAGAGAAAGTACTTTGTATACAGGGAATCCTAAAATTAGTAAATACTTTTTTAAAAATTTACTTTAGTGACTATGGAAACAAAGTTAATACAGAAATGTATAAATTCATATTTGTCCTTTTTTTTCTTTCCCTCTTTTATGTATATATATATATATTCACTAGATTAGTGAATGAAATTTCCTGTGGGAAATTTCAAGAGCCATAACTTATCAACTGTTTAAGTGATTGAATTGTTATTGCCTTAACATTATCCTTTATTGTTTATTGAGAATCACGATGACCTGTTAATGATGTAAAATAAGAAGTGAAATTTTATTGTAAACTCTCCACATGAAAGTCTTACTTTTTTCATTATTGCATTCAAAGAAGGGAAAATATAAACATGAGCTGAGACTTTCTAATCAAAAATTTCAATAATAGATCTGGAGCTGAAAAGATATAAATGCTCATAGTGTGTCTTTGAGATGGAGCTTGATAGGTTTTTCATACCTTGTTATGCAGTTGAAACTTTCAACAGAAATTCAGTTCCAAATTAAATCCAGTAAATGATGGACAAAGAATCATTCTGACGTGAATGCATAATTGAGAATAGTGTCATAAACCTGATATCACAGTGAAAATATTTTGAACAAATTTTTGTGATTTTTTTTTTTTTTTTTTCCCTTAAAGTAATTTAGGATTTGTCTGACTCGTGCAGGGATGGGACAAATCCTAAATTTTTCAAATCTGAAGAGAAGTTCTTGAATCCATCATACAAGAATAATGATAACAAGAAAAAGAGAAAACTTTTATGCAATTAAGGCATTCAGATCTGTATTTATTGAAAAGCAAACAATAAGTACACAGTTTATAAAAATGTTTTATCTGGAACCTACAAATGAAGTACACAATTGAAACTTCTGGATCTTGAAATTCATTTTCCCAGCATATTTTCCCAAAATATATTTTAATAACAGTTCATATTTTTTTACATTGTTTACGTAGAAGGGGGAGGATTATTCCAAAATTTAACACATATAAATGCTAAATAGCACTCGAACAAGGTAATATTGGTGTTTCAAATCTACTGAAATTATATCTCCCCCCCCTTTTTTAACATCAACACTTCTGATTGGACATCAGTAAACTAATCTTTCCAAAGTTTTAAATTAAAATGTTTAAAATTATTTTTTAATTAGAATTTGAAAGATTTGAATGGCAAAGCCTGTTAATTTGAATTTTCAAACTGGAATCGGTACTTTTCTGTTTTGCCAGCGCAGGCGTTAAAGTCGCCAATAATGGTACAGTTGATGCCAAACATAATATCCTCGCTGGTAACCTCTTATGCCTCATTTTCAAAACAATTTGCAGCCATTTCTATCAGATTAGTTGTTTCTTTCAATACTGGCATACAATTAATTGCGTAGAATTTTTACAAGATAGTTAAATTTTATGCCATAAGGCCATTCATGTTAATGAAGTCAATTAGGATGCAATCACACTGCTCACCCGAAGGCGAAAATAAAATATAGAAAAGGCAAAGTCAAGCGTTAAATTCATCAATTCTAATGAGAAGGCACTAGCGAAGTAAAGCACTAGGGTTTTACAACACTTCTGAGTAAGCTATTCGTACAAATTAAAATAATTCTTGCATTTAAACTTGTATTCCAAATTAAAATTTAACTTGAAATTAATGTAGATAATTACTGAGAGAATTAGATTTATGTAGTGTAGTTTACATAAGATCAGATCACTTGGGGTCACATGATATGAAAAGATGTTGTTGAACCATGAAAGCATAGTAAATTCTTAAATTAATATCTTTTTACAGATTTATTGTCTTTATATATTGGTTTTTTGCAAAATTTTAAAGGATATTAAAATGTTTATGCCTTCAAAATAGAAAAAGTGCTTAGAACTGACATTTATTGATCTTTATATGTATACTGTATGTTATCGCCAATAAAGTCTGCTTGGTGAGATTTGCGCCGGCGAAATGGAAAAGTACCCTGGAATCTTTTACAGTTAGAAAAAATGGTACTTTTATGATTTAGGAAAAAAGAAGTAAAAATATTTCTTTCTTGAGAGTTGTTTGTCTACCCCCTTTAAGTCACCCACGTGTTACTGGGAATATGCATGTCACAGTTTGAGAACCATTGCATTTGCAGTATTCTTGACTTCAGTTTGAAAACCATTGTCTTAGCATTATTCTCAGCTTGATGTTCTTAAAGATAGAAATTGCTAAATTTTGTGACATTCACACAGAATAGTGCATCACATTGCTTTACTTCTCTTGTCACTTTCAGTTTTTTGCAGAAAGTATAGTATTAATCTGTTGCTTGTTATCCAGACCCATGAATGGGTATTCAGATCTCTGGGCTAATGATTTTTGTTTATGGGTTGACTGATGTCAAAATACAGAGAGATTATCTTAGCATCGGTGGCCATCTTAAAAAGTGCCATCTTGTGGCACATGTCAGTAATCATCACACGAAAGCTAATTAATGGAGTTTATAATTCTTAGTTCATTTTCAGGCAGTGCGTAGGTGTATATTATTTTTTGGTCAGTTATTTTGCCGCATATGAAACCATATTAATTGGAAATCATTCTAATTTAAAAAAACTGTTCTGTGTGTTTTTATGCTTTCTATGTAAATTAAAAAAATTAGAATAGTCAAATTTCCCCAGGATTTATGCATTTTTTTGTTATTGGCTTTGTTATTTCTGTATTAATTGGAATGTCACTGGAGTATAAATTTTTAAATATTACTAGCTTTTTGATTACCCTGTATGTGATGCTGTATTTTCCAGTTTTCTTCATAGACATTATAGATAAATAATTGTTAATGTTTTTAATTGCAACACTTATGTTTCAGTGTTATGCCAAGGATGAACATTTACATGAAATAATAGAAATATTGTTCTGATGTACTAATTTGGTTCTGATGATTAATTTCTTTTCATTGGTGAAATGTAAAGAAAACAAATGAAGGCTGGAGGGAAGTGCTGATCGACTTAGACGAGGGACCGGGTGAACATCATCTGCGTTACGTTCTTTCACGTGGGCCGACGCCGGCCAGTCAGTTTTTCATAGACGTGAGTGTTTTGTGCTAGTGCTGGTTAACTTCTAATTTGCATGCAGGAGTGATGGTTCTTTTCTTTCCATTTAGTTTGGTAAATTAGAGAGTAGGAATATATATGCCAAATTGTGTTTTTACATGATAAAATCTTCTGGGAAAGGCTATGAGAAAAGTTAACTGGTTCATATAAAAAAATAGGAAGCTAATTATAAATAACTGCTTTCTTTAAAAAATAAATTACATAAAAAATTTTACTTGACTATTAATTTATAATTATGTGCTTAGCTAAATAAGCGTCTGTGTATTGAACCTTATATTAAAATATCTAAATGATATATTAAAATTTAGACACTAAAACAAAGACATTTCCATAAATCAATACTGATTGTGTATTTCAAATAAAAATTTGAGTTAAAAATCTGTATTCTGTTTGATAGTAATAAAGGTGATTTAAATAAAGGTTCTTTCAATAATGAATTATATTGATCCTGTTATTCAGTTCACTTTTGAAATTGGGACATCCATTTCTCATCTGTTCCGTAGTATCTTGGTCACACACAACATGCCCAACTTCAATACTACTGCTTACTGCAAACCTTCATCTGTTTGCCTTCAGCCACACTCCAAATCATGTCATTCGACTAAACAGAAGTTAGCTTCATTTTATTCCTTCGTTTTTTGTGCACTTCAAGTTTGCTCATCAAAATCGGCACTTGATCAAGAACTAAATTAATTAAAAGCACTTGCTATTGACAGAGTCTTTTCACCTAACATTATTGACCAAGCAGTTAAAACATTCTGTTCTTAACACATCAAAAAGCCCCTTCTTGTTTTTGGAGATAATAATAATTCTGTTGCCTTTCCTTTCTTTCGATTCATTAGCTATAAAATTGCATGTATTTTACAAAAATTTAGCTTTTGGGTCATTTTCTCTTCTGTTAATAAAATCTGGAGTTCCTTACTTAAGGACCCCTATTCCTGAAATGAACTCCTTGGATATGTACAGGATTCCTTCCCAATGTAGTTTAATTTACATTGATGAAACTAAGAGAGTTTTAAAGTTTCACGCTAAGGAACATGTGGCATATGCATAGAGGTGTTTCACATTCATTAACATCTTTCAGTCCTAGTTAATGATCCCAATTCCACTCCGTGTGTACCCTCAGCTTTTGAGGAAATTATTTTGTAATTGTCATCAATTTTTGTCAATGGATGGCATCAATAGCTTGATTTCCTTCCTCTCATTCTTATTGCCTTATCATTGGCATCTGGTTCATTACTTGCACTTCTTCAGCTGAAGAAGGAGGTCCTATATTTAAACCTTTAACAATAGTCCTGCAAATTTATGAATATTATGCTGATTCTTCTTGCTTTAAAACCTTCAATAATATGTTAAATAAGTCATGTATTATGATCTTTTAGTTTTGCTCAGATGGTGTGTATCAAAAATAGAAAGTGATGTTTTACCAGAGACATTATATATGGAAAACCTTTAATTATAATTGATGTCGGAAATATAATAATTGCAGAAATTGTACTTGTAATAATTGTAATAATTGTAGGTTGAACAGCATGATGTGCTCATGAATCACTATTTACTCACTATATACAGTACCCTATGCAATGTGTGTATTTTGAGATTGCACATTGCATTTAGTAGAAGGAGAGCTATTGTGACCACTTTTATATTTGAATAGCCAGTCTCTGTGCTATCCTTTTTGTTATTATCTTTACTCCTGATTCATTAGCTAAATTCTGCAGTTTTTTTATTCTTTAATATGGCCAGGCTGTACAGGCCAACTTGCCTTTTATTATTATTATTATTATTATTATTATTATTATTTCCACACCCTTGCCATCAAAACTATCCAATCTCCAATCCATGGACCTGCATTCTTCTCTCTTTGATTTTTGCTTCCTTTGTTTTCCAAACTCACCTATCCTCCTCCTATGTGTCCTCCGTCAAAATTGGAAGAGACCTGTCTAGTAAGTTCAGTGTGGCCTATACCTGTAAAACCATTGGTGAAGTTTTAGTGTCCTGCCTACTTTTCTGCAAGACCATCTGCCCTCGCGTTACCATACTGAGTAAGAAAGAAATGGGCGTTTTCCCGAATCCAGTCCATTTTTTTCCCTCTTGAACGACATCAAAATCATGTAAAATTACAATTAGGTGTTTTATTTCCTGTAACTTAGTCTAAATTAACGTGAATTAATTGGCATATGCATGTCTGATTTGATTAAATATTTTTAAAAATATTAAGTGAAAATTTAGGAGAGATTCAAGTATTATTTAAAAAAAGTGAGATATGTTAAAATTTGAAAAAATAACATATTACTATATTATACATGTACTATTTAAATATATAAATGTAGATTTAGAACATATATTTATTAAGTTTTATCATATATCTATCTGGCTGATAAAAAGAAAGTGTTTTAATTTCTTTTATAACTATGAAATGTTCATGCTATTAATGCATATTATTTTTTTTAAAAATTTTCTTGTGTAATATTGCATTTTAAATGACGAGCATTCTGCAGCCTTCTGTGTGATTATATTTAAGAATACTTCTGTTCAAAAAACCAAATGATTAATCTTTCCTGATATGTATTAAGAATATTCTTAACATTGATTCTGGAAAAAAATAAATAAATAAATAAAATAAAAATAAAAATGCAAATCATGCATGTTCTATCATTCCACCAGTACAGAAAGTTAATTTAAATTTATAAAATGCTGTTGCTGAACCTGATACAAAATAAAAATTTTGTAAGTTTAGACTTTAACTAATTAGGATAAAATTGTTTTCATGTGTTTTTATTTAATTTGCATTTTATTTTATTATTGTGTGTTATTATTTAACTGCATTTCAGTTTATTTTGATTTTATTTCTTTGCTTGTTCTTTGTTGCACCAATACATATCTATTATGACAATGTTGTATGTCACAGCACATTTTTTCCAAAATTCAGTATAATTGATTTCTTTAATGTTAAAGCAATAATATAATAAATAGATTTTCTACATGCATCTTTGTGAAACAGTGAAATTATTATTTGCACCATTGGACAGATGAAAATAGTCTTCCAAATGAAGTTTGTTCGAAATCAATAATAATTTTTTTTAAACCTCCTGAAATCTTCCATCAATAGGATGTTACAGTGAGAGATTTTTAATTTGAAATTATTAAAAAGAAATTTAAATGGTTTGAATGTAAGCCTGCTACATCACATCGATTACAGTGCCTAGAAAGGAAAGTTTTCTGTGTTTTAGAAAGAGTGTTAAAGGATATATGTTAAAAAATTTTTTCTCTTGTAAATTATACAGTAATAATTAAATGTGCTAAAAAATAAAACGGGACTTCTTACTCAGAAATTCCTTGAAAGTTGAGGAAGATAACATTTTTTGTAATTTCAGATGTCAGGGGAAATCTTAAGTCCAGAAAGCATTAAAAAAAGTCCTCTCAAATTATTAAAAAGAAATTCTTCATTTTTTTCCCTTGCTCAAAGTGTTCTACTTACCTATCATTTCCTCTGTAACCATTATCTATCTTTTCTGCCTGTTAGTGGGCCATAAAAACCTAAGCATACTTATTCTTTCTCTTTCTGTAAAAGTGTTATTTATTGCCTCTCAAAATAAGTAGTGTAGTTTAATCCTTTGTGGCACACTGAAAAATTTCCTTTTGTATGCACAGAAAAATTGAATGAAAAAAGATTTATAGGTTACCCTGAACCTTCTTCATTTAAAGTAGATGGCAGCTGAGCACAAACCTGTCCATATATTTTAGCCATGTTTATAGTTTTTTAAGACCCTCATTTTTCAAAAAAATTGTCCAGATTTTTTTTTAGGGTACAAAAGGAATTGTTTGAAAAGAAATTTCTGTGTTATTTTTTTTTTTGGCTGTATGCTAATCTCCTTATTCTGTATTAGTCTTAAATTTTTACCTTGAAATCTTGCTTAAAATCGAGCGGCGAACCTCATGTGTTCCCAGACCGGGCTCACTGAGAAGCTAAGACAACTGACAGACAGTATTCTTTGTTTCTCCGCATCTCATTGGTCAGTTCATTGACTACAGAAAGGTGGGTTCACATCTGTGTTTTATTTCCTGTTTTTCTCTTTCTTCTTTTCTCTCTCTTTTTTTTTGGGGGGGGGGGGGTAACGAAGGAGATTTGGTTATCAACTAACAAATTGTTGGGGTGATTTTCTGAAGGTCAAGGGCAATTTTATCAGTTAGCTGTTTGGTTTTTCACTAGAGAAGTTCTCTTTTTCTCTTTCACTTTCGTTCAAAGTTTGTCTAGCGCTATGTTTAATAGTTTTGACTTGTAGACGTTTATTTAATTTTATTTTATAGTTTATCATTTCTAATTGTAGATATAATATTAGTTTATTTTTTCTGATTTTTAATTATTTTCCAAACATCCGTTTGGAGAGGGCTGACCCTTTCTAAAGCACTGAAATTGCTACACGAATTGCTTTCAGATAATGAATCTGATACGGATCCCGGTACATGTGCAAAAAATGCAATATTGAGTTGTGCTTTTTCACAGGTGATGTCACTTTCTTCGAAAAGTACCACCATGAAAAAAATAGACTAAAGTGTAAATATGAAATGTAAATAATGTAAATATCATATACCCAAGTTACTTTTTTTTCTCATTCATACGCATGTAATCATCATATAACCAAAAAAGAGCTTTTTAGAGGGTGTAGAGAAGCAGATCTCCCCGTGGCACACCCAGGGTAATGCTAAATCTGCTACGTCATTCAAAATCTAGTATTTTTTAATTGCAGACAAAAACTCTTGCTCTTTGATGTGCTTCACAAGAATGCTCTTTTCAGCACTCTTTTCGAAGCTCTATTCAATCAGTGTGCCCGGTCCGAGCACACCCACAGAATTAAAACGATAAGTGCTATCTTCACAAAATTTTACTTGTGTACGCCTCTAGACCTAATTAGCCTGCCTACCTTTTTCCTTTTTTTAAATTTTTTTAATCAAAATTCCAACTTTAAAAAGTAGCATTCTGGAATGGGTTTAGTCATTACATTATATCACTGTGCATTATAATAAATAATTATATTTATTAAATACTTTTATCATTCTCATGATATTCCGAATTTGTCATTTTTATTTTGGAATATAATACCTGCATTATGAATGATGTACTGTTGTAAATTTCTTTTGCACAATTAATTTTTTTCACAGTATGATATTTCTTATTAAAAACCCTACCAATTTTTATGAATAGTTTAGATGATGTTTCCCATCTTTTTTAGTTGTTTCACTATATAAGAAGCAAGATAAATCAAATTTTTGCTGCTTTTTATTTTGTAGTTAGTTCATAAAATTATCAAGTTACTTACACTTAATTTTATAGCTACTTCTTATGTTTGAACTGGGAATGTCAGAAAAATTAAAAGCTGAATTTTAGTTGACCCTGAGGAATTCAGTTAACTGTCACTACAATGCATGGTCATATGTGACTGAAAATAATGTACCTCCAATTAATAATTTATTAGAAATTAATGGAATTTCAAAGAACAAAAGAAGGGATAGCTTAGTAGAAATGGCATATGTAAGAATGATTACATTCCATTCATTTAAATTTCTCTTTAACAATTTAAAACCCATCATGGTTAACAGCATCGTGATTTTGTTTTTCATTTTAGATATTTAACTAAAATTTGCTTAAAAAATGAACTTAAAAAAACTTTTCTTATGTGTATATTATTTGCTTTAGACCTCTGCTGTTTTCAGAATCAACAATTCAATGACAGCCTGCTTTGGAAAGAAGAAAAAACTTATGTAGTTTATTTTGAGCTTTCGTTACTCATCACCAATACAATAATAGATGAAGGTTAAGCCATTCTTTCTAAATTTTCAGGCTGGCGAAACAAGAACTAGTTTAGAAGTGAGTCCTGAGAGTGGAGTATTAATTCAAGAAATTGCAGCAAGAATTGAAAAGGAAGGTGGCTACTCATTATTGATAGATTATGGCCATGATGGAACGAAAACAGACACATTTAGGGTATGTAAAATGCTTTTATTTAGCTGGAGGTGGGGGCTGGGGAAGGCAATGGTAGACTGATTTGAAGACCAGTTTGTAATAAAGTTGTATAAGTACAAAAATCCAGGTAACCCGTTCTGCGATTCCAGACTGTCTGAAATTGCGTTCAAAAATTAAATATGTCCAAAAAACAATAATGAGATACAAAAGTTTTTTTTTTTTTTTTTTAAATAAAATGTGACTAATAAATTCAGTGTCTTTATTAGAAATAATTTTTAAGTATCCATAGCTACCAACTCGGCCAATTTTACAGAGAGACTCCCAGTTTTACTTCACATTTCCCGATCTCCCAGTAGATTACTGAACTTTTACTTTTAGCCATTACTAATTAAAAGTTTTTCAACTTAAATTAGATGAATTCCATTCCCCCACCTCTAAGGATTTCAAAAACAATTTTATTATTAAATTGTATTTCATTTGAACTGTATTTTTATTATATTTTATTGATATTTGGCTTATTAAATTTTTCTTGTTAAATTTCATTTGATCCTAGTTTAGTTTTCTTAATCTACTACAGACATTTGTAGATTTTTGTGTGAAGATTCAAGCAATGTTTAGTCAGTTACTGTTTGAATTTAATTTTGTTTACTTGAATATAAGGTACATTAGTTTATCTACACAAATACTATGTACACCTAGTCAAAAAAAAAAAAAAAAGGGAAGGGTAGCTCTGTATCTCTCAACGCTACTCGGCCATTTGATGAAATTCAACATGCCTTTTCCATGTCTTGAAAACGTGACTTAGGATAAATGTTAGATTTATGTATAGCTTTATATATATATATTAGATTTACATATGTATTTAAGTACAAAATCGATTTTTCTGAAATGACATGTCATTTTTGTTTACCATATTTCGATTCTGTGACTAAAATTATGTTTAAAAACTAAATTTTGTAAGATTTGTTGTGAAATTTATTCAGTAATTCAGAAATTCACCTTGTTGCACATTTTTTACTTTGCGCCAAGAATTATTCACATGGTGAACTTCTCAATTTATGGCAACCTCATTTTTTTCTTTCTTGTGTATCTTTTTACTTTATATTATATTTTTATCACAATTGTTATTTTTAGAATTTATTTTATTTTTTGATTTTATTTTAATTACATGAGTTGCATGGTTGAATTATAGATCTTCAAATAGTTAATTTAAAAATTCCTATTTATTCATTCATATTGCATACTGAAAGCCTGTTTATTCATATAATTTTTTTATTTGATTTTCTTTATTTGAATATCATTTTTGTTAGAAGAATACTTTGTCAGTCAGCATTCATCATGTCTTTGAAAACTGCATTCTTCATTAAAAGAGAAAATACCATAAAGCATGGTTAATACATCTTTCAATGGACCATTCAAAAAAGATATATAAATGAGAAAACCATATTATTTGCACTTTAATTTAGAATGATATACATACGTACAATTTTCCACTGTTTTATCACTGTGCCGTTGTAAGTTTAAATTTTTCATTTTTTCAATTGCAAAAATCAATTACTAAATTGACATACATAAAAAAGAAAAATTTTATGTAGATAAATACCTATTTTATTTAATTAATGCCTCAAATTTTTTTCGTTGTTGCTTATTTGCCCCAGGATACACAATCATCCTCCCTTTTTTATTTGCTCTATACCAAATGTTTGAAACAGCTTGTTTCCTATTGCATTCTAATTAGTAAATGTCGCTCTCCATTTCATTGGTAATTGATGAGAGTAACATTTAGAAGCCTCGTCTTTTGAAAGCATAATATGAAAGAAAAAAAGTAGCTTAATCAACACTGAAAACAGTTTTAGCTGATATCCATATTCTTTTTTGAATAAATTCACGAGTCTTCAATAAATTCAGCTGAGACATCTTTGTTTCTCCACTTATGATATGTTCAATGGCATAATTTAAACTCGTACAGCCCTTCAGTGAAAAAACAGTGGCCCTTTGCAATATTATTTCTGCTATCTTTTTCACTGGCATATAGGCCCATTCGCTGGAATATTTGGCTCAATGTATTGAGTGAGAAACCTCAGCAAATATGATTTAAACTTCCAGCTATTTCTGATCAAAAACGCAATTGTTTTGTTGCAATTTTCTGCAAACTGACGTTCTTCCTTCAAATTTATTTCTTTCAGAAACGTTTGCTTTCAATGTTGAAAAAATAATGTTCATTTTTTTTACAGTTGTATTTCTGTAAATTGTGTATTTTCATCATTTGTATTTAATATTTTTCTATTTGTATTAAGTCACTTAGTTGTATCTTTTAGATAGAATGCTTTTCATTTCCTAGACATTTTAACTGTGAATTAAGCTTAAAGTAAAATTCGGGGAGCGATAGTTGAGTTAAAATGTGCTTAAATAGTAGAAAGCATCTAACAAACAAACTTTTTAAATTATCTCTAATAATAAGAGGGAAAGCTAGCTACTTGAAATATTCTTTGTAAGAGGGTTAAAATAGAATTTATTTTTTACTAAATGAAGATATATGATTAAAGCCTTCAAACTCAAGTTTAATTTATAATGTTAAGTGCTTAGTTAGAAACTGTGGTATAGGTACATTGAGCATATGATATACATATTTAAGGAAAAAGTGGTTAATCAGTGTATGTAGTCATATTTCTATTCTGTTTCTGTAAGCCAAAATTGAAGGAACACATCCCTCAAGAAACGAATATTAAAAATTTGGCTTTCAACCAGTATCAGTTTTGAATTATGTTTCAATATTTGCTTATACCTTCGAATTTCTAGCTGGAGAAACATTCTAACTGAAGTTCAAGTACTGGAATTTTCAATGTATATTCACAGTATCTCAATTAAGTAATTGGGATGCCCCCCCCCTTTTTTTTTTTTTTTTTTTTTTTTTTTTTTTTTTTCTAGGTAGAAACTTTACAGAGCACTTTTATCTAAACCAGGGATTATAACATAAGTATAATACAAATAATTGCATAACAATTAGACTTGAATACAAATTTTGAAAAAAAAAAAAAAGAATTTAGATTTATCTTTTATTATTTTTAATTTTATAAATATATATATATATTTTCAGAATCAAAACTATATATTTCACAAAAGTTTGATCTTAATTAATGTAATGACTGTGCTTGATGTAGTTTTTTTAACATTTGGTATAAAATTACTCAATTTTTAAATTGCCGTGTTCAAAAAGTATTCAACCTGTTTCTTATTTCCCATAGTAAATTATTGTTTGACTAAAGCCTATCTTTTAGTAGTAAAAAGAGGGAAAGTCAATAATTGGTTTGGTAGTAATTGTTATTTTAAGATATTTCTTTCAGATGACTTTTGAATGCCAAAATTTAGCATACCATTATGTTTTCAATAACACTTGTGCTTGAGCATACTGCTTGAGTGCAACTAGCTTCTCTTATATCATAATATTGAGATTCATGTATCGTGATTCAGAGTTTCTATAAGGCATTTTAAATTGTCAGGTCTCAGAAGCAAACATTAAAATCTTTTAGTACAATACTTCCCTTATATACGTCATGTTGATATTGAGTCATTTTCTCAACTGAGCAATTAGTTAAACCTAAGACCATTTTAACTGTACCTGCTTTGAAGGGGAGCTCAAATAACTTTAAATGTTGTGTGAATAATTTTAATATAATGTAAATTTCATTTTTAAGCACTGTATTTGTGTGTAATTTTAAATTAATTTTCATGGATCATGGCCGCTCATTACGAAGGGTAACTTCAAATGCCTATGGTATTTCTCAGGGTTCGTAGCGATCCTTACAAGTGCTTATAAGTCCTTATATTTGAAAATAAAATATAAAGGCCCTTATAAGTGCTTACTTTTTCTTTAAAGCCCTTTTTTTTTTTTTTTTTTTTTAGTGCTTATTTTTTGCTTTTAGTGCTTTTTTTAATGAACGCGCTATTTCCCCCGTACCAAAGCCGAAACTAAATAAACAACTTTTCTTCCTTACATGGAACGTCAGATGGTGAATCATACTCCCGGAAATAGCTTTTCCCCCTTTCTCTGCATTAACGTAACCTATGGTACGCACGAGAGTACAGACAGGTTTACGTCGTTCTATTGGTCAAAGAATTGCGAAAACCGTAGAAATTCGGGTACATTTGGTATTCTTTTCCTCCCACCCAAATACTACACATGTTTGAATTTCTATCAAGATTTTAATAATTTACATTCTCGTTCTGCGTGGTCAGTTCATATTCGTGTTTATTATGATCGTTATGCTTATATTGTGAGCATATGTATGAATATTTACAATATACTAGTTGCAGTAGCTACTGAAGTGTAGATAAACTTCCAAAAATGGGTTTATTTCTACACAGATTAGCTTTCTAAGGAATAATATTCGGAATGACTTAAATAAAATGAAAGTAATCAAATAGTCAGAATATTTTTTTTTCCAATACATTATACAGTACGGAGGTTGGGAGGTTCTCCCCTTTCTCCGCAAAATCTCTAATACTGAAGCAATGGACTTTTTTTTTTGTTGTTGTTACTGTCCAATCTGGATTGAATAGGACTAAAAGTTTTGCGATCTACCCAACCCAAGCGAAGAATGATTCTATTCCGGAAATTTAACGGTCTGTTCAAAATTAGAATCAAAAACACCCCAGATTAGTAAGTCTCTTTCTTTTCCTTTATTTAGTTCTTTATTGTCCGAATACCAGCAGCTGTTGATTCCGATTGCGTAATATTACGCCGCACGTATTGCGCAATAATGTTTGCGGTATTTTGCAGAGATAATTAATTTTGATGTTCAGTCTGAGATTTATTTATGAACACTTAAAAGAGTTTTACTGTTCTTTCTAAGCAGAATATTTCTCAGTTTTGTTGGTCTACTTTTATATGAAGCACATATCGGAATGTCAAAATCATTTATTTAGCCGAGCAATCTAAAAAACGGCTACTATCTCCCCTCCTCCTCTTTTTCCAGTTACGCTCGACTATACGGAATATTTTGGCAATTTCCGAGTATGCAGGTTAGTTAAGCTTTTACTGTTAAAGGATGACTGCATGAAGCAATTTCCCCTCTCCTGATTTCAGAAATGTTCCTCTTTTTTACTTAAATTACTTTGCTTGGAATATATGTTAAGGAAAAACAGTTATGCAATGAAAATTTAGAAAATTTTCAGAATTTTGATTAAAGTTAAATTCTTTAAATATTAATATAAGAGGAAAAATAAATTGTATTTATTATTAGGTGCCAAGCAAATACAATTAATATGGCTTATTATTATTTATTTTCTATATTTTGAACTGAAATTTCATCATTAAATCTTGTAATATAGTTTAGTTCTGCATAGTTTTTTTTCCTGTCATTGTAAACGAATTCTGTAAATTGAACTGTCATTTAAAATTTAAAAAAAAAAAGTTAATTGTTTTTCATGGTTGAGGTAATGCTTATTCTTTTAATAAATATTGCATTGGTCATATTTTGAATTGCAAGTCTAATTTTTCTTTTAAGGTTATGCAGTTGTGTATAATGTAATTAGACAGGTGCTTATTTTTTTTTCTTAAAATGTGCTTGAAAAGTGCTTATAGGTGCTTATTTTTTTAACTAAAATGAAATGTGGCTATGAACCCTGATTTCTGTTTAATAAAATACAGAAGATAGTTTGTAAATTTAAAACCTATAACAGTGTTTTTAACTCGTGGTTACAAAATATCTGCCGTGTCATATTTTCTGGACCACTGAATTAAACCACAGGATGATGCCACTACTAAAATCATAAAGTAAGAAGTAAGGAGCTGAGCTGGAAGTGTCCATAATATCATAATTAATAAATAAAAGAGTGGTTTCCTTGTACTGGATATTGCATACCTTCTTAGTGAATAATTATTCAGCTTGATTTTTTTTTTCAATTAGTTTTGAATACATTCGTATTTCTGGACCATTTTGTATATATATGCCAAAGTTCAAGACTTGGAAAACAGATTTAAATCTTCTTTCATTCCTTTAACAGGCCTTTAGAAGACATGAATTGCACGATCCCTTGAGTGAACCTGGAACTGCAGATCTAACAGCTGATGTAGATTTTTCATATTTAAAAAAGATGGTTCAGGGAAAAGGTAAATAATTTTATATCTTAAAATAATGAAGAAAAAAAAATTAACACCTTGAAGAAGTAGTTTCACTTTGCATTAAAATTGTATTCATAAATAAAAAGTCGTTAATAAAAATCATTTGTTTATCCTTGGCACTGTAAAAGTGTATTGCTAAATGCAGCATTAAATTATTAAATTAATGACTTGAAAAGTTATTTTATTTGATCATCTGAGAAATTTTTCAGTTTTTAATAATAAATGCAAATGAAGCAGTACAAAAGCATAAGAAAATTTCATTGAATCACATGAGCACCGTTTTGTTCTATGACTTTTTATGATCTCTTCAGCAGCTGGAAAATTCCTTGTTTAAAAAAGGCATTGGGTATTTGTATGGAAGTTATCAAGGTCCCATGTGGCAGTCTCCAAAAAGTGATTTTCAAGCCATTAAGGAAATTTTGAAATGACCTGAAGCGATAAAAATCTGAGGAAGCAAGATCTAGGTAATATGGGCAGTGAAATAGAACATTCCATTTGTTAATCCTATCTGATATTCATTGAAATGTGGGACCAACCATTGTCATAATGAAGATGACATATCAACGATTGGTCAGTTCTGGGCATTTTGCTTTGGTTTCTGATTTTAAATCTGCAATTTGAAAAATGTATTTTTCCTAATTTATTGTCTGATTTGGTGGTAACAATCATAATGCACAGTTTCTTTGTAGTCTTACCTTACACAAAGCATTACTTTTTTTTATAGATGCAGTTTTCTCACTTGATGTTACCAAAGGAGGTTTATTTGGCTTACTCCATGATATTTTTCAAGTAACACTGTTATCCTCTTCTCATCTTCAGTTATGAGCCATTTACAAAAAAAAGAGCTTTTTGTTTCATTTAGCAAAGAATAACGTACTGAAATTTGAGCAAGCTGTTCTGCTATATTAAACTTTCGGTTGCCCATACATTGTATACTGACCCAATCTTTTTCAAATGATTTCATAATGTACTTTTCAGAATATTTAGTCTGGCTGGTAGTTTCTGAATTGTATAATGGGGATTTTCAGAGATAGCTTCTAAATAGGTCTTTGTTTAGTCACAGAATGGTCATCTAGAGTAGACATCATCTTGAAGGCTGAGATTTTCATCCTTAAACTACCTTTGAACCTAAATTTTTATTAAATAAAATGCCTAAATTTCTCAAACTACCTTCGAACTCTAAATTTGAATAATTAGATGACCCATTTCAATTTTGTCGAGCAAGTTCTGCATCCAAAATAAAATATAATAGTTGTGATCAAAATTTGTAGTAGCATATGAATTGTAAGCTTTTGTGTATGTTCCTTTTCTTTTCTTTTTGAAAAGAAATTAATAAAAATAATTAATTTTTATTTAATATTTTATTAATTTTTCAGACAATAGCACACACATTAAAAAAAAAAAAAATTGCCATTAAAAAAATGCTGAAACATATTCTGCAGTTTTAAAAGTAGAAATTTGCTTTAAATTGAATTTATTTAAAAATTAAAATTCAATTCAAAAATTAAAATTCAAGTATTTATTTAAAGATTGGAAACATTTTAAACATGTAACACAAAATTTTATGACATTTTGTGTTACTTTTGTTTAAGAATCTTTATTTTTCATGTTTTTAATATGTATTATAATTTTTAATGTTAAAGTTTAATAAATGTTAAAGTTTTTTTTCGGGTATTACATGTGAAAAATATGCTGAATTGAAAAAAAGGGAAAATATTTTGATTAATTTCAATGATACATAACTGGTACATAAAATAGAATGATGCTACTGGCTGATACCATTTCATATGATGAAGAAAAATTCTTTTATTTCAAACTATTAAAATGCAAACAAGTATTATAAGCTTCATATTTTTATAAGGTATCTTACACTAATTAGCTAGTTAATTATTATCTTTCAGTGTCTTTAAGTTGAGGGTTTTGAGTCTTTATTTCAGATAGCTTCTTATACTTGTGTCTCCCTAATACTATTCTTATCCAACTCTGTTTCAAATTAATATTCCAGCTTTAGCAATCACACTAGCTGACGAGTGAAACTGAATTCCAGTAAAATACCTTTTAAGCTAGCTTATTCTGTTGCATAGGTAGTCTTACACTATGTTATCATTGTTTGAGTTTAATAATCTGTCATTGTTAAACTAAATAGCCGCAAGTGGTAATTTCTTCTGCAAGCACAAGTTATGCCTTCATATTCAATTTAAAATTTCAATAAAAAGGTTATTTTAAACCTTTTTCAGTATTTTGTGAGTATTTAAGATGTAGCAGTAACTCATTATCTGTCTTGTAGTGTGTATAGCAGTGATGGCGAACCTATGGCATGTGTGCCACAGTTGGCATGCGGAGCCTCATCAGCCAACACATGACTAAAATATTACTTCCTTAATCAATAATCACAATAAAATGATACTATGTAATTTAAATAAGTGTTTTAGTCTGTTCCTGAACCTTTCACTTACTTACTTATCCCATAATTCCACTGGCATAGGGTAAGCTAGATATAAGATTTTCATATATCACCATAGAAATGATATACATATTTATTGACCCAATTTATGACTTTTCAATTGTTTGGGCCAATCATATTACTTGTTACATGGCAGAGAATACGCCAAAGTTGAAGCAGCTAATGTTTTTTAAACGAATTCAAATTTATTGCAAACTGCCGGTGAGTTTTAATACTCTCATTGTTAATTAGACTGTGTATGCACCAGGTCTTGAAACCTCACAAATGACTCCAGCAAAAAAGGCACCGTTCAGTATTGATAGTGGAAGATCATTTCAAGAGACCTGGACAGAATCATTTGAAGTTATTGAACATAATAGGAAAGCATTATGCATTCTGTGCAGAAAAAGTGTTGTGTTTTACACATGCAGGGTCAGACAACACTTTAACGCCAACCATAAGATTGTTGCCAAATTTGATGAAGCTGTTTACTGAAGGGAAATTGAGGAATTGTAATTACCAGAAAGTTGGTTTTTGCAATTACCTTTCTAAAACAAACCATCTGACAATGGCCAGCTTTCAAATTTCACTGTGCCTCGCAAACATGGTAAACTGCTGTCCGATGGGGATTTAATCAAAGAGATTTTGGGCACGTGGCTCCAAAAAGGTTAGCCATCACTGGTCTATAGGATTTTAACCATAGCTTCAGTTACAAGAGTAACCCTACATTTTGATAATTATTTCCTAAATTATAATAATCTGATTATGTATATAAAAATAGATGTAAAATATAACAATGACTCCATTATTTAATGAAATTGCATTCAGACCGCAATAGACAGCAGCTTTATTTAAGAAATCCACAAATATTCCTCTATTGACTCGACTTTTTTGAATATGTCAAGTTATTTTAGCAAGAACAAATGGGTTATTTCACAACTCAAATTATAAAAGTTATAATTCACTGTAACTAATTCTTTCACTTATAGAGTTGAGTCTTCTTTGCTAGCATAAACAAAGTCCAAACTCCTATTAGACCTCAAGCGAATTATTGCTTCTTCTGAAAAGAACTCTAAAGTCTTAAGAATGTTTTAAAACAAACCTTTTTATTAAATCAGAACTGGAACATAAATGTATGGCTGATGCTTACAAATCAGTAATCCAAATGTGGCAATGTAACTTAAAGTAGCATTAATTAATTTTTTTGAGTACCCTCTCTTCTAAAAATTTTTCAATGTCTTTTAAGCTGATATCTATTTCCAAGACCACACTCTCTTTAAAAGCGACTGAAATATATGACCTGAGAGCCCAAGCCATACTTTCTGCTTCCCATTTCACATAATTCTGAAGAAAGCGAGAGAAATTAAGTTAATCTCAGAATTCATATCTTTTTCTTTCTTTTTTTTTTAATTATCCTATAAAATTATGAGATTAACTAGTCAAAAAAAGCATCATAAGCAAAGAAAACAATTAGCTTACAATTTTCGGAATTGCCAAACTGTTAATTATTGTAACTTTTAGGCAACATTCCCATTAAAGGAGTCTAAATATTTTGGCAAAATGACAGCCAAGGCTGCATCAGACCCAGATGCACAGTATGTCAAGAATTTCAGCCTTTGTTGTTAGAAAGCTGAGCAAGTTTAAAATTTAAACCCACAGGTAATATTTCTGGATATTCTTATTGATTTGGAAAATTCCCCATTAATTTAATATCTGAACATGATGGCATGTCTGAAAAAAAGTTGTATAGTTGTAAGTGATTGATGGCATGCCTGAGAAAGGTGGATAGTTATGTAGTAAGATGCCATTTAAAATTTGGAGGTTTCCATATGGTATGATGTCTCCATTTCAATGTTTTAATTCTTGCAATGCTCTTCTAACCCCCTTCCCCCAAAAAAATGAAATAATGGAAATTGCAATTAATGCAAAAAAAAAAAAAAAAAAGTAGATGATCATATGAAATTGTAGCATTTTGTTAGGGAGTAGACCATAATTTTGCATGGCAAGCTGCTTTTATGAATTTATTTCTAGAAGAATTTCAAAAATTTGAATAATATAAAGGCTGTTCGCACATTTTGTAGGCGATTTTGTTTTGCTATTAAAAGAAAAATGTCTGCTTGGAAAAAATGTTTAACTACAGCTATATTTTGGAAAGTATAAATTATCTACTACTTGACAGTTTTTTTTCGATGTAAAATGACACTTTTAAAGATGCAATGGAGGAAGGATAAGTTTGTGCTCTTTCCGAAGAAATTTGTTTATATCTAGTTATTAAAAAATGATGTGAAAGCCATATTTTTTTAATGTCTAAAGCTATAAAGGTAATATTGTCAACAAGAAAGGGGGCAAAAGGTCAAAGTTTGGTTTCAAGTTGAAAAATTTTTCCAAATACATATCCAAGGAAAAAGTAGAATATTTTGAATGTTGCAAAGGTAAGATCTTTAGGTACTATTCCGTTTTGAGGACCCTAAAAAATCGCCTAACTATTGTTGATGCCAGTGCTGCCAAAAATAATTCCGGCAACCCTAACGCAAGAAAGGAAGTATAATAGTAAATAGCTATTCAAGATTGTTTAAATAAATGAAAGGTTAATTTCATGTAATACTTTTTTATTATTATAATTTATATAAAAAAGTTAAACATAACTGAATGGAAACATAAGAGTAAATAACTGTTTCAGATCATTATTATAATTTATATTAAAAAAAAAAAGGCTGAATGGATTCCTGCATCTCTTTTTCGTTACCGAGTTATCATTAAAGCATAATTTCATCTCGTTAGTTGTACAAACATAATTTTCTATAATGAATGATACCTTTTCTTTGAAAAAATTCTATTGCAGACTTTTCGTGATGGACAGTTTCCAAACTAAATCCATAGGATATCAGAAGAGGATTTAAAAATTCAACTAGTATTTCAATGTCGTCTTAAGAAATATAGAACTGTTTAAAATTATGCAATTTGAAATCAGCGCATACGCTAGATTTGGCACACTGTTAAATGGGTGCGTTTGCTAGATTTGGCACTTTTGCGCATACAATTTCGCTGCAATTTTTTTACGGTCCTCAAAACAGAATAGTACTGATCTTTAATGTTAAAAGCAAATCTGCCAAATCAAAGGACAGTCGAAAAATCATTAAAATACTTGGCGCCAACTGTAAACAAAGTGATTAAATATTAATTTCAATCAATGGCAAAAAAAACATAATGTGCATTGTCTTTCTTCACAGCATATCGGTGAATGCAGTGGAATTTTTTATGAGAAACATTAACCCGGACAACATTGGAAAAATGTAACAGTAGAGGAATCTTGGGTGTATTTAAGTAACTGCAATTAAACGTGATCCATTTATTATAATAAAAGAGGAGAAAAAATTCTTAAAACATGGGTCAAAGAATCTAAAGGAATTTTTTTTAAAGAGAGTTATCATTGTTTCCAGTTTTTCATATAACTACAAATTAAAAATAAAGAGAATGGAAAAAAATGTTAACATCAATTCCATATATTATCAGGTATATATTTTATACATAATTTTCATATATGAATTATCTTCTCTTTCCCCACATTGCCATCAATGTGTAGAACTGCATCAAGACAAAGCAAGCAGCCACACATATTTACCATATATATATTTAATCTGTTTATTTAGTTTTTCACGTATTAATTTTTCATTGCTTCATTAAGTTTGAGGTTTTCTCCAAAGTTTTTACCATATTTGCATCCAGTAAAATAGAGCTGTCAACCATTTTTACTTTTGAGACCTTTAAATATTCCCCCTACGCCATTTTCCTTAGATAGGATAATCTTAATTTTTTCTCTTCTTAATCTATATGCATATATATATATATTTCATTGAATATCTAGAAATGCCTAAAAGGAGACTTCACTTGCTGGTTTTTAGAGAATCTCAGTTTTCTCTATGATAAGTGCTTTATTTCACTTGTATAAATTTTGTGATCCTTATTGTTGTAGTAATATTTTTATGCAGAGCATTTGGAACCCATTATGAAAATGTTACATTCAGACCCAGAGACAACAGAATTCCAAGAATTTTATATTATCTTTGATTTGAAATTCTCTTTTCTGCTGACTTGACAAACATGTCATGTACGTTTGACAGCTGTGCTTTGTGTGCATTTGCTACAGTTATTTGTGAAATACAATGTCTGCCAAATATATACTTTCAGAATTTTTTTTAATGGAGAGTTAGCTACACTACATGGATGGGTGATGGCTGAAGGCTCCTTCAATGCATTGACATTTAATGGCTCACCAGATGCTCTAACCTAAGTGTTCCAGACTTTTTCCTTTGAGGGCACTTAAAGGATAAGGTGTATTCAAGCAGAATGGGGGAATGTGAATGAGCTGAAGGAATAAATCAGGGAGGAAAGTGAGCACATAATCCTGAATGTTCTTGACTATGTCATGCAGATTGTCTGTAATCATAATCTGCAATGTGTTGCTAATGAGCAGGTCATTTGACAGACACGTGTGTTTCACGTATAACTCTAGATATTGCATACAAAATGCCATAGTACACTGCATGTATATAATCATTTGGTAGTTTTGTGAGAAAATACTAATAAATGTATATTTTCAGCTTTAACATATGGTCCAGTAACACAACAAGAATTCCTTACAAATATGGATATAAAGACAAAATTTGAGGTAAAACTTCAGTTAGTGTACTCTTTAATATAAAATAGTGTTGACAAATATAGAGTTTTAAAAAACTGCTGTGTATCAGTTGAATATTGTCAGAAATCTGAGATTGAAATCATGGTAATATACAATTAAAACAATATACAAAAATCACAATTTTAGAAAAGAAAGTTATCTAACTAAAATCCAAACCTTTTTGGGGGAAAGGAACAAGAATTTATAATGTAATTATCTTAATTATCTTTGAATAATTTAGAGTAGTTTAATTAAGGTACAATGCCGGACAAATATTAATTTAGAAGTCAAACAATAAAAATCGTTATTATATTTTCAAATTTTCACAGGACTAGTTTCGATGGTTTTTACCGAACCATCATCCACATCTATTTAAATTTTATAAAGACATGAAATAAAACTTTATATTTAATGGTTATATTAAAACCATTGAACTCTTTTACTCATCAGTTTTTAAAAAACATCTTTTAATTTCTCTTTTATGTATGAGAAATTAAATTTTAAATTTTTATCCCAAGGCAGCATTTTAAATTTTTATCCCAAGGGCTGTTAGTCTCAAAATGGAATTTTGCATTGAATCACTTTTCAAATTGTTGCCACCAAATATTATTGCCCTGTATTATATTTTAAAAAAATTAAATGATGAATAATCTGCATAAATGTAGGTATGTTTCTCACACTATGAAAAAACAGCGGTACCTGGAGCCATCCAGTTTTAAATAATTTATTCCTACACCTGGAAGCCCAAATTTTGAATTTGTTTTATTATCTATTTCATACTTTGTAAAACTTTAATGAATTTTTGAATAAAAACCTTAATGATTTGAAAGTGAGCAGAGACAACACTGTACAGAATAAAACATTTTTATCTCCAGTTTGTGACACTTGTCTATCAGAAATTCTAAAGATATGCTCTTTTTAAATATTTTTAGTCTAAAGGGACATTAGCTCAAATGTTTTCAAAAGGTATAACGTAAATGTAAATAATAATAATAATAATAATAACATCTGAAAGCTTCCCGATTTTTCTTTTAATTAATATTTTTATCAGATTTTTTCAGATTGAAATTATTCCAAATAACTGTGTGTAATATTAAATTTAGAATATGTAACATATGTAGGATGATTAAGATGATAATTTGTACAGTATACAATTAGCTCATAAGAAATAAAATTTACCTAGCATTTTATTGAATATTATATTTGTCTAGTTCAATAGCTTTTATATTGCATTTGTTTTACACAATTTATATATATTTAATTTATTGATGAGATCAGAAATATTGCTAAGTACAGGAATTTCAAATTCAGTTTGATAATACTTTTAATTTAGTGTTTTATTAAATTCTATTTGTTTAGTCTGTGTTTTTTAGTACAAAGATTTTTGGAGTTAAAAAGAAATTTAATGAGTCAAGCATTTTCAAATTAAGATTGCAAAACCTGTGAGTACAGTATAAAAAGGGGGGTTACAAAAACATATTTTTGGGTGACATTTAGATTCTGCACATTCCTGATCAGATAATTAAGTGTGCCGATTTTATCAACCAAACATAATGGCCACTTTAATAAAGAAATACCAATATTTTTCATAAATATTAAAGTGTATTTTTCATATCTACTTAACAATAATTTGTATGTATTCCCCTTACATTAATTAATGTCTAAGTAGCCTCCCTTTTAGGAATTTTGTTGTGTAATTATGATTTATTTTTGATATCTCTTATGCTGTGAAATATGTTGCTAGTCTTCCCCTTTAAAAATTTTGGTTTTGTCATATAATTTTGATTTATTTTTAATAGTCATCTTGTTTTGTTACTTTTAATAAAAAAAAAATAAAAATAGTTAATTTTCCAAAAGGGAGATATATTTAAATATATTTTTATATTTCAGTCATATGAATCTTGTGGAAGTTATTTTAAATTACAAATATGTAGCAAATTTTGGCAAAATCTGCTTAGGCCTGTAACCTGCATCATTAATGACCAACTGTGGTGGTTATTGTAATGTGTTAGTGAGTTAAGTTGCATAGTGTCTTAGTTTTTTCATAGCTTCCATTGCAATGATTTGTCCACCTAGCTGGTAACTTGTACATAAATGAAATTTGTGTAGATACAAATCTTAGTTATGTGCAAGTGAAACTAAAGACTGCAGTTTCTTATACCAGCTCATCTACAGCCAAATTACAGCCATTGTTGACTCTTAGGTGAAGAGCTTTTTGTTGAATTGTGATTTGTTATTGGCTATGATTTTGAGATCCTGTCCAGGAATAAGTAGAATTTATGTTGAATTTGAGCTAAGAAATGCTAATTTCTACTCTAATTTATAAGATAAAAGCATTGTGTTTCTCGCAGTGGCAAGGCAATGCTTTTAAATCAGAGTTTGTTGATTAAATTAAAAAAAAAAAAAAAAAATCATATGTCATGTCACAGCATCACACTAGTACTTGAAAGATAAAACTATTTTATTTTGGAAAGTGGCAACACAGGAATTGTAAATGCTGAGTTTGTTAATGAAAAAATTCATTAATTTCATAGAAAACTTCAAATAAATGTTTAAATAAAAAATCTAAATCCAAAATGGGGACTTCAAGGTACGCACGTTTGGGTTCAGGACTTTAGCATGTAAAATTTGTTGGTTTTAACTGCCATCATCTTTCCACAATGCAATGAACACAAATTCTTCATTTTTTAATTATTTAAATATAGATTTTTTTATTTTTACAATTTAATCTGTAATTCATGTGCAAATAATGCAGATGTAATGTAAAGATTAGAAATGAAAAAATATCAATAAAATTCTAATCTGCCCAATAATACCAATATTGGTCATAAGGTTTGTGGATTATCGAAATTGTGCTGTAGAAAAGAGTTGCCAGAAAAAGGTTATAAATTATTTTTAAATAGCTAATAGTAATTTATTAGAACATTAAAAAATTTAAGAATTTGCATTTTGATTTTTTTAAATGAGAAATAACTTTTAATATAGTATGTATTGTATTATTTACTCTCATTTTATACTCTGTTATTTTTATAAAATGCAAATAGAAATCTGAAGTACATGTGAAATTAAAATGCCACATACAAGAGCCTTTGTTTTAAAAAAAACCAATTAAAATATATATATGAAAGGCACAGATGCGGAGGGCCCAGAGGTCTGGAGTCATAGATTGAACATAATGGTGGAAGCCCTAACGTCAGTGTTTTGTATTTTGTAAATGAAAATGAAAAAATAGAAGCAGCATTTTGAGGTCTTGTGAAAAGGCTGTAATCAAATTCTAGCCATAATTGTCTGATTATGTTTGCCAGACATCATAATACTGCATAATCATTCTGAGTAAAAAAAAAAAAAAAAAAAAATATTGTGGCTAAATAACGAAACACTATTGCAGCATGGTAATTCCTTAACAATATTAGCCAAATACTGTAAAATTTTATTTTCATGAATAATATATATGTTTGGCCATGGTAACTGATTGATTTTTCTTGCAGAAAATTTTATCAGCAGCAAAACCAGAAATACACAAAGATTTAATATTTAGCTATGACATGCTTCTTGGACCTGAGCACATGGGTGAAAGGTTCAAGTTTCTTGGTCTGTTTCCCTTGGACATGTCTGATACTTTACAGAGAGATCCACCTTCAGGTTTTACAAAAAAATGATCTTACAAAAGCTATATCAAAGTTAAGATTTTGATAATAATTAAATCAGTGCTATTTTGTATATTTAGTCAGAGCAGGTATTCAGACTGTCAAAAAGCAATCATTTTATATTATTTTGTAGGTGAATGCATATGACTTTGTTGCCATTTAGATGTAACATTAATTGCACTTGTAAAGAATATAGACTATGTAAAAATAAATATTTTTTTGATTCTTTTCTCTGTGGTATATTTTTTTCCTAAACTGGCAAGAGTTTACATATACTCTGTGACAATACTGTCTGTTTACAGTTACTTCTTAAGTTACATGTTATACTGTGTCTACTTGGTTTCTATCACAATAATTTCTCAGATCTAAATGCAAATGAGAAGTTTATGCAAATTTAAGTTACGTGCAAGTTACATTCAAGAGTCATTAACTGCAACTCATGCTAAGTTACGTATTCAAGGAGAAATATCTAGAGGTCAGATTATATTTTGCTGAGATTTTCACTCAGTGCAATGCATCACATATTCCAGAAAATAAGCCTATACCAGTGAAAGAGACAGAAGAAATAACATCCCGAATGAAGAGTGTTTTTTACTGAAGAGTTGTATAAATTTAAATTATACCATTGAATATTGTGTCATAACTAGAGAATTCAAAGATGTCTCATCTGGATTTATTGAAGATTCGTGAATTTATTCAAAAAAATGTGTGGATATCAGCTAAAAATATTTTCAGTGTTGATTAAACTAGCTTTTTCTTTCATCTCATGCGTTGGAAATTCGTAGGCTCTAAAGACATACAGTATCATGGACAAAATTGCATCTTTATTTTACTCTGACCAGTTACTGATAAAAGAGAAGGCGACACTTTTACCAATAAGTATGCCACAGAAGACAAGCTGTTTCAGAAGAGAGCGAGGCTGACACCAGAACATGTACAACCAGCGGGACGGCACTGTGCGGCAGAATTTTGGATTTGCTGAATTTGCGTCAGGCAGTCTAGCATCAGCCAGGAAAGTTAGTATGGTATATAAAGAGTAAAATGTGTGGATGACTGCAGATACATCTCAAGAAAATTATTAAGATTTTCTTGAGGAAATATAACCATTAAGAAGAAAAATTTAAGGAATTAAGATCATAAAATATTTATTTATTTGCATAAAGTTAGTCTACTTTTGTATCGTGCTATTTGATTTTTTTCAACTTAAAAAATTAAAAATTTGAACTTATTCGGAAATACATATAATATTTTAACAAACTAAATGTTGAATGACAAAACTGGATAAACAACGGCTAGTGATAAAACCGTGGAAAATTGCTTGTATGCAGTTCATTCTAAATTAAAATGTAGATAATACAACTTTCCCATTTATATATATATTTTTTAACGACCCCTTTGAAAGATGTATTAACTTCAGCCATGCAACACAAATAATTAAAATGAAATTCTAAAAATAACTGTGATTACAAAATATAATATGGAGTAAAAATATATGCAAGAGAAAAAACAATACTTTGTTCCCCTCTTGCAGAATGAAAAGAAAAGTGAAATAGGTTGTTGTAAACTAAGGAGTTCTTCAAGTGAATTATCCTCAGCATAAAGTAAAAGAAGTGCATCAGGTTAATTTTTGAATAACTGATTAAATTTCATACCAAATTTTACTAAATTTGCTTTTTAGGCATAATTTGAGTCATAGAATCGAAATACCTGGAGGGGAGGAAATGATCATGTCCCTTCTGAAAAAGTCCTGATTTTGTGTCAAATTACGCATGTTAGAATAATGCTACATATAAATCTAATCCATATCCTAAGTCACACTTTCGAGACATGAAAAATGCAAGTTGAATTTCGATAGTCTGCTGAGTAGAACAGAGAAATATAGAGCAGTGCCCCTCCCCCCCTTTTTTTTTTGTTTTGTGCTGGATGTACCTTAGCAAAAACATTAAAAATAAAAGAATGTATAATTTTATAAGAACAATATAAGTAACAAATATTATTCATTTGTTCTCTATTGCATGATTCACAAGCTAAATGTGTTTTAAGAGTGGTGATGTTTGTTCTAGTTCAGTTACCATTCAGGAATATTTATTTTGAAAAACTGGAGATACCTTATAGCCTCATTGAATTGTTTAATATATTTCCTTACCTTTAGAAATCTTGCAGACTGAAGTGGGCAGTGGTGCAATAATGGAAATATGAAAAGTGAAAAAGGGATACATGCATGTATTTTCAAGAAATTCCAATAGCTTATTACATGCCTTATTCTGCTGATAACATGAATTTGATGGTTAAAATATAAGTAAATTTTCAAAAATTGCAGTAATTTTTTGGGGGGAAGGTATGGGGCAGAGATTCCTTACTTCGTTTTCTGCATCTGTGAAGCACTAAGAAATTTTCATAGTCATATGAAATTCACGCTGAAACCTCTCTGTGAAATTGCCTGGGAAAGAACTGAATGTTGTCTCAAATGGCTGGGTAATTATAATTCAATGTGTTCATTAGTAATTACCAATACTAAGTCATTTGTCCATTTTATCAACGAGAATGGTGCCCATGGCAGTCAAACTATACCAGTGAGAAAGTAGGTTGATTAATCCCAATTTTGACGGAGAACACACCGGTGGACGGATCCAGGGGACTCCCATCGTTCTTCTACTACCAAACCCCCTTGAGAAAAACTCTTAACGGTAATCTCGGGTTATCTGCCTAAGCCTTCCAGAAAATCGCCAGTCGTCGGCCACTATATTTTCGCCAACCTAACATTTGGAAAGCAGCAGCCATTTTGAAAAAATGGTGGTGCGCTGAAAATTGCATAAAGCATCAGCAAATTAACAAAATTAAAAAAGAAAAACACCTATAATGAAACAGTAAAAATTGCATAAAACAAACATCTATAACGAAACACTCAAGACTTCATAAAACAGTCAAAAATTTACTAAATAAAAAACGTAATAAACGTCCATAATAAAACACTGAATTTCCTATTTTCTCAGTCTTTTATCTTTGTGCATAGCGATGTTTTAACTCAAAATAAATTGCAGAATTGTGGGCACTGCAGAGGGATTTAACAGTGGTCTCCATGTACCTGTTGATCTATATTTTACGCTCCTCGACATAGGGAATGCAACAGCAAGAAGAAAGGGCCCGAAAAGCAGGCAAATTTCAGGGTAGATGCACGTCACCGAGCTATGTGAATTGCTTGCACAGCTCTCCAGTACATGTTGAAGAAGTTATAAGGAAAGGAACCTGCAGAATGTTCGATTTTGGTGCCGTTATTTCTGCTAGGGAAATCACAGAAACTGCTCATGTCTCAGAGGACGCCTGTAATAGCAGAGAATGCCAGGCCGTCGTCGTCAATGGAGGCAGTTCCAGCAGACAGAAAATTTTACGAGGGGCATGGTGATCGGACTGAGAAGGGTAAGTTGGTCCATATGGCAAATTTCAGCTGACACACACCTGATCGCGTCCAGAGTGACGACGATGGTCGGAAGAAGGAAATGTGGCAAGCTCGAGATGTGCCAATGCAGCCAGAATGTCAGCACAGCGGTGACGCACCCGCAAGCCATTTCTACCTCCATTCTGCAGCATGTTCTAGACATCCTGAATGTTCCCATATCGCTATATTTTTGAAAAATGCAACGCTTCATTAGAATCCACACAGTGGCGTTACGAGGGGGGAAAAATCCCCACACTAATCACAACAAGTAAAAACCATGAACATGACCCTCGAATTTTAAAACCACCCGAATTATTACTCCCACTAACTATTAGTCGGTTGCCAGATAAATACATTTTCATAAATTCCTGGGTTTACTTTGGCGGCACAGTGCTTTGCCCTGTGATTCCTGTCAAGATGGGGCGGACAATGCGATAGTACGCTTTCGGCTCGTCAGTATGTTAAGTATAAATTTGAGAACTGACAATAATTAAATTCTGAATAAAGAATATAATATGTCTTAGAATAGCTCAAATTATAAAAGTGCCTCATCTATTTATACATATAGTTTATTAAAAGATATCACAATATTTGAATTTTCTTTATATGATGTGATGTGGTACAATATGCTTATCCATATCAGTAAAGTTAATTAATTCAACAGGAAATTAGGCAATTAGACACAACAATAAAACTTATGCAGCACTAAGTGTTATTGAAGAGACCTTGTCAATGGATTTGCAAAAATTAAAAGTAGAAAATGAATTGGTTACATCTTGAGGGAATGTTGTCCAGTTTAGTAATATCAAATCCAAAAATTAAAAAAATTTTTTTTTTTTTTTTCTTTTTCTTTTGAAGCAAGGAATCAACGGAATTTAGAGGAAAGAAATGTTGCATTAGAGTTTTATTATTATTATTTTGGCTACGCTTGTACTCTATTTGGCTATAAAAACTATATATACTTTTGAAAATTGTTAATACACAAAATATATTATATAAATGCCTATAATTTTTAATTTCGAAATAAAAAGATTAGTGGTAATAAACTAAACATGGTTTATAAAATGCAATTTTAAAGGATATCCAGCAAGGGGCTCCGCACATTCCAGTTTGTGGGGGCCTCGAAATTACTTAAACCGAACGTGTGTAAAGAAAACGGAATACATGACAGAGACCGGCAATGAGGACGGATCGGAGAACGGACCGCCCAGTAGAAGAAAACTAAGAATGCTGCGCACTGTGGAGTGGGCCAGTTTCCGAAGCGAAGCGCTGTATGCCCAGTGTTGGACGTTGCCCTAGGACAGTAGTGAGATGGACCAATACCTGTAAATCCGTAGACGAGTCTTTAGTGCTCCGTCCACTTTTCTCTGTTCCAGCCCATGGTACATCAGAAATAAAAATAATTAATGAAGAACTGAGTATTACACAGCAATCTGCCTACCATCATTTTAATGCACACAGTTTTCATTTATACTTCAGGAAAAATAAAAACAGCATTATACCAATATATTTACTGCACTCCAGAAAATGTTATGAAATCTATGCAGACATAGCCTAGAAACAGTTACATAATGTCCCTTATGTAACTGTTTGTAGTTTGTCTTTGTGGCATGGAAAGGCAGGATTGCCAAATTTGGCCCGAATTCTCCCATTTGGCGACAAAATTGCCGATATGCCATAGACGGAGCGGGAACATTCTAGATCGAATTCTTACCAGTGTTCCTGAGAATTTTCTCCAAGGCAGGTCAAAACCTATAGCCTGTCTATACGCGGTGTAGTTTGAGTATCGAGAGT